AAGTCACCGAGCGCATGTGTGTTCAGGATTAATATTTTAATATAATGTGTAGAATGATAATATCAATGAAATATGTCAATATTGTTCCTGAACACACATGCGCTCTATAAATTCTCAAGCTTAAATTGTTGAAATTTTGTCCATTTTGTCCTCTTTCTGAAAAAGGATATAAAATCGGACTAGTTTGTGACGTCATAAAAACAGAAATTGTGAATACACTGCTCTGGAACTATAATATTTTCTGTTAACTTATATTTCTCGTACAATTTATTGAATTAAGCACATTTCAGGAAGTTTTCAAAATTTGACTTTTGTGGGGGCAAACATATGCAATATACCGCATATAGTTCTTTGGAAATATGTCACAATCCAGTTAAAAGGATGAGTAAAGAGGTACCCTTAAAGCTTATTCCCTATTGCACCATTATGAATCATTAGAATCACCAAATTCAAGATTGTTTTAATATAAAAAGGAACGAAAAATTTAGTCTGAGTGTGCATCATTTGAGAATTTTCCCCTTAATTTTGAGGAAAAAATAGTTATTTTTTTTTTATTAGGACAGGGTCCTTTTACAAGGTCTGGATACAAGGGTTATTAAGCCCTGCTGTCTGTACATGTAACGAAATAATATAGCAAGTACATATTATTGCGTCATAATACGATTTGAAATAAATTGCTTGAATTATTTATTTGCCAAATAAATGTCATAAATATATTCATGCTATTCTTTCGAATAAAAGAAACAATCTTAAGGTAAGTCACTCCTGAAATTTGTTAAATCAAGGATTTTTTGAGAAGTATATTTTGGATAAGTACTCAAAAAGTGTAACTCAAAATCGCAAAGAAAATAGGGGGTCAGTGTGCATCCGACTGATCTACGGTACATTTAAGTTGACCTTTTTGCACTTAAATTTCATCTCTTTGGTTAATTACTTTAACCCTTATTATATTTGATCAGATGTAAGCATGGCAATAAATATAATCTTATAGTTTGAATGATATTTATCATTAAACAAATCTTGCAAATTAATGCGCGTAAATTATTGTATGACCTTTTTGCACTAAAAAAATAACATATTTGGGGTATTAAAAAAAACTTAATAGGCAATAAAAAAAATTCTTATGTCAAACTTTTTACGACTTAAGTGCTGATCAGTCACAAGTATCGAGTAGTTTAAAATAATGAAAGAAAAAGGTGGGTTCAATGATGTTAATTTTGAAATATTTGTCAAAATATGCGATTTTCAGGTAAAAAAAAAATGGTGTAAATTTGATCTTGACTTCTTTAATATATTTTCATTTTTTGAAAAAGTTTGTTTAGGGAAGGTGTAAAACTTAGTCTAAAAATATTAATTAAGACCTATATTAAATATTTTTAGCAATATCAAAACGGAAAATATTCTCCGAGTAAAAGTATGTTAGGCTAAATTTCCATTACATTAAATTTTATAAATGTGCAGATTTGCAGAATTTTCTGCTAAATATCCTTCCACCAAAAGAAATAGTCCCTCATAAATCTTGCTTCTTTGTAGATTTTTGAGCAGTTTTTTCATTGAATGTTAAAAATATTACATTGTTGAATTTAAATATGTTATAAAAATTGAATTTTAATAAGTAGTTTTGAAGTAAAAGCTTCTGCGTGAACTTTTCTAAAAAGCTGACGAGTGACTTACCTTTTAAGAACTAAATTATAAAAATATCAAAAAAGAGATACAAAACACATTTTAAAATGTCAATCAATGCAATACATGTATATGCATAATAACGTTAATTGCATCTCCTAGTTTAGAGAAGGATTTTGTATTACGTTTAGACGTATAATAATTGTAATATCCTTACCCCTAAAAATTATCAACAATGCAGAATTTAAAAAGTATGTTAGCGAGAAATTGTTTCCTGGAAGTTAAAAAAGGTTTTTAGCTGGATCATTTTAGCCAGTTGATCGGAAGAGGGCAACCAGCTGATTTTCTTTAAAGAAGGCCTTATTTTTTTCTTCCTTGTTATTATCGTTTCTTAATTACATTTTGTATGACAAAATATGGGAAATATCGTAGTCAAACGCAAAATTTATGACTGAGGGAGACTCTTTTTTTTCTATTCAGAATACAAGTAACGACATACTTCTAAATCCTTTTATTATGTTTAATTTGATTTATACTTTTAGTAAGTGCATTCCTCGTCTGATGTAATTGAATGCATATACAGTGAAACCTGTCTAATACGACATGCACAGGGAGACAAATTTTGTGTCGGAATAGACAGGGTGTCGGATTGTACAGTGTTAAAAACAAGAAAAATACTGAAATGGGAAAGAAATTTAACGTCGGAATTCACAGTGTGTCGGATTATTCAGGTGTCGGATTAGACAATTTTCACTGTACATGTATCTAAGCTGTGATAATGTTTTTCTTTTAACACAGAAATTATATGGCTTGAAAAAAAATCATCAATATATGTACTAGTAATTGAAGAAACAAAAATTTGATCACTTTTGTTTTAGAAATTTTATATTTCTTATTGTTTCTTCATCAGTTCTGAGGTTAGAGAAAGTTTAACACCTCATTTTATCGGACATATCCCTTAATTTCTATCTACGATATCACAGCAGGATCATCAGAATAATCATGCATGTGCAGAATTGTTTTTTTTTTCTTGGAGCTCTTTATCCGAAATATGAAATTCCAAGAAAAATCCTTTGAATAATGTAAATTTCCTCAATATAAATCAAAATTATCCTCGGAAATTGATTTTTTTATTTTGTCTGAAAACCGACTACTAATATTTTCCTCTGGCTTGACAGTTGACATTCCAATGATCAAGAAGACAAGTGTGTCTGAGAGTTGCGTGTGGCATTCTGTGTACTGAATTATAATATCATTGTCGTTCATATGTCTAATGCACATTGTCTGTCAATCCACAAAAGAAAGAATTGTTATGAAATGCTAAAAATAGATAATACATCATTATTAAAAAAAAATTAAGTATTTATCTATTGTTTCTGAAACTTTAAAGCCTAAAATATTCTTTTTATAAATGACTCATCAACTTAAAAACAAAATGACAAACTCTGACAGGGTATACTTCTCATATTTTCGCTATATTCATATTTTTCATAACGGGATGCCTAATCTTCCATGGCACCTGATCCCACTTTTGATGTTTAAGAGGTCTGTGTTTCCTATGCTCCCGATTTCTATTGCAATGCTTGATTACTGTTTTTTATCTCCATATTTCATATTGCTCATGTATCATCGTTATTTTTTTTAAAAAAATTCAGAATCATATACATGGACTTACAAACGTTTTTTTCTATGCCCAAGCAGCAAAACATCAAATGTTGCAATCCTGACATAATTGAGTACGACAAGACACTTGACGCTCGTTGATACTGCTTGCGATATATATTTAAATGGTATATATCAGTAGTGTTATTGTTTTTCATTTTGAGAATACTTTTTTGACTTAAATTGTGTAACAGAGTTTTAGAATATATTGACTTAAATTGTGTTATAGATTTTTAGAATATATGCTGTTTGGCAACAATACATGTTTTCTGTTGCGCCCCTGGCTTAATATCCTTTTCAGCATCAGCAGTGACTGGAACAATCGAGATTACCATAATCCATTTTACATTGACTAATATTTTCCTAGAAGAAACTTTGAATACAATCATCAGATAAGTTTTTCCAAACTTGAAAGTAATCGAAAAACACGTTTTTAACATGATTATAATGCCAAGAAAGATATGGAGATAACGAACAGTGTTCAAGCTCAGAAGTTCATAAAACAATACAAAATAGAAGCGGAGCAAAATAATTATTTATTATCTTTTCTAAGAAATTATCTAAAACAATTCTTTTTTGTTTTTCATTACATTCTTAACTTTTTGGTTGCATTTCCTCAACCGAAGAACAAAGATTCTTCAATTATATACTATAGATAAATAAAGACGTAAGTAACTATATAAGCTTACTTTTGAAATACTGAAAGTTGGTAAATAATTCTGGAAAGGAATAGGCATACCTTAATCTTAAAAGCAGAACTCGTGTAAGTACATGTATTTGTTTATTGACTTTTAAGAATCATATTGCTAATTATTGATTTACCATTTAGAAATTAAATTATTAGAAAGGTATCTTATGTTATAATCAGAAATGACCACAGCCTTTTTTTCTTTATAGATAGTGTTTGGGGTAAATGGTGTAAACCATTTAATGTTAGTGTATGGGACACGTTGTCGGAGTCCATTCAAAATGCATATAGCGAGAAGTAACATATGGTCCGGCAAAGATCAATTTCTGAACGCGTGGATCTTTTCTGATCAATGGCGCAAAGATGGATAGATCTTCAAATTCGTTCAGGTAACTTTATATTGAAATGCATTTTATCTATCTCTTGTTCGCTACCAGAGTTAATTTCAATTTTTCTCTCTAATCATTCGGTTTTTTCTAAATGTCGAAGTGAATTTTTTTTAGTTTTAACTCAAGAAATTAAGAAAAAAATTACGTAAAAATTATGGGGGCATAGCAGCGTATAACAAACATAAGTAGTGAGTACTGTCCCTTGTCTCTTCAATATAATGTCTGCAAGTAGATAACATTGATTCAATGCTTTTTATTTAGGTGGATTAAAATACCCTACAAAATGATTTTAAAAAGAGATTTATTTAGATCAATCCCTATATCCATTTATGGTAAATAGAGCTGTATACGATATTGACATTCGATTTTGCTAAGAAAAAAACCCGTGCTATCAAATACTTAATTAATAAAATTGAATGAAAAAGGATATAACTGAATACCGGTAAATTGTAATCACGCTGAAAATATAAAAGTTCTATTGGGCATTATCTTCGTTTGGCATCGCTTTTTAGCCTGAGCTTTGTTCCCCACTTAGTGTACCGAAAAGTCCTGATTGAACATTTTATATACATTTATTCATCTTAAAGATAATAACACTTCGAGTGAATAAAAAAAGATAATTCAACAAGGTTTTCATCTTCTTTCAGAGCAAGCTGATTCCTATGACCGATCAAGTAATTTCTGGAATCATCAAGCGAGAAGAAAATGGCTAGGAGTATAAGAACAAGACTTCTAGCTGTTATTTTCCTTGTGTCCTCAGTCTGGTTATTTGTAACTTTATTTCTTTTTGATATTGAGAGTGAAATTAACAAAACAAGGACTAAAGAGGAATATCCAAAGTTAGCTAAACTTGTAAAAATAGTAAAACGAGCAGATGATTTCATGGAGCTCCGTGATCGATATACAACATCACATTTTAATAAGTCATCATGGATTAAATATCACGAGAAAAGGAAACGAAAAGAAATTTTGAAAAAATGGAGAGATGAACTTGCACTTCAAAAGTTGGAGAAAAAATCTACAGACAATTCCATTGTAAACAGTGCAAGTAAAACAACCCTACATAAAAACTCACGCCAAAATACAGCGGCAAATGCTTCAAAGGCAGGCAGCATACACCTATCGCCAAAAGTGATGCAAGAACACTCGAAGCAAATTAAACAGAAACATAACAACCAAGAAAAGATTCCACGTAAAGATTCGGAAAGAGAACGACTTCGTCACCTAGAGAAGATTCTTCCACCACTTGCACCAGGTATATATAACTCCTCCAATCTCCTAAATTCGGCAAATAACAAATGATAGTACAATGTACATGTAAATAATAAGTAGGGCAAAAACACCGGTACTGGAAATGTCAAAGATAGGATCAGGTGCCAAAAAAGAGTAACAGCCCCCTCTCAACAGGTTGCATCCACCACATATACTGTTGAACTTCAATATCAAGAAATCTAAACACTGAAATATATTTCAATAAAGATTTGACTAGGACATCTTTATCAATATTGATTTTACCTTTGATATCTCGAACACTTGGGTATTCTAAGTTTTTACTTTCCCACCCTGCTTGATAAACTTAGTACATGTAAATTTTTAAGATTTGCAATTTTGATTCTTGTTATATTTTCTACAATATTGATAATGTTTTGAGACTTTCAGGTGAATATGGTCATCCTGTCAAAATAAAGAAAGAAGAACTCCGCCCAGACCAACAGAAGATTTATGACGAACTATTCAAGAGGAATTCCTTCAACCAGTACGCCAGTGATATGATATCTTACCATAGGAGGCTACCAGACATAAGAAATCCAAGGTACTTAATCGTACTAATACAAAAAAAGATGAACATACAGTTTTACTTATTAATGAAACTTTAGGCCGAACAGGTATTAAAAAGAGGGATTTTTTTCGTGTTAATACGAACATTCCTTCCATTTGGATATATTACATTGATGGTAACCACAATACGTACAAATTTATAAGATCTTTATTGAAAATATGTACATGTATACAATTTTCTATGACACAGTATAGTTTTGTAATACAAATGAAAAGCTTTAAGTATTATATATTGTTTTATGATACAGCTGCAAGCTTAAGAAATATCCTAAGGATCTACCTGCCACTAGCATCATCATTTGCTTTCATAACGAGGCTTGGTCCGTATTACTACGCACAGTTCACAGCATTTTGAACCGAACACCATTACATCTTATTCATGAAATCATATTAGTGGACGATTTTTCTGATTTAGGTAAGAAGATTTTCTCTATCAAATTAGATAAATAAATCAGATGAATGATGAAGTTATGTTATTTTATCTTAAAATTTCGTTCAATTTCAATTATAATAAATCTAAATTATTTAAGGATTCAAAAATAAGATATGATACAGCATTATCAAGAATATTTATTTTTGGTTTTTATTTTTAGATTTTCTTAAAGAGGAGCTAGATGAGTATTTCTCAGAGAAAGGATCTGGGAAAGTCCGAGTATTAAGAACAGCTAAGCGAGAGGGTTTGATCCGAGCACGGCTTTTAGGTTATGAGGCGGCCACCGGTGAAATTCTGACATTTCTAGATTCTCATATCGAATGTTTTGTAGGTATGACTGCCATAGCTAGGATTATACACTATCCGATCAGTCTAAAAATGATACAATATGATATAACATTTCGTCCTCTTCTATAAGTTCTCTTGCCTCTATCACTCATATCTTACACAACTATTCGCATTTTATCAAATAGTTTGTTCACGGAACAAAATATATTATATATAATATGGGAATGCTTAATTCTCCATGGCAGCTGATCCCAACTCTTAAGTTTTATGAGGTCCATGTTGGCACTTCTCCTGATTTATATAAATTCAATGGACTTTTGAGCTAAATTACTTTTCCTTCCCTCCGTGCATTTCCATTGATCTTATTTAATTTAAATTATTTTTAAGAATCTAAATGTCAAGAATTAGTTATTTATTTTTGTTGTTAAAGGCTGGCTTGAGCCCTTGCTGGAGAGAATTGCAGAAAATCATACAAGAATCGTTGCACCTATAATAGATATGATAAGTGATCAAACGTTCGCCTGTGGAGGGTCAGAAATAGGAGCAGTGGGAACATTTGATATTTCAATTATGGGGTATAAGTGGCTCACCATACCCAGAGAAGAGAAGGAAAAACACAGTCAGATAATGCCCTGGAGGTGAGGAGTTTTGTTCGATTTATATTTAAGCAATATGAGCTGCATTTTGAGAAAATTATTTTGCTGTTAATTTTAAACCCTAATGATTAATAAAACCTAAATAAAAATTTTAATTATTTCAGAAAAAATATTTCTGTACAATCAAATATGGAGCATTATGTAAGAAATCAGTTATGTACAGGATAACAATAATGTCATTTTGTTTAAATCAAAAGCTTATAATTAAAAAGTTACATCACAAATATGATCAACAGAAGTTTATAAATGTTTTATTTTTCTGTCTTGAAAATAGTTGATTACAAATTTGCAACAAAATTTTCTTTTGTCAATCTTGTAGCTCATATTGCTTTAATATACCGGTATGTATAACTAGACAAAGAGGAATTTATAATGGAGCGCTTGAATTGAAAGAATAAAGGATAGAACGAAAATATCATTAAACAAGTACAAGACTTTCTTTTTTTATATGCACGTATCAAAAACCATTATTTCAGAAAAATTCAGTCAGTTGCATATGTAGTTTTAAGAAAGAAATTTCACTAATCTGAAAATTTCCATATACTAGTAGTTAAATTACCTTCTACGTTTTTGTCATTTTGTCACGTGTAATAAGGACACCCACAATCGCTGGTGGACTGTTCTCCATTAGCCGAGATTATTTCACAAAGATGGGCACCTATGACCACGGCATGGACATCTGGGGAGGTGAAAACCTGGAAATATCATTCAGGGTAGGTTATTATCCCCTCACACACAGGCGATCGTATATACGAAACTTTATAATTATACATAGATAATGATATTATTTATGATGGGAAAATTTGTTTTAAGTTAAAAATTCAGCTGGCTTCTAATGCTTGTGAAGTTTTTCACCAAGAAATTCATAATAAAAACCATGAATATTTTTCAAATCTAAAGTAAACTCGCAAAGTATATCAAAGCTTCCTGTTAATGAAAATTGAATTTTAAAAGAAATACAATTAATACCAATAGTGATAAGATTTTTTGCAGATATTTTTTTCCTTTCCAAAAGAAACTTGGATTGAATAGGATATTTATCCATCATAACAAATTTTGGGCATTTATGACAAAATCAGACATCATACCTTTCCTCCTAGATTTGGATGTGTGGCGGAAGTCTTGAGATCCACCCCTGCTCTCACGTCGCTCACATATTCAGAGCTGTCAGTCCATACAAGTGGGGCAAAAGTTTTGCCGAGATTTTGAGGAAAAATGCAGTTCGAACCGCAGAAGTATGGATGGACGAATATAAACATGCATATTACGAAAGAATTAATTACGACCTAGTAAGATTTAAACTGAGATAATTTATAAATACCTGTTAGTTGTTTTTTTTATGTATACTATATGAAATCTCTATTTTTTGCTCGATACTTTTTCAAGGGTAAAGGTGTGTCAGAGAGAGACTGAACTCATGTTAAAATGCAAGGTTTTTCTAAAAATTACTCTTCAATGAATTTCTTTGATTTTTGGGGTTTTTTTAGTGGTTTTTAATATTTTTTTTTAACAGAATTGTAATTTCTTTAATTTTGGGTTTTTTCAGTGGTATTTCACATTTATTTTTAACAGAATTGAGATGTTGATTCGTAATTTTGATTTATTCATTTGCTTTTTCAATGTTTCCATTTTTGATAATTAATAATCATTAATCCGTTTTAGTTTAGGTGACTGACGTATAATGTGAGTCTTCATTATAGTGAAAAATATCGGTAACGTCAAAAAAAAAATCAAATCTTTTGCATTTCTCCTATTGAGTCTTCATTATAGTGAAAAATATCGGTAACGTCAATAAAAGAAAATGAATTAAATCCTATCGATTGGAGAAATGCAAAAGATTTAATAGATTTTTTATTGACTTTACTGATATTTTTTTCACTTTAATGTAACCTCATATACTAAACAATCACCTTTGATAAAACGTTTACATGCTACTTGTATTTTTTTTGGGGGGTAATATTCACTTGTTTCATGAAAATATTTTTTTCCATATTTGAAAACAAAAACATGAATGTGTCAAGGAAAACACCATATTCTTATTTCATATACTAGTATTCTACAATACATGTTGATAATTCTTCATCTGATGTTCTTAGTAATGGTTTTCATAGTGAAAGCATCTCTTTCTCTCTTAAAGTACCTAGTATATAAGGTTATTTAATAAAATAAGAAACATTGAACTTTTCTAATGAGGTACACATTTATCCCAAATATTTAGTTCGTTGCATCATTGCACTTATAATAGAGAAAACAAGTAATTACCAACAATAGAGTCACATCCAAGCGCAAAATGACACTTGTGTATATCACAGCTACATTCTGTACATTTCTCACCATACCTCGGATAAACATTCGAATCCATATTATCCGGAAGGGCATACTGTTAAAAAAGTTTTTAAAAAGACTTTTAGAATCATTAGCAGCAGTGAGTAAAAAAATGTGCCAGAGTCAAAAAGTGTCAAAAATATATCAATAGAGTGCCCGACACATCTTTTTCATATTTACATATTTAACTAGAAAAAAAAAAGACGTAAAAGGAACTATATATATCACAACAAAACTTTATGATAAACTTAATGAATTTAGCATTTCTATCGTCAACTTCCATTCTTTATGAAAAAGTATGGATTTAAGGCGTTTCTCATTAAATATTCATATATACATGTAGTCAAGTAAGATTAAATACAACATGTTCAAGCAAGTCGAGATTGATTCAGATAAAAAGTGTAAAAAAAAAAAATATATATACATATACTTTATCACTTATACTGTGGTCTGTGTGCCCTGAAGGTTTGCCCTTCTTCTGAACATTCTATTTTCTGGTTCATGAAGTAGGAAATAAAAATAATTTTAAAAAACGTACTGCTGAAATCCCTGTACTCTTCGTTCCATTTATATCCAGAACAACACCTGAAGTTACCTTCCCTAAAAAAAAAAAGTTACAAGTCTTGATATGATTATTAAAATGAAAGTATTTTTCTTTCTTTATTTTTAAACTATTCGTTATACCTTTCACAATTTGTCTCTGCAAGGATTCTCTGACAATATACAAGTACCATCAATATTAGGTTTGATTGAGGGGGTACATCATTATCGACTTCTGGGCCTCTGAACATAGAACGCTTTCCTTGAATAAGCTAGATATTTATGGATAAATCAATCTAGAATTTTACATGCATATTTAGTTGTTTTGAATTACTTCCGTGTTCTCACGGTTGAAATATTCCTAGATTTTATATTGAAAATTCCATGACAAGAATTTTCTATTTTCGTCAATAACATGTATCATGAAAAATAGTTTCTTGGGGGAAGTTAATGATCGGTTAATAATTATAAGTGATGTATTTAGTCCTTCCTCTTGTTGTCTTTGTTGGGAATATTCTATGTCAAAAGTCATAAGTAAAGCCGATATTCTTAGTATTTTATTATTATTATTTTTTTTTAGATGAAGAAGATCACTTTCTGCATTTTTTTAAAAAAATTTTGTTTTATGGTCCAATTTCAAGGACATGTTTTCTTTTCACCATAAAATCTTTAGTCTTTACCTGATAGAAAGAAGAATTTATATTAAATATTTAGCAAAACTCATTAGTTCAATGTGATGCTAGACATTTAATCAAATTGTAAAAGGCATGCAATTGTTAGTATACTTCACATCAATTATTAAGGTAAATCTTTAAGGATAAAACCAATAATTTGAGAATAATTATTTTGAGATATTTTATATTCATGTGGTCTGTCAAATGGATATATAAAAAATTTCTTGAGTATCATATGATTAAAAGAAACATAATTGTTAAGACAATTTTCACAAAACTGTTTTCTGAAAATTTATCTAAATGTTTAAATCATAGGATTTTAATTGACTTCGTCATTTGTATATATTATGTAAATGTATTCATCATGTTCATGTACCTCATATCACTATCGTATGGTCTGAAAATTACAATACAAATAAACAGAACAGATACATGTATTAAGAAAAAGACTAAATTAATTAGTAAAGAGTAATTATAAATGTTATAATTATGTATCTTTTATTGACATGTTTTCCTGTTCAGCCATATAACTTATCAACAATGAATGGACCTTTGTCTTGTCTAAATTGAGATCTCCATCATGCTCTATGCTTTTGTACAAGACTGATTAATGACAGAAATATATATTCTTTCATTTGGATGATTGAATTGTCTGACAAGACTTACCCTTAAAATTCGGGAAAAAAGAAAAATACAAGAATTCTATCTATATAGACCTACCTTTACAGTATCTCTAAACACTTTTCAGGGTGATTATGGTGACGTATCAGAGAGAAAGGAACTGAGGCAGCGTCTGGGGTGTAAGAGTTTTGGATGGTACCTCCATAACCTGTTACCTGGAATGAAGCTGCCGGAGAAGGCTTTGTATAGTGGAGAGGTGAGGCGTATTAAAGCAACAAAAATTCAGAATTTTTAGTGTAAAAAATAGAATAAGCTTTAGTATTATTTTTATTACAAATCTATAAGAATAGCATGTAGTGCATTTGAAGGCAGTTATCACTTATCCGCAACTCCCTTACATCACTATATACAATTAAATGATTTTCTCACAAAATCTTTCTTACATAGCGCCATTTGACACATCCTATTTCACGATTCGATCAGAGAGGTCCTAGAGAATTCAAAGTTCCCAACAGCAAAACATGGACATACTCAATAAAGAATTACCAATTTTGCTAAATTAATATACTAGTACCTCTCCAAATCCCCTTAAAATTCAATGAAACTCAATGCTCATAGTATTTAATTAGCTTTAAGAATAAATACTAATTTTGTATAGGTACGTAACTTGGAGACTGGGCTCTGCCTGGATACAATGGGGACCACGGCCAATAACAAAATCCACACAATTCCCTGTCACGGCTTGGGCGGAAATCAGGTGAGGACATAGGATTTACCCAAAAAGAGATTTTAATTGAGCATTATAAATCATAAACTTAAAAGAAGATGTATTATCCCCTAGAAACGGAATTGGGGATATATTAATGCAGTTGTGTGTGTGTCCGTTAATTTGTGGGTGAGTTAACGCGGTACAATTCCGTTTTGGGGTCCAAAAAATATTGCCCTCAATCCTAGTCAACTAATGTAGAATATCGATATTTTGCGTAGTTTTTCAGATTCACCATCAGTGGCTACATAGAAAGAGATGAAGCATGTTTAACAGACAAAGATGGCGGTATTTATTATGTACTCTGTAAGCAGAACGTCACAAAGTGGGAATACACTAAGGTTCGAGTTCATTTCTTTATTGAAGGGGGTAGCATGTTAAACGTTTGCATGAAATAGAAATTGTGTGAAAATAAATCCTTTTGAAGAGCTGAGGAGCCATGCCAATGGTCATTATACACATATCACATTTTAAACCTTTATGGTAAGATACATTTAGTAATGTGGAGTTTTTTTGATTGAACAGGTCGAGGAAACTATTTTCTGTGACGTCGGAATAAATTTACATGTTAAGTGAGGAACCAACGTGACTGACAAATCGACCAATCAGCTTAATGAGTTGCATTATGGTTTACTACAAAAATACTACACGTGTGTTTCTAAAGGGACAATTTTTTTAATCGCTCTCGGAAAAACGTGATGCATTTTTCCAAGCATTTTACACACTTAATACAATATGAGCATCATTAGGCCATCCTTAAAAAATTGTTTGTTTGGAATTGCCGCCTGAAAGGTTTCAGACATAGGAGGGAGGGAAATTATTTTTTTTTTTTAGATTGAAGAAAAATTTTTAATTTTTGATAAAAGTCTCAGTAAATAGTAAATACATTTTCTGACTTTTAAAAAAAAGTATCTACCATCAACAAAAAAAACCTGATTTTACATAGATCTGACACTATATTTCAATGTTTTGTATGGTGCATGTGATACATGTAATGGGCAAAAAAATTGATTAAATAAACAAAAATCTTCCTACTTTTGGTCAATAAAATTTTTTCAGGAGGGGGCAATTTTAATGAGGCGGGAGGCAATTCCAAACAAACTATAATTTTATTTTGGCCTTATCTACTTATTCCATGCTCACATTTACATACAAATGATTTACAATGATAAGAATTAGGTTTTCTCCACTCCATTGTACAAGTCCATTTGTTGACAGCTTTCCCCGTGCTGTCAGTGTAAAGTCAATTTCACGTGACTATTCCTTGGTCCAAAAACACTCAACTATGAGGTATGCTCACGTATTGTCAATGTTTTCAACGTATACAACTTCAAAATATATGCTACTCACGTTCTATGATCAACGTGCATGAGGGTTTATATAACAGGCAAATAATAAAAAAGTGCAACTTAAGAATTCTTTTTTTTTTGTTTATAAAATGCAACTTTTAATTTCTAGTAACAAATAACTGAGCAACAACTAAATAAATTTAACCAGTAACATTGCAAATTAACGAATATCGAGTTAAAAAACTTGAGTCTTATTTATGCCCTGTTCACACGACGAGTTTAATTCGCAGTAAATTAATGCGAAGTAAACTAATGCGAATCAAATTAATGCGCATTAAATTGCGTTCACACGACAGCTAATGCGAAGTGAACTAATGCGAATTAAAATTTTTCTTCTACAGTCAGGTGTCAGTAAGTCTATGACGTCATTTGTAAATCACGTCATGTGTGCAGAGTCATCCTTTGATACATCATGTAGTGGCTACAGGTATTCATTGATTTTAGTGATTAACATACCTTCCCTCAATTTTTGAACCAAATATAGTACAAATACTTATATATAACCACCAACACGTGTCCTGTGACTTAATTCTGGCCTTACGCATGCGTCAAAATTTAATTCGAATTAGCTTCGCTTACCGTTCACACGGAGCTAATGCGAAGTAATTTAATGCGCAGTAAATTAATTCGAATTAAACTAATTCGCATTAAATTCTCCGTGTGAACGCTAAGCGAAGCTAATTCGCAGTAACTTTACGTTTAATTCGAATTAAACTCTCCGTGTGAACAGGGCATTACTAATGTGAAGACTTTGTGAGCGGTATTTCAAAGTACTATTTAACGAGGAAAACTTACTTTGTTTGTTATTGTGAGCATGGAGAATCTTAATTAGTGCCCTATCTTCGTATTTTTCATAACACATTTCAAAAAAATTGTTATCTGACTTTCCTGCAGTCGTTTAAAATCGCGTCCTAAATTTCCGTGATCCACGTGTTTGTAGTAATAATAAACATGTAGTAGACCACCATGCTTTTCGGCTCATTCACTGGATTGGACAATTGTTTGCTGTGAGCACCTCTGTGCGCAATAGCAACAATATCCATATAAGGTAGTTTCCTCGACCTGTTGAAGAAATAATTTATTGTAGAAATTTCCTATTTTGGGTGGATTATGAGGTATAATTTATTTATTCTCTGTTTCATACATGCATTTTATCTAAAGTACATTTATCTTATAGGAACATGAGATTCGAGTACAATATACAAACAGCTGTTTGAGTTTGAACAATAAGCTACTTAATGTGCTTCCGTGTAACAACGGCATGAATCAGAGGTGGACTTGGACTAGAAAAGTCGAGGGAGACCCAGTGATTCAATGAATAATGTAGTTAATGATTTGTAAAAGTATTTTTCAATGGAGTTACTTAATTGTTATCATTAACTTAATGAACACATATGCACTTCCTAATATATGAATGTACAATGTATGTTTGATAGGTGATTTCATTTAACTTTAAGGTCTAATTTGTCTGAAGTTGTGGTTTTCTCGATCATTTGATTGTGCAAAAATGGAAATGTTGTCTGAAAGTATGAATGAGGCTTGAAAAGTTTGATCACTTACCTGAAATAAAATGTTTACTTATACCAGTGTCATGTTTACATGTACATGTATTAATGTGTACGATGTACGGTTTAAAAAATTAATGTCTTATGATTGCTTCTTTTTTGCAACTGCAATGAGATTCAAGATTTAAAATCAGTTAGATTGGAAATTGCTGATTTACAAACGGCTTGACCATCTGACCAAAACAACTAAGTACAAATACCAGAGTTATCTTTCTTTTTCCTAAAACTACGTCATGTACATCCTTAAAATCAACTAACATACACAAACTAGATATTGATGTTAGGCTTATATTTGTATAAAATCATTTCATTGGAAAGCATAAATTTCTAAATCTGTACCCTTTTGATCCCGCATCGCTCCCTACCACCAAATCTGCCTTTGAAACTCTTTACAATGTGGTAAAGCTACAGACTTTTCTCCAAACTAAGTGAAATATACATGTTTTTTTTCTTTTTATTGAAACAATTAATAATCAGCTCATAATAATAATACAGCTTATGTTGTTTTCACAATTACAACATTCACACAACATATAATAAAAAAAACAGTTTTACTGTAAAATATTAATACTCCAGAAAATTGGAGAGGATGTGTTTTTGCAGAGTATTATGCTGTTTGTTATGTACCTCCTCTTCAACATTTAACAAAATGCTGTTAAACATGATATCAAATACATTCAATTCACATAATTATGAGATGCCCATAATAACATACTAAATATAAGTGATACATATACATACTGTATGAATATAAAAAATACCATCAAAGTAATAAATATCTGTATCAATATGTAGTGGAAATAGTGAAAAAATGCCAAGCTATAAAAAGACAAAAATTCTCTGGGTCCTAATAAGTAAATGTATATAAATCTTCAAAAATGATTTTCTTTTAAAAAATTATTTTTAGAATTGGTCTGACATCACAATTTGAAAAAAAAATGCTTAGACTGATACAGACAATGATTTAATATGACATCTTTTTATCCTAAATTAAAAATACGCAATCTACCATAATTGACACTATTGAATGAAAATAACACATATATTACATTGCACTACAAAATCATTAATTAAATTTATATTATAATACATGTACACCCAGGCTATAGAATAACTTCACATAGTGTGCAATGGTAAAAAAAATCCATGATTCCACTTGCTCTCCAAATCTGAAACTTCTAAAATTTTACATAAATTATAAGAACTGCATGCACCAAAATAATTTATGTACAATCTAGCAATAATTTTTTAGAAAACAAGTCTCTTAAATTGTCTTAAAGTATAAATTGTTAGATAATGTTTCAAGCCTTAACACAAATTTCTCCTAAATTTACAATGTATCACCTTTATATACAATATTTCATTTTTTTAAAAAAAGTTATACATTGTACATCTTTGGCATGAATACAATAGTATACATGTTTATGTTTAGCTTAAATAATTTTAACAAGGAGGAAATTAAAAGCAAGAAATATTGGTTAAAGATGGGGACAGCAGGAAACCATGGTAACCATGTGACACACTGTGAAGCTATGATACCTCCTGGGGGCCATTATTACGACTTCGTCATTAACTTAAGGTATTGCAATGCATTATGGGCCGCGTGAGCATGCGCCTCGTCCACAGTCAGTCCTGTTCCATGACAGACGGCTACGGGCATGGTGGACAACTGAACCAGGCACTGTCTTTGTCCTGAAACAAGAGAAAAAAGATTTTCATCACATTACATTTTGAGTTCTCTGATCAATATAAACACAAACAGTAGTCTTCATTCACTTTCACTGTGATCTATTACCTTTTAAACTTACATCTGAGTCATGTTCAACAGACCAAATGCTCACTAAATTCCTTATACCTCCAAAAGAAATGTTTGCAAGTGCTTGCTCTGTTGAACAGGTCTCTGCTTTGTCCATATAGCTATGACCCCTCACCTTTTGAACTTATATACCATACGTTTTGATTAGCTAGGATCCCCTACCTTTTGAACTTATATCAGCTATGTCCATATAGCTGACCTCGAATCGCTGCACCTCTGATATTTCTTGCAACATTTGGCAGTAGTTGGAGGCAGGGGCTGTCAGTTTGCTGTTTTTAATTTTGTTGTTATTTTTAATTTTCTGATAAAACTGCTGGATTTCTTTGTTCTGTTGAGGACTGGGTATGGGTACCTTGGTCTTGCCTTCTTTCAAAGCAGTGTATGATGCACGAAGTTCAGAGGCATTCTGATAAAAAAAAAAAGAAAAAATATATACTTATCATAATGGGTGACATGTTTTACATGACAGTATATAAAAGGCACAAATTCAGCTTTAATTTTACCATGCATCAAAATAATTTTAACCTAAAAATAGCAAAAAATTAAAGGAATTTTTTTCAAATCCCTTTTTCTCTAGATCCTATGTAACCTGGGACATGAGGACCCTTCAACTGATGAGACCATATCAACTGAGATCCGTGTCACTATAAATGAAAATGCTGGCATGAAAAAGATGCTCAATGGCCGTAGGTGCCAAATACAGGACAAAATTTGCACTCTCCAATGCCAAGTGGTGGTGTCTCCATCTGAGTGAAAAATTCTCCAGAGGGACATTAAACAACAAACAAACAAACCCTACCAGAGGGATTTCATCCTCTTCTTCCGAGTCCTCTATCTTTGTGTTGTCATCTCCGTCCTGTGTAATGTTCTTAATGTGAACCAGCATGGCACTTGCTGCGGCTCTCTTAGCCGTCTTCTTAGACCTTCCAGTTCCTAAAAATAATTCATTTTAAGATTTATAATACACAATATTCCTTATCATTTCCCTTAGAAACTTAAAAGAGTTTGAAGCCTTCTTCAAACAAGAGGCCCAAGGGCCACAGCGCTCACCTGAGCACATCGGGCTTGAATTTACCCCCCCCCCCCCGGCGTTCATCATTTGAACAAACTAGAATCTACACTACCTGAGGATGATTCCATATAAATAACACTAATCATAGCTTTGAAGTACTTGAAAAGAAGATTTTAAAATGTTTCCCTATATATAATCCCTATATAAAACTTTGGTGGGCCATTTTGGCCCCACCCTAGACCCAGGGGTCATGATTTGAACAAACTTGAATTTACACTACCTGAGGATGATTCCACATGAATTTCATCTTTCCTGGCCCAGTGGTTCTGGAGAAGAAGATTTTTAAAGATTTTTCCTATATATTCCTATGTAAAACTTGGGTCGGCCATTTTGGCCCCACCCTAGCCCTGGGGTCATCATTTGAACAAACTTGAATCTACACTACCTGAAGATAATTCCACTTGAGTTCCACCTTTCCTGGCCCAGTGGTTCTGGAGAAGAAGATTTTTAAAGATTTTTCCTATATATTCCTATGTAAAACTTGGGTCGGCCATTTTGGCCCCACCTTGCCCTGGGGGTCATCATTTGAACAAACTTGAATCTACTCTACCTGAGGACGATTCCACATGATTTTCGTCTTTCCTGGCCCAGTGGTTCTTGAGAAGAAGATTTTTAAAGATTTTTCCTATATATTCCTATGTAAAACTTGGGTCGGCCATTGCCCTGGGGGTGGCCCCACCCTAGCCCCAGGGGTCATCAAAGAAGATTTTTAAAGATTTTTCCTATATATTCCATTTTGGCCCCACCCTAGCCCCAGGGGTCATCATTTGAACAAACTTGAATCTACACTACCTGAGGATGATTCCACATAAGTTTCATCTTTCCTGGCCCAGTGGTTCTTGAGAAGAAGATTTTTTTAAAATGCCATTAATTTTTCTCTAATTCATAATTATCTCCCCTTGGAAAAGGGCGTGGCCCTTCATTTGTACAAACTTGAATCCCCTTTACCCAAGGATACTTTGTGCCAAGTTTGGTTGATATTGGCCCAGTGGTTCATGAGAAGAAGATGAAAATGTGAAAAGTTTACGATGACGACAACGACAACGACTACAACGACGACAGACAAAGGACAAATTTTGATCAGAAAAGCTCACTTGAGCCTTCAGCTCAGGTGAGCTAAAAAAAAATTTTTTGTTTGCCCTAACTCTCCCAACAGACTGGCTAAAAATGGCCCAACTCAAACTTTTTTTAATCTCTAAGATTAAGAAACAGTTAATTTTTTTTATGCATTCTAGAAAACAGATTTTAAAAATTTAGCATTGAAATAAAAATTTTCTCACTGACCTAACTACCAAATTTTTCATCCTGAGTCTAAAGAGGGCAAACAAACTTCATTTTCAAGTTGGCCTGATCAATTGATCTATTCATTCACAACAAATAAATCCTTTACCATTCAGTTCCTGTGTCAGTCTGACAGTCAATTTCAACAATTTACAAATAAAAATAAGAGGATTATAAAATTGTTAAAATAGAAAAACATTTCTCAGTTAATTTTCCTAATTTACATGTACCTTTCTCTGTGAATTTCCCGAGCTTGACGGTACACACAAACTCCCTGTTGTGGGGAGGGCCCTGCTCACTGCCAAACTCGTAGACGGGCGGCTTGATTAGCTTCTTCTGAGTGAACTCTTGTAATTCTCCCACAGGATTCCCAGCATCATCAACGTCTACCATGTTCCCAGATGGTCTAAAATTAACAACAGAAAAAAGTACTATAAAATAACATATTTTCATGGGGTCAAATTTTCGTAGTTTGAGTGAAAACTTGGTTCAAGGGGATTGGATTTCGTGAATGAAGAATTGTTGAGTAGTTATGTAATGACATATAACATTTCATAGTGGACAGTAATTCTTGGGTCTCTTCGTTCATCAAAAAAATCGAAAATTAAACCTACCACCCCCCTATTCCCCACAAAAAATTAGCGATTTCGTATTATTTATTTCAAATATCAACTAAATGTATATGTATCAGGATTTTTTTTTTCAATGCTCTCCCTAAAAACACTGCAATTCTTATTTCTTTAAAACAGATTAACCATTTCCCAGGGGATATTATATTGACAGTCAAAATTCTCAACTTGGGATTAACAAACTAAAATGAAAACTGTTTGGTGGACTAACCCTCTCCTCTCTGTATAATTAGATATTTCTGTGTATATTTGACTTATCCTGGGTCTGAGGGCACCTGTTCAGTGGGCTGACCCTCACCTCTCTCTATAATCAGACATTTCTGTGTATAATTGACTTACTGTCCTGGTTCTGAGGGCACCTGTTCAGTGGGCTGACCCTCTCCTCTCTCTATAATTAGACATTTCTGTGTATAATTGACTTACTGTCCTGGTTCTGAGGGCAACTGTTCAGTGGGCTGACCCTCTCCTCTCTCTATAATCAGACATTTCTGTGTATAATTTACTTACTGTCCTGGTTCTGAGGGCACCTGTTCGGTGGGCTGACCCTCTCCTAGCCCTAAAATTTGCTGGAGAGCTGCCAGGGCTGCACCATGCTTTGCTTTCTTCTTACTTGTTCCTAAAATAGAACAGACTGTTAAGGTAGCAAAAGTATGCACTAAACAAACAGAGAAGGATAAAACTCAGAGTAATATTGTTTTATGTTACCCATAAATTCACTAAATGCGAGACTTCCCTACCTTTACCAGTTGCGATTACATCACCGACAGTGACCCTCATAATAAACACTGGCTCATGAACTGCTCCCTCATTGGCCAACAAGTCATACTGTGGAGTTATCCCCCTTTTAGTGCTTATCTCCTGAAGAAAGCTGATAGGAGTCTTTCCGGGTGGTATCAATGCCATCTGGTACCGCTTGTAAAAAAATTAAATGAATAAATTAAATAAAACTGCATTATCTCAATCATTCCTTAAAAAAAGGATGCCACTGAAAATTAATTGTAAATTATCTTTAAATTTATAACCAATGTTTACAATGATAATTTTCATGTGTGGTAACATCATGGGAACCCACAGGTTTTCTCTCCGTTACACTGCATTCATTGGATTGAATGCAGTGTAACAAAGAGCAAACCTATGGGTTCCCACGATGTTGTGGGAAGGGCATAATGTGATTTCATTTGATTTTGCCCTATTGTAAATTTGCAAAAATGTGATGTGGACTGAATAGGCCAAAATAAATTTCCTTGTTTATGATACATGTGTGCATTGAAATATCTGCGCATTAGTAAATAATTAGTCACACATCTATCACTACATATTTTAATCCTCATGCTCATTGACACAGTATTTTGTTTATTTATTACATGCAGAGTATAGTCTTAAATAAATGCACCTGGAGATATCAAACAGTGGTAGTCAGACAGATTGGATCACCGGAGGACATCAACATCTATATCTGTTGATAGAGCACCTGCTTGTTACTAACGTTTTAGAAGGCTTAGGTTTGAATCATGGTTCAAATGCATTTTTTTCTACCTGGTTACATTACAGCTGGGTCTGTGACTAGGATATGACATGTCAAAGACATGCTAGAAAAGAACTTAGTTGGGGTCTTGTATTAGGCAAAAAATACAGCTTACAGGAGAGAGGAATGTTGAGATCAGGTGATTTTATGTCTGGTTGATGGATAAATTTAGCTCAGGTACTAGAGCACCTCGCTGGTAAAGCACCTAGATAGCCCAGTCTTAAATTTGTCTTGTCTGTCATATTATTTTTAAAATTATTTTCCTTACATCTAGTGTCATGCAAAGCAGTGATAGAAAAACATGGCAGGAAGGAACCACTCTGAACCAGGCATGGGGCCATAAACTTGAACAATTTTACTTTTGACCTCAGTCTCACTTTATGAACTCCTTTGGTATAAGTGAGGCTGAGATAAAAAGTGAGGTCATCTAAAGACACAGAAAAAATAAGTGGAGCACCTTACTATTTGATGAGTGAGCCTCCAGATTAAAATTTTGGTCTGTTTAATAAATTTTGTTGTAAAATTTGCAAAATTGTGCAGCAGCATAATCATACAGGCCGGGTTAAAGACTCAATGCCAACACTATATGGGATGGGAGTGCAATCACCCCTGCCTTACATCGCAACAAAATGCATAGGTGTCACCCAATATTGTATTCATTTTCTTATTCTGGCTTCTGGAAGGGCTTAACATGCTTAAGGGTATGCCTTTATCCTCTATCATGGTCTACATGGTCTATGTTCTCACCTACCCTACATCTAATTTGAGATTCCTCCGACTCTAACCCCTGCTTTTTATATCATGTATATTGTACATGTGACCTGCACATGTCACAAAAAGCAGACGTTAGAGTCGGAGGAATCTCGGATTACCCCACAATAATCAACTTAAGGCCACATCCTTTTCCTGAAGGATAAAACCTGGTATTCTCTCTCCCTTGGAAGCAGATAATGATGAAATATCGTTTTAATGTCAGGACTCTCTCGATTTATAAACAAAATTGTACGCATATTACCTTAGATTATAAGTTAACTCTATGTATTAGGCGAGATGTTGGTGCACATGCAAAAGAAAATTGTTTGTCCACATGTAATGCCTCTGGTTTTATTAATAAAACCCGAGACTTTCAAAGTCGTAATTTTTTCTTGAGGCAGTCTCTCCCTTGGAAGCAGATAATGATGAAATATCGTTTTAATGTCAGGACTCTCTCGATTTATAAACAAAATTGTACGCATATTACCTTAGATTATAAGTTAACTCTATGTAACTTTTTCTTTATATTTATCCTTCTGATTTTATAATAACAAAGAAATTATTCTCATTGGCAAAATAATTTTTCTGTCAAATTGGTATTTAAATGGTAGTAAATGATGTTAACATTCCTTATTTTACGACATATGCCAAAAAGTTATTTACGTTTTCGAATTTCCTCGAAGATCGACCAGGAATGGTGCAAGGACTTTACCACGCGATCTGATACTTTATACAGGAAAAGGTGAACGTCTGTTTAGTTTTAAAAATGATTAATTTAGAAATCAGAATGAGAAGACTCTCCCAATCAAGTACTTATTGAGAATTTTTTGACACCAGTGACCACTATGGCCAATATGGGTGATCGTGTTTATCACCTGTGGGCAAATTTGCACATTATGCAAATTATCCCCATGTTTCCCATTTGAAGATTTTTTTTTCTAAAAGCATGAGAGTGTGACTAAAATGGGTAGCGGGTTTCAAAACTTTTTTGATAATTACAAGATAAATACTCATTCTTTCTTCACGAAATTTACAGACATAGTTTATAAGTATAGGTTTTGCCTTCGCTGAGAATTTTAAGTCAAAATGTTTTGTTTTTCGATGATTATCGCCGATTGTCCTTTTCCAGTGACTAAAATGGGTAGCGAGCCCGGTTTACTCATTTTGGCGATTTTAAGCTTAATGCATCGAAAGTGTTTGTGATATTTGCATTTAATGGTTGTTTATTAACTTCAAATAGTCAAATTGTTCAATCATTATGAAAATAAATGTCAATTATTAGGGGTTTTGTCAACTATTGTCGTTTCCCTTTTATCATGTTCATACCCAACAAACTAGAAAGTGATTCCTTAAATAACTTCCAAAATTTGAAGATTTTTTTTTCTATTACTATTAGCATTATAGAATTTCAAAAAATATATCTCATTATCTGATCTTTTTATTTGTAATGGTTTGGGCCGTGGATATCGGCCTGGATAGCTCAGTTGGTAGAGAACCTGACTGGAGATACAGGGGTCCCGGGTTCGATTCCCGGTCCAGCCATGCATTTTCTCCTTTCCTGTTACAGATTTGGTGCCGTTGACCACCCCTGGAATTGCAGGTGAAAGTCCTGCCAGGGGCAATAAGAACTTGGTTTGTGTCTTCGTGGGCGAAGACAATTTAAGGAGGGAGGAATGTAATGGTTCGGGCCGTGGATATCGGCCTGGATAGCTCAGTTGGTAGAGCACCTGACTGGAGATGGAGGGGTCCCGGGTTCGATTCCTGGTCCAGCCATACATTTTCTCCTTTCCTGTTACAGATTTGGTGCCGTTAACCACCCGTGGAATTGCAGGTGAAAGTCCTGCCAGGGGCAATAAGAACTTGGGTTATGTCTTCGAGGGCGAAGACCATTTAAGGAGGGAGGAATGTAATGGTTTGGGCCGTGGATATCGGCCTGGATAGCTCAGTTGGTAGAGCACCTGACTGGAGATACAGGGGTCCCGGGTTCGATTCCCGGTTCAGCCATGCATTTTCTCCTTTCCTGTTACAGATTTAATTAATTCATATTTTAATAAATATGAAAAAATTAAGGGCTCATACTCATACAAAGCTGCAGCTCTCTGCTTTATGATTCGGACAGATAAAGTAGAGAGCTACAGATTCAAGCGTTGTAAAAAACTTCAATTTATACTGCCAATTTCAGGTATTATTTCTGGTATTTTCCCTCGCTTTTAGAATGGTATCAGATGATTACTCATACATTTCACTTCTATTATTGATACTTATTTACCTTTGAATGGTCCAAAACAGTCCTTTAAGGTTTTGGAAAATCAATCGGTTTTTAAAAAATCCTATTTTGACATCCCTTAATTACCAAAGATAGCATTTTGGAACTGTTGAAAGGTGAATAAAATATCAGGAATATGAGATAAATTCATTAATGATCAGATACCATTTTTAAAGTAAGCTGGGAAAAGCATAAAATACTAGAAGTATAATACTCGAAGTGAGCGACAAAAAATGGGCGGTGTTAATCAAATTTAAGGTTTTTACAACACTTTGATCTGTAGCTCTCTGCTTTATTTGTCCAAATTTTTTCAGGCAGAGAGCGACAGTTCTGCAGCTAACTCATACATACAGAATTGAAGTTTATTCCACACATTCTGCAGTATATCATTATCAGTCAGTTTTAGAAATTTAACATAAATATATTACATCGTTAAGCATGTTAAATATTAGTTCATGTACCAAGGAAAAACTTAACAAAAGCCAATGGCATTTTTCCAATGGGGGTCCTTATTTTTGTGGACTAGACGTACTTAAAATATGTTCTAAAAGAAGTGGGATCAAGTTAACAACACGTACAGCTTCATTTTTTTAAGGTTCATATCTTTGTTAATATTTCAGGAGGAAGAAGACATGAATGATGGAGAACTACACAAAAGGTGAAACAAGAGAAGTAGAGATGGAGCCAGTGTTTGAAGTCAATGAAAACTGTGTAGACATGAAAGTTAACGCAGGCAGCAAAATCCGAAACGTGATGGGATACGCAATGAATAAAGTCAAGGTATGAAATCAGATGAGATGTTGCAAATACCAAATTAGACGATAGATATTACCATTATAATGCAATCTTTGCATTTTGTTTGTTGTTTATGTCTTATTTTGTTGCTTTTTTATACTAAATATGTCACAGAGCATTGTGTTTTTGGCGTCAATCTACTATGACGTCCCAATGAAAAGCTTTCACTCTTGTTAATGCTCGTTTTACAGCTTCAAACTTCCGTAAATTAGCCAATCAAAACGTGTTTTACAGAACAATTGCATTAGAATTAAAATTTAAATCTTGAATCCTTCCCAGAACCCCTCAGTGAAGAGAATTGTGTGGAATGGATCAGGCAAGGCCATCACTAAGACAGTTACTTGTGCAGAAATCATGAAGAGGAAAATTAAGGTACTCACACTAAAAAAAAAAACAACTTTTAAAAACAAAGTTTTGGCTGAAATATTCCATACATCAGTACAAAGCAGGCTTTAATGATCTGCTTCACTCTTCATAAACGCCTGGCCTATCATAAAATTTAGGATTTTTTTTCGCGAGATCGGGTTTGAGTTTTTGTTAGTATGATTTGACCAATCAGTGAGTGTATTGCAAAGCTACTGTAAGAGTAAATTACTCTTTCTACATTAAGGATTTTTTTAGACTCTACTAAGTAGAGATTGGCAAAGATGCATAAACCATGATACATTAGATAACTTGCCTTTTTTAAAGAGTATTTGCTATAGCATCATCCAACTTATATGTAAATTTATTGTGGACATGATGTAATCTTGAATTGCAGACTTACCGTAGACTTGCTCTTTAGCTATTGCTCGGTCCCTGGTTTTTAAATATTCTATAAATACTTTAATATTTAAAAAGTTAATTTTTCTTTATTTCTGTCAATGATGAAACATGTTTATTAGAGAAGATTTGAGATAATCCTGACTTAGATAGCACCATATGCCAAAGATATGAAAGAAATGTTGCAGTTGACTTAGACTAACAAACTTAATGATATAAAAGGTTATGAACCTGGCAAGATATGACGGATTCTGTAAAGTTTATAAATCACTATAATAATTAACATTTTCTTTTTCTGTTTTAAAGGGTCTTCATCAAATTACGAAGCTCAGAAACAGAAGGTATGTTTCATTAAAAAAATGCTTTTCTTAAAAAAATATTTATAAAGTATTTGATGTCCATATAATATGTGTATAAATATTAAAAGATATGGAAAGAAAATGCAAAATTCCTCAGTTAAGCTTTGGTGCTCCCATTTTCATTTTTTTTTTTCAATAAATTTTGTGTACATGTATAAAAAATATATAAATGTATCACACATTTGATTTAAAGTGATGACAGATAGCGTCGCTGTAGGATTGTTCCCTCAATGGATACTTAGGTTATGTTTGTTTCTTGCTTTTGTCTTTCATATTGATAAAAGGTGTACTGTTTGCAAACTTTCTAAATCTTTACATTATTTTGTATTTAAGAATTGAAGAGTTCTGGGAACCAAACATTGAAGGACTAGAAAGGTCAGTTTGAGAAATGAGAGTGATTTTCCAGTAAGTTTTCTACTTGTAATATAAATTTTTATTTTATCTGCGACAAAAAATAAGTTCATTAAAATATAGAGTCTGTTCATACAACTACAGTGGAGCCTCATTTATCCGGATACTTTGTTTCCTTGTCAATTTGTCTGGATATTTGAAGCATCCGGATAACTGAATTACCAGTTAAACAAGACAAAATAACTTTTAAAAATTCTGCTCCTATAAATTATTGTCCATATACTGAAGCATCCAGATATATGGCATCTGGATATCTGAAGGTCCACTGTACAATGTAATCCTTATTCTTTAGATTAAAAGTCAACAGAGACATACCTGCCATTTCTATCTTGTTGTCCAAGGATCCTCTAGATGTCAACACACCTGGGTAAAACATAAGTTCTCTTTTGTATATATGTAATCAACATAAATTCTTTTTTGTAAATATGTAATCAACATAAATTCTCTTTTGTAAATGTGTAAACAACATAAATTCTCTTTAAATTGAAAATATGCAACCAATTCAACATAAATTCTCTTTTGAAAATATGTAACCAACATAAATTCTCTTTTGTAAATATATGGATTCATAAATCATTTACTATGAGTTTTAACTCAATAAAGATGTTGCAATTCAGAGAACTTAATGTCTAGCTACAAATTTACATTATAGTGAATATGAAAGAAATATTTCTTTGTAGAGTTTTAATCTCATGGTTATTACATGTATAAATGGAGGACAAAAGATGAAAGATTTCTTGAGCCTCACAAAATACTTTCTGATGCATGTATTTTATTTTACCCTCTTTTCACTTTAGATGTATTAGTAAGAAAGAGGTTTTTAAATTCTTTTATTATTAATGAAGATTTTGTTATTCCCCTTAGATATCAAGCCCCCGGATCTTTTGAGGAGTTTTGGAAATCTGAAACACAGCAGCAGAAACCAGCAAAGAAGAAGCATAGAAAATATTACACCAAAAAGGGTATTGACAGTGCTAAAAATAAGAACACTGAGACATCCAAAAGCTGACAGAAGAAGATCGAGGTCTGCTTCACAGGATAACAGAGATACAAAGATCGAACAAGACACTCATGGGGAACTAGTTTCATTTTGTACTTTCAACTTTATTTTAGTTACAAAACATTTATTAACCCAGAAAATTTATGGAACATTTTTTTGTCATTTTTTATTAGAGCTCTATTGGTAACCAATACAAGAGAGGTGTTCAAGTGTGATGGAGACAGTTTTAATTGTTATTAATTCTCATCAGTATTTTGTAAAAGTACCCTCAATAAGAGAGTTTACATGATCTTATACTTGTTTGTCAATTTAATAATTTGTATGAATATTAGTTTATAATTGACAAATTAAAGCATTTGTGATTGATCCTCTCTGTTTCTGCTATTGGTTATTTTCATAAAACACTCGTACATGAAAGAAACTATTCAAGAAGCAACAAAGTGTTCATACAAGACATACAGTCTGAGAAAACTTTTAGCTATTTGTGTTTTATTTTGATTTGACAGAAAAAACGAAACAAACAGAAAAATTATATAATACAAATAAAATCATGATATTCCAATTAAAAAAATACATGTAAGAAATTTTAAAAATATATACAAATGGACAATTATACAATACAAATTGGAAATTATTCAATACAAATAAAAATTATTCAATATACATGAACAAATGGAAAAAATAAATACAAATTGGAAATTATTATAAAATTTAAATTATGCTAGTGGTTATATAAAATAAAATTAAAATACTTATCATAAAATTCAAATAATAAAATTAAATACAGATGCAGTCTAACTAAACCAGTTCTTACAATTTCACTTCAATAATAGGAACACATGTACAGACAGTGAAATACATGTAGTAGGGGCTGGCTTTAGTCAGACTTAATACAGACGGAAAATATGAAACAATATACTTATGGAAAATTATACTTGAATTTAATTTAAAAAAAAACAGATTGAAAGTGATTGCATAATACATGTAGTAACTTATAGAATACAAATGGAAAATTAAACATTCAAGTGGAAAATTATTCAAAACAAAATTGTATGCATACCATGCGCGGATCTAGAGGGCGGATCAGGACCCCCCCCCCTCCCCCCCCCCGGAATTTCCAGGTTATTAAATCTATATACAAAAGCAAGGAAAAAGGTAACTTGGACCCCCCCCTCAGAAAACGCAGACCCCCCTGGTAAATGTAAACTTGTATTAAAGTGGTCTGAAAAGTTAAACATTTGAAGCATTAAAAGTCATTGCCTACCCCCCCCCCTTTTTTTTTTTTTTTTTTTTGCTTAATTGTCAAGAAATTTTCTGGGTTGAAATATTTTTTTGACAGGGGTGGACCCCTGCATGCAATGAAAATGGAAAACAATATTAATGGTATATTACAGTGGCGTAGCATCGTTTTTGAAAGTGGGGGGGGGGGGGCCAGCCAGAGGAAAATTTCTTTTTACTTACCTGAAAAAGTTGACAAGCAAAAAAAAAAGCCCCCCCCCCCCCCCCCCCCCCCCCCCCGGTTGCTACGTCCCTGTATTATCAAAAACAAATTAAAATTATACTTTACAAATAAAACATCCATGCCATGGGTATGTTATTCCCAGCCAACATTCTCAGGTTTTTTATTAGTACGATTAGATTATTTATTAAAAGAAACGTAATATTTGAACATAAATCAGATTTCTGATAGAACATAAAACATGTAAAACCACTTTTGTTACCAACTGCATGCCTGGTTCTGACACACTGAAAAAAAAAAAATTAATGAGCAAGTTTCAAAAAAATGGAAAGAGTGATCAATGTCTTTATGTTATGTAATATTTCTTCCCCATCTTTCAGTTTCGGCTGCTTGTTACGCAATTCCAAAGTTTCCCATGGTCAAACCTTACCCCGTCGTAGACCAATCAGAGATCTCCATCATGATAACGTGTTTAGATGCTGTGTTTAACTGACCAGTATCTAGCCGCAAATTTGGATGCACACCCACTCAGCACACCTCGGTCGAAAACATGATAACCACCTCGGCCCCAGTGTTTTGATTCTACCACGTTCATTGTTCATTAGGTTTATTATATGCTTCAAACACTGGTAAGTGTACAGAATTAATTTAAAGATTATAAGAAAAACTTATGGTGAAATAGTTGTAATCTAATGTCTGAACATGCTGAATGTTCAACAGTTAAAATTCCATGTACACAATGGAGTAAAATATTTGACATGTTTGAACACTAAATCGTTCTAAATATTAATGTACATTGTATGCTAATGTAAAGAGTTTATACTATTGACGTACAGTTAAATGATTGTACTGAGTAAGTAGAATGATTCAGAAACAATGCCCAGACCACATTGTTTACTTTTGTTTTGGCGCGTAAATTCTGTAGCATTCATATTAAACGCGAATGTTGAACTGATTGTCTGATCAGAGAAAGGCAAGAGTGTGCAATTTAAAAGTAAGATAGACATTCGAGTATCTGTTATTTACCATAAAACTTCGAGAATAATATTTTCTTGTGTATTTATTTGATCAAAACATTGCTCAAGGTGAAGGTCGTCCATTCAAAATTGGGATTTGTATGTAGAAATTCTAACAAAACGAAATAAATGTGAACTACAGCGAAACAATTCATTTGTAGCGCAATCATAGACGGCTTAGCCTGATTTATTTACATGTACATATAGTTAGCTCTTCTGGTCAGAGACCAGGCCCCAGGATCATGAAACATCTTAAGTCTAAGTCAAAATGTTCATGTTATATTAAAAGTTTGATTAAATCAAGCATACAAAAATTATAATAATTGTCCATATTGCTTCACACAAGTGCTGTATTCTGAAAATTTAGATTTCTATTCAATAATAAATAAACATTTTACAGCCGATTGAAAATTTGACTTAAGTCCAAGTCTGTTTTATGATCCTTGGGCCTGAAGATCTTATGTGATGGTTGTTTAGCAGAACTTAAAAGACTACCACTTTGGTCCAAAATTTCCCTCTCAAGTATCAAATATTGGAATCACCTGAAAACTTCTGATTCTTTGGCCTTTAAACTTTACCAATCCACAATTAACTGTAATTCTTGGACTAAGAAATTATTTTCTATTCTTGATAATCTTGGATTCTCTAACATTACAAAATATACAGGTTCCATCCAACACCTTTTACCAAACCTTAAACAAAGAATCATTGATCAGTGCACTCAAGAGCAAACATCAAAAATCTTTGGTTCAGAAAAACTTGATCTCTTCAAGAAAGTATACTCAGGAAAAAGAAGTCCTTATGTTGATTTACTCAAAAAAAGATCTGAGAGATCCTCTCTTAGTAAAATTAGACTAAGCGCACATAAACTTGCAATAGAAAGTGGTAGATATATTTCCACATCAAGAAATGAAAGATATTGTAATGTTTGTAATACTGGTGTGATTGAGGATGAAATACATTTTCTTTTTCACTGTAATTCTTACTCTAAGCTAAGAAACGCATTCTTTAGTAATATTTATAACATAACAAAGAAAAATATTAATCTTAGCAATGAGAAATATATGCTACAATTATATATAAACAGTAATATACAAAAAGTCTTGAAAGTTACTGTTAAATTTATCAGAGACTGTTTTGATCTTAGAAGTCAATTACTTGACAATTCTTGAAAAAATATGTAAACATTATTTAATGTTGTTCAGTGGGCCTTTGCCAATTATTGTAATTGTGTTTGTGCCAATAAAGTATTTGTATTTGTATTTGTATTTGTGATAGTAAGGTACCTCCGTCCATCTGTCTGTAAACAATTTCAAAATGCTACTCCTCCAACAGTTTTTGTCTGATTTCAATAGAACTTGGTACACAAGTAGACTACGATAAGATACATAATTCTGTGTATCAATCGGCACACGTAAATTACAATAAGATACATTATTTAGTGCATCATTTTTTTTTAAGGTCACCTGAGTAAACTCAGGTGACCTATTGCTATCTGTTTTTGTCCGTCGTCGTGCATCGTCCGTCGTGTGCCGAGCATTAACATTTGATCAATTTTCAGCTTCTTCCCTGCAACCGATCAACCAATTTTGGCACAAAGCATCTATGGATGAAGGGTTACAAAAATTGTGAATTTCATGGTCCCTGCACCCCTTGGACCTGAGGAGTGGGGCCAAAACCACTAAAATCAGTGCAATCTTCAAAAATCTTCTTTTTGAGCTCACCTAAGCCGAAGGCTCAAGTGAGCTTTTCTGATCACATTTTGTCCGGCGTCCATCTGTCTGTAAACTTCTCACATTTTTGACTTCTCAAGAACCACTAGGCCAATTTCAACCAAACTTGCCACAAAGCATCCTCTGGTGAAAGGGATTCAAGTTTGTTCAAATGAAGGGCCACGCCCTCATTCAAGGGGAGATAATTGGGAATTAATGAAAATTTGGTGGCATGTTTTAAAAATCTTCTTCTGAAGAACCACTGTGCCAGAAAAGATGAAACTTATGGAGTAACATCCTCAGGTAGTGTAGATTCAGGTTTGTTCAAATCATGACCCCCGGTGGTAGGGCGGGGCCAAAATGGCGGACCAAAGTTTTACATAGAAATGTATGGGAAAATTCTTTAAAAATCTTCTTTTCAAGAATGACAATGCCATAATTCATCATATTTATATGGAAGCATCCTCAGGTAATGTAGATTCAAGTTTGTTCAAATCTTGACCCCTTGGGTAGGGCAGGGCCAAAATGGCCGACCAAAGTTTAACATAGAAATATATATATATAGGAAAATTCTTTAAAAATCGTTTTCTCAAGAATAGCAAAGTCATAATTCATCATGACTCAAGATCATAGATTCAAGTTTGTTCAAATCATGACCCCCGGGCGTAGGTTGGGGCCAAAATGCCTGACCAAAGTTTTACATAGAAATATATAGGAAAATTCTTAAAAAATCTTCTTCTCAAGAATAGCAAAGTCATAATTCATCATATTTATATGGGAGCTTCCTCAAGTAGTACAGATTTAAGTTTCTTCAAATCATGACCCCCGGGGGTAAGGTAGGGCCAAAATGGCCGACCAAAGTTTAACATAGAAATATATAGGAAAATTCTTTAAAAATCTTCTTCTCAAGAATGACAAAGCCATAATTCATCATATTTATATGGAAGCATCCTCAGGTAGTGAAGATTCAGGTTTGTTCAAATCATGACTCCTGGGGGTAAGGTAGGGCCAAAATGGCCGTCCAAAGTTTTACATAGAAATATATAGGAAAATTCTTTAAAAATCTTCTTCTCAAGAATAGCAAAGCCCTAATTCATCATATTTATATGGAAGCAAATCTATTATTTAAATATACATACGGCATATTGGTTCCTGAGTTTATGGGCCTCTTGTTACCCCTGGACATCACCTAGTCAAACTGTTGGCATGATTTTAATCAGCGCTCAGTCATTTACCAAAATTGTGAAATTCATGGCCCCAGGGTCAGGGGTTCTGGTGTTAGGGCGGGGCTCTATTGATCATATATAGTGAAAATGCATAAATTCTTTTAAAATCTTCTCCTCTGCTCCTGGGCATTAAATAAACTAACCAAGTACAAAGTGATATTGAATAAGGTTGCCTCTTCCAAAAATGTGAATTTCATGCCCCCTGGGTCAGGGGTTCTGGTGTTAGGGCTGGGCTCTATTGATTATATAGTGAAAATGCATGCAGGTTTATATAGTCTGAAAATAAAGTAATTGCCAGAAACTTTGACATATATCTGCTCTTTGATTTTAATCAACCATTTATGATGAAATGAAATTAATGATAAAATTTCCATAAATCTTAATATATGGCCCAGGGTCAGTGGTTCCTCTGGGTTGGTGTGCACAACAGTTACATGTACGGGTGGTTTATATAAAGTGGAAATGCATTTTCTCTTTGATATTCTGATCTACATGTGGGTATTATATAAAGTAACCAAAGTAACACGCTAAGTGTATAGTTATGATAAACAATGCTGCCTCTATCAAAATTGTGAATTTCAAGGCTTTTGGTTTAAAATAGTCCAACCAAATTCAGTTGTTGGAAAGTTGTTACAATTTGCTCAGGTGACCTATAAGGCCCATGGGCCTCTTGATTATTTCTATGATCGGTGTTGCCCTGGTTACTAAAAAAATTAATTTCTGTTAAATTCCTTTCAAACACTACTCCTCCTACAGTTTTGGTCTGATATCAATAATTTAATGACACACAATTTTACTACACTAAGATACACAATAATTTAATGCATCGGTTTTTGATTTCAATAAAAGGTTTTACCATGGTTACTAAATATAGAAACTTCTTTGAAATACTTTCAAAATGCAACTTCTCCCACAGTTTGGTCTAATTTGGCACACAAAATGCCCCCCCCCCCCAAAGAGACTTAATCAAGGACCATTATTATATTATTCCTGTTGTAAAGTTTCAGGCCCTACCAATCAGTACATGTAGAGCTACATTCTCAACAGAGACTTCTTTTTTTTTTTTTTCTCCAGAAATTCACCAAGGCTATTTCTACTTTTTTTTCCTGATAGCCTGACCTGCTAAAATGGCCCGACTCAGAATTTTCCCTGTCAACATGTTACTGTACCCGTATATTTTGATCAAACTATATTTAAAAGAAATGGCCAGCCCGAATGAATAATCAAGCAGTATTTAATTTTCTTTATCAAGCAGTATTTAATTTTCTTTTAATTTTCTTTGTTAAAACATACAAGACAATGCCAATAATTAGTTCTTTAACCAGTTTACCATGTACCAGCTAATTTGTAAAGTGCGATATTACTCGTGAGTTGAGAATTTTTCACTACCACTTGCCTGCGGAGGGCTACTCAATCTTATTATAATTAGATGTTAGATCTGCATACTCGGTACATTAACATTTAACAACATCCCATAGACAAAAATAACACAACTTTTTTTTTTGTCAGAAATCAACAAAATTTCACATCAATTAAGATTCAAAATATTGTACACTGCGTAATGCGTGCCAGGAAAAGAGGGAGCATTCTGTTTAATTTTGACAAATGGTTAATAGAACATGCGCGGATCTAGAGGGGGTCGGGTTGGGACCCCCCCCCCTCCCCCTGGAATTTGCAAGGTTATCAAATGTATATATTACAGCAAAAAAAAGTTACCTTGGACCCCCCTTGGAAAATGCAGATTTGAGGCAAAAGAAGTCAAAAGCAAAAAAAAAAAAACAAAAAAAAGTTACCTTGGACCCCCCTTGGAAAATGCAGATTTGAGGCAAAAGAAGTCATTGACCCCCCCCCCCCCCCCCCCCCCCCCCCCAGGAAATAGGTTTTTTACATTTCTATTTTTTTTTTGGTTTGGGATGGAAACCCCCCCCCCCCCCCCCTTGGAAAAAATTTCTGGATCCGCACCTAGCTGTCAAATGACAAATAGATTCTCATTGGTTAAGAAATTAATAACATCAGGAATTGTTGTTGAGAACGATGAGACGACTTTAGCTCTACCTCTTTGCTGATCGTGACAATGTTCAATGTTATTGGTTATTTGATACAGTAATTGGTATTTGCCTTAATTTCTATTTCATGTGCATGTATATTTCAACAGTGAAGGAAAGCTGTGTAAATTTAATCATTATCAGTAAAAATTAATATGATGTAACATTGAGAATGCCATGCCTAACTGAAAGTTCAAGCTAAACTGGAATTTGTCCTAAGTTGTGCAAAATTTTGCATAAAATTACGAGTATATATGTAAAAAGTGCCAAAAAGTAACATATGTAAGCACCAACAAAAACTTTATAGATGTTACCATTTGTTTATAATGAGGGATTCACTATTTAAGTCATTTCTAATAAAATAAAAGTTTGTATGCATCTACGTATCATTAAAAACATGTTTCTTTTTCTTTTAAGCCGTGATGCCTGCAGAGATTTCAGACTTACCAAATGAAGTTCTGTTGATGATCTTTTCTAACCTCTCCTTCTACGATATGGTCCATTCCATTAAGGCTGTTTGTTCTCGGTGGCGGGATTTAGGAAAAAGACAATGTCTCTGGACAACGAATGGAGTCATAGATTGGGTGAAAGAAGCTTCAAACTTAGAGGACTTCTTACACAGAGTTAGAATAATAGGAAGAAAACTGGATACTTTGTCGTATGGTTGCAGTTCCTCACTTGCAGGAGACATTGAAGATCTCTATTCAGTTCAGTATGGAAGATCAAACGAAATTGAAGTTGATATTGATGATGAGGATGCAGGTGATGATTTAGATGGATTTGATAAACCACTTGTTTTCTTAAGACAGGACATAAGAATAAGATGCCCCAATATAAAGACAATCCATGTGGTTCAATCAGACATATCTCTGTCTAACTTCCTCCAGCTTACGGAGAAATATTCGTCGGTTACAGAAGTTGTGATTGACCGGAACGTCGACTTAAACATATACAATCCGGAAAGATTTATGCCTGCGTTGCGAAAATTAGCTAATCTGACCCATCTCACTGTAAAGTGCGATGAAAGAGACAACGATCAAATGGATGGAATATGGGAGAGCGATAGGTGGAATGAAGAGTTGGAGAACCTGTTGAGGGGGCATCCGAACCTTACATACCTGGATGTGTCCTTACCCGGACGTTGTGAACGAACAATTGAAAGAATTACTAAAACGTGTCAAAAGTTAAAGACTTTAAAAATGAATGGAGAAATAATAATATTGAAAGATCTAGACATACTGCCCATGAAAAAAATGCAACTCCTGGAAGATCTGAGTCTGTATGATTTTAGAATGATGTCACGTGATTTTAAATCCATCTTAACTGTTGCATGTGCGGGTGGGCGGGTAGAAAAGCTTAATCTAATCGAATGTTATGATGTAGCAGAGGCCACATACCAGACAGTTAGTGAGCAATGCCCACTTTTAAGACGATTTGTTGGGAAGGAAGACAAGAAATTTGTAACCGTGAAGAAAAAACTCGATTTAATGAATGGACCAGAGATGTACACATTTATAAATGACAATGCTCTTACGTATTTGTCCACTTGCAGGCATTTGCAGGAGATCAGTATTGGGGACTCGTGTGGAGTAGCAGTTACCGATGAGGGTATTCGAACACTCGCTCGAGGGTGTCCCCAACTCAAATATGCGAACTTTGAAGACTGCATTGGTATTACTGATATTAGTTTAATGGAAGTTGCTCGACATTGCCAGAAGATGAGTGTTATTAATTTGAACTATTGTCTCCATACAACTGGATTTGGATTGAGCTGCCTTTTGTTAAACTGTCAATTTCTTCATGATGTTAAAATGTCTGGTTGTCACTCTTTGAAGAAAGTCAATCTATGCAAAGATAATCGATTTCCAGACATCCCGGTTGCATCGTTGAATCAAAGTGTACACAATGAAACAAAACCTAATGAGTGTAGATGTGTAAAATCAGTACTAGTGTTAAAGTCAGATATATGCGAAGAGATCATGCGCAGTCACGGAGAAATCAAAGCACTCTATGGGATTACAGAGGAAAGAATTGTCCAAACCAGTAGGGAGAACATACTTGAGGACTCTGTTGGATTAGACTGTACTCAACTCGAACCATTTAGAGTGTCGTCCGATCACTCTTGGATACAGGTGCTAGAGCTGTACAATTGTGAAAGTCTCTGTGATTCAGATATCATAAAGATTTGCAAGTATTGTCCTGAAATAAGAAGCCTCAATGTTGGACGAAACAAAAATTTATCAGACACAAGCGTGCTTGCTGTTGCTAGATATTTAACATTACTGACAACATTGAAAATAGTGGGGATTGATAGACTGACCAATGATTCACTGGCTGCTCTAGCAAAGACGGGATTGATTAATTTGTCTTTGCAAGCGTGTCCGAAAATGACGACGGCAGGTTTAGGAGATTTTTTGACGACAAACAAAACTCTTAAGAAAATTGAAGTCTGTCAAGAGGGAGATAATATTGCTGAGGCGTTCAGGAGCAACAACATTGAAAACCTGCTTGAGCGAATCAGTACTGAAAAAGTTGCGTTTGTTTTGATGAAAAATCCAAGTGCCCATTGGTTTAACATTGAAGCAAGGCGTAAATCTTAAGCTGAACCCGAAGCCAGTATTGTGAACACACTTTCTGGGATTAGCAGTGTATAGCCCTAGAAAATGATGAAAATCCATCACACCCAGATCTGACCAGATCTTTAACAGATCCAAATGTTATTTTGAGGAAGATTACAGCAAAAGGAAAGAAGTTTGTGGAAATACTAATGATAAATCTCAAATTTGCAATACTGAAACAATGAACATTTATTGAAATGAAACAACTCAAATTGGATTTGATCGTTCCAATTTCTGTGACGTGTTTAAACAACATAGTGTATACATGTACTGCAAACAAGAAATCAAAACATCCAGTTAAGAGAGCATCCACCAAACCAGGATTGATATCAAAAAGATAAGGTGTTCTGCTTCAGACTGTACTCTACTGAAGCCATTACGATGATACTCTTATCACTCCTGTATCCCATTGCTAGAATTGTTTTATTGTAAGGTATCCTTTGATATCACAAAATTGGTTGTTTGGAATTGCCGAATAGGAAATGGTAAAAGTGACATTCAATTGCGACATACATTAACATTTTATTCAGCTATACCTAGATATATAATACCATTTAAAAAAATTGAATTTGCAAGATACAAATCGACAAATGATTCTGTGGCTGTTAAATCAAAAATACCAATTTTAATTTGGATCTTAGACACTATATTTCAAAGAATAATTTATTGTATTGCCTTGATACATGAATAGCAAAAAAAAGCTTAAGGATAAAAAAAAATCTTACCGTCTTTTGGAAGAATTATATAGTTTTTTTTACAGGAGGGGGACTATGCACTTTCTCTTTTGTGATTGGAGAATTCCAAACAAACTAAATTTTCAATTATTTCATTGGTTGAAATGCTGTTCAAGGCAAGGGAGATAACTTGATATCACAATTTTCGTTTTAACAATTTTGCAAGATTTTCATCTTAAAAAAAAATGGTAAATGTGACATTCAAAATCAGCAGTTATTAATTTTTAAATAACATGATTTTTTTTGTAGATATATCTAAATATACTCTTTAATTTCATTGAAAAAAAAATTTGAATTTGCAAGCTTTACAATCGATAAATGATTCTTTTCCCCTGCTTGTTTGAAGAAGGTAAAGGAAGCAATTTCTTAATTTGGACTTGAAGCATATTAGGCCATCTTAAACGTGTTAAAATAATAATTATTTTATTGTTTATAGTTGCCTTCTCAAGAAATTAAAAAGAAAATACGGCCTGATAGGTGTAGATCATTTTTTAAAATTTAAGGTTGCTTCCAAGGATAACAGAGATGTGATTTTGATAAGACCAATCAAAACACCGGGGAACTAGCTAGTTTCATTTTGTATTTTCAGTTTTAGGTTAGTTATAAAATATATTGTTTGTCTTGTTTTATTAGAACTCTATTGGGAACCAATCCAGTGGAGATGTTCGAGGGTCATGATGGAGACAATTTTATTTGTTAATTTTCATCAGTATTTCATAAAACTAATTTCTGTTAGAGAATACACATGATCTAATACTTGTTTGTTAATTTTATTTGTATGAAGGTTGATTTAATGCACTGATTGATCCCTTCTCTTTTTGTTTGTGATGATTTTCTTAACTTACACGACAGGGAAAATTCAAAAAGCAAAACAATTGTTCATGCAGTCTGAGAAAGTTAGTTATTGTGTTTTAGCTCACCTGAGCCGAAGTGCTTTTCATATTACATTTGATCTGTACTCAGTCTGTACATCCTCAGGTATACGTAGTGTATTCAAATTTGTTCAAATTAAAACCCCGGAGGGAAGGACAGGGCCATAAGGGATGTTTCAAGTTTTATATACTAGTATTAGGAAAATAAAGAAAATATCTTTAAAAGAGGCTCGCCCATTGTCAGCTCTCGAGTCGAGAAGTTTGGAGTTATCCTTATGTCGCGGGTTCAAATCTCACTGTGGGACATGGAGACTGGTCCTTCGGATGAGACCGTGTCGCAGTAGGTCCCTGTTCAATGGCCCTGAGTGTGGAGTATAGGACAAAACTTGCAGCTCTTCACTGGCAAATGGTATATGGGGTCTTCATATGAGTGAAACATTCTTGAGAGGGACGTCAACCAATAAATATAAACTCATCAAGTTGAAGAACAGCAAAGCCATGATTAGTCATATAACTCATATTTATTTGTTTATTTGAAGGTATCTTCAGGTAGTGTAGATTCAAATTTGTTCAAATCATGACCCCGGGGGTAGGGCGGGGCCACAATGGCCGATCAAATTTTTACATAGAAATATATAGGAAAAATCTCAATACAACAAACTATTACACAGTTATGATGAAGAAGGGCGCCTCTTTGAAAATTTGAATTTCTTGGCCCCAGGGTAAGGAGTTCTGGTGTAAGGAGAGGGGGGGGGGGTATATTGATTATATTAGTGAACATGCATTTTTCTCCTCTGTTCCTGGGAATTAAACTAGCTACATACATCGTCATGCTGAGCATGGATCATTCTTCCAAAATAGTGAATTTCAAAGCCCCTGGATCAGTGGTATCATAGAAGCCCGAGGGGGGGGGGGGTTCTAATTAATACTGAAAATGATTTAATTCTTTGAAATCTGCTCCATTATAATAATGAAACATTTATGATGAGCAATGGTACCTTTTAAAAAATTGTGAAATGTGTGAACCCAGGGTCAGGGTTTATTTGGTGGCTCTTCTGATTATTGCTGAATATTACTGATTAGTTGAAATGCAATGGTGCCTCTTTCAAAGGAATGTCATGGTCTCTGGTTTAAAACATGCACCAAATTCAGTTGTTGGAAAGTTGTTGCATGATGATCAGGTGACCTATAATGCCCATGGGCCTTTTTTGAGGAATTTTCCTTGATTATTAATAATAGATATTTATTATATTTTCGTATGAAATGCTATTACAATACTTAAGTCGAGATATATCATTTTATACAAAAAATTTGATTTGAAATCACACGATGACGTGGTGATGCCTTTGGCTCAGACACCAGTATCTTTATGCAATAGTTAATAATACAGTGTAGTTTATTAGTTATCCAGGTTCAATCAAGGGTGTACGGGGATTTACCCCGGGTTTTATTCCATACACCCTGAGGCCGAAGGCCGAAGGGTGTATGGAATACAACCCGGGGTAAATCCCCGTACACCATTGATTGGACCTGGATAACGAATTTATTTCCTTTGTACCCATAAAAATGCTTTGTAAAATGATTTTTAGCTTTTATCATAGAGAATGTATGCATTGTGACGTCACGTTTATTTACACCCGGCTCAAGTCGGGTGCACGGATATTTACACCCGACTTTGTAACCAATCAAAGCTCGTGTTACAAGCTAGATAGGAAATAACTAATAATACCCCCCGCTTGAAAAGCGGGAGGGTATATAGTAATCGTTAATTCCGTCCGTCTGTACGTCCGTCCGTCCGTCTAGCTGTCCGTCCGTCCGTCTGTCCGTCCGTCCGTCTGTTACGCTTTGGGGTACCCATCTCTTATCCGCAACTCCTCTCATACCACTGAATGAAATTTGATGAAACTTTCACAGAATCTTTATTACATACTGCCATTGTGCACCTCCTATTTTACTTTTTGATCCGACACATATTTTGGGTTTCCCGGGCACAGCAAAACATGGACTTTGTCATCAGTTATAATCATATGGGAGGCGGGGGGTATCATTTAGTGAGCCCATTGCTCACAGTATCTCTAGTTAAATTTAATTTTCTTTAAAAAGTCTAAATTTCCCGAGAAATTGTTTGAATGCTTCCTTAAAGTACCTGCGGTGAAATATAAAATTAATATTTAGTTTAAGGACATCATCTTGTATATCTATAGTGTATTGTTAGAGGAGTAAAATCTTTGGTGCACCCATTTTGAGTTCATTTGCAAAATTTTTCATTTATATGTATAGATTTCTGTAGCTGAACACCAACCGACCATATTTTTAGCGTTTTATGCCCTCCTCCGAAGAAGGGAGGGCCTATATAATTGCTGATGTCTATCGGGCCAGAATCAGTTTTCGTAAAAAATAAGATGTTACACATGCATTCTTAAATGAAATTTATCATGAGAATATCTAGATCAAGTTCTGCTTTATTAGGCCACAGGGAGTTGTTATGTAAAATTTCATTGCAATAGCTCAAATGCATGGTTCTAGAGATATCGTGTGGAAACGAAAGTATTATAACAGACAGAATTTGCTTATTTATGACCTTGACCTTTGACCTTTCGAAGTCAAAATCAACAGGGTTCTTCTTTAGTCCATAGGGAGTTGCTATGCTAAATTTCATTGCAAAAGCTCAAGGGGTCCTCGAGATATCGTGTGGAAACGAAAGCGTTACAGACCGACAGAAAGACGGACGGACGGTCTGACGGACAAACCCAAATTAATATCCCCCACTTTTCAAGCGGGGGACAAAAATAGGAGATGCTCAATGGTAATTTGTAATAAAGATTCTGTGAAAGTTTCATCAAATTTCGTTCAGTGGTATGAGAGGAGTTGCGGATAAGAGATAAAAGACTCCAAAGTGTAACACAGACAGACGGACGTACAGACGCGGACGGACGGAGATACAGATTACTATATACTCTACCCTTTTCAAGTGGGGGTATTATGAACCTTACAAAAATGTTGCCATGCATTGAATCCATGCATCTACGTTGAAAAACTAAAAAAAAAAAAGCTCATAATTATACGAAAGCGCTTTGATTCGCATTAGTTTACTTCGCATTAATTTACTGCGAATTAAACTCGTCGTATGAACAGGGCATTACGTTGAATAAGCGATGAGCTGAAAGTACCCTTATCCAAATCATAAAATGTACGTTATTTTAAAACTTCGAACAAATTACTTATTTTAAATTTAAAACAGAGAGTAGACAAAAAAAAAAAAACAAACAAACAAAACTAACAAACCAAAAAAAACAAAAACCGCACAAATATTGATATCTTTATCTCTAAAAAATAAGCCCATGTGCTACTTGTAACACCACCAATTTAATTACAAATTCTATCCGAAAGACTTGTCAATATTGATGAACCACTGGTGTACGACAGAAAAAAATGTTATTTAGAGGCTACCTCGTGACTTTCACGACCAACATCAACGTCAGCCACATTCCGTGGAATGTATAATTTACTGGTTTGCCAAAGATTTAAGATTCAAAACACATGAATTCTTGAACATGTGTTGGTTCGAGGGTAGTGCAACGGAAATTGTCCGTTGCTTTTATCGGAAAGTATCCGTTTCAACGAAAAGGATCCGTTATGCCTATACACCGTGATTATATGATATCGCATTATTTCACCCATTTAACATTTGGTTTTTCGAAACTCATAATTAAAAGTATATTTATTGATTAAAAACCCCCCTGATAGGATGCTATATAAAATCAGGGACCTATATACTAAGTATATTTAGTATATATGTCCCTGATAAAATGTTTATAAATTATAATATATCGATGTTTTCCTTCACATGGTGTACAGATGTATACCATCTATTCTTTGTATATAGTTTCCAGGGACGGATACAGGATTTGTGGTTAGGGGGGGCGTGGATAACTTTGTTGAGGCAAGGGGTCTGGGGGCCGCCTTAAGGCCCCCAGTGGGTCCAGGGCGAAGCCCTGGTGGGGGCCCAGGGGGCGAAGGTCCTGGAAGCTCCTGGGTTTTCGTGTATTTTAGAGTAAAACCAGACACTATAATATAGTGCATATTTTTCATTTTTTTTGTTAAAAGTGGCATATAGGTTCGGATGTTTGAATGAAAATATTGTATTGAATGTTTCTCAGTTCTCATTGTATTGTAACACATGCCACCATAATAAACGATTTACCTACTTAGTACTTACTAACAGTGGTATTGGATAGTGATGTACCAAAGTACGCCGTGTTTAATACTTTTTATATCATACTTTGAATGGGGGGACCAGGGGGCGTAGCCCCCGGAAGCTCCTGTATTTTTGTGTATTTTAAGAGTAAAACCAGGCAGAATAACAGTGGTTTGGTTGGTTTTGTACCAAAATGTGGCATTATATATATTAGTCACATCATATTTTGAAAATTTTAAGGGGGGCGTGAAGCCCCACGACGTCAACAGACAGTCCCCCCCTTAAATCCGCCATATATATTCATCCTCTAAAAAGAAATTTAACTAGTTTTCTTTTCTTTTTTTTAACATGTTTATTGATTACAAAGATTAACCCTATATTCACATCAATAAAATTTTTGTTTGTGATCGGGCTCGCGATGCGAGAATTCGTCAACCCTTTTCGCGCCATAAGTGACTTGAATGTTTACATTTCTACTTCTACAAATTTTTCACATTATTGATTTTGAATTGGCGTTGTTGTCTATTTACGCTATTCATTATGTACACGTACCCAGTATATGCATGAAACACATGTATGAAACCCCCGGATATTGTATACTGATGTAGTTAATCAGCTAGTGTATATAACCATCTCTAGACATATCAGCAATACAAATCTGGTAAGTACACAAGATAAGCTTCACGTTTTTAGCTCACCTGAGCCGTAGGCACAAGTGAGCTCTTATAATCAAAATTTTTCCGTTGTCTGTCGTTTGCATTGTTATTCAGGTCCATTCCAAAGACTATTTCTACCTACGTAGCTACGTAGGTATTTAAACCTACCCAAAGTAGCTATTTTTACCTACTTTTTCTATTATCTGCATTTTGTGGCCAAAAGACTGAACAGTGTAACATGGTGAATACCATATTTTTTGATACAGTCACACTAATGATGAATACAACAAGATTTTGGGGTCAAAAAATAATTACTTCCTCAGGTTCCTGCATCTATGCAAAATTGATATAATAGGAAGTAATCATTTCTTGGCCAAATTTTTGTCATATCCATCATCATTGTGACTGTATCAAAAAATTCAGTGCTCACCATGTTGCGCCGTTCCTGCGTTTGGCCACAAAATGCAAGTAAAGCAGAAAGTAGGTAAAAATAGCTACTTTGGGTAGGTTTAAATACCTACGTAGCTATTAATAGCTACGTAGGTAGAAATAGTCTTTGGACTGGACCTGCTGTTGGCGTCCTCATCGTGAACTTTTTACAAAATTCCATTTTCAGACTTCTTCTCAAGAACCAGTGGACCAATTTCAATCAAACTTGAAACAAAAGTATCCTTGAGTGAAGGGGATTCAAGTTTGTACAAATGAAGGCCAAGACCTCTTCGAAGGGGAGATTATTATACAGTTAAACAAGAGCAAGTCTATTTCCCGAGGCGCCAGCGCCGAGGAAAATAGGCTTGCTCGAGGGGAACTGGAATCTTGCTGACTCCCTCAATGATATACTTTAACTGTTTTATAATACCGATACAAACAAGACATTTGAAAACCGCACATCTTGAGCTCACCATTTCTGTTGTCGTTTGCTACCAATAAACTGGTTCTTTTTGATTGATATGGGACCAGTTGACTCGCGATGCATTTCGATTCATCAATGAATATTCATGAGTTTATTCGGAACATTTCTAAGTTTGTCGTAAGTTTAAAGAAAATGCTAGGTGTTCCGAATAGATGTGTATCACTTCATCAAAAAAACGAACTTTTGTTGCAGGGCATCAGTCTGTTTTGCAGGGAATCGGTTTATTCACGGCGATTTTCAGGAAATCAGCAAAATATATCGATTTACTTTTATAGAGTGAAAAAACAGTAGAGGTATAATAATATGAATTAATGAAAAATGAATGGCATCTTTTAAAAATCTTCTTCTACAGAACCATTGGGCCAGGAAAGATGAAACTCATGTGAAAGCGTCCTCAAGTACAATGTAGTGTAGATTCAAGTTTGTATAAATCATGACCCCAGGGGGTAGGGTGGGGCCACAATGGCTGATCAAAGTATATAGGAATTAAAAAAAAAAATCTTCTGCAGAACCAACAACCAACAATCATGGTATGCACTGGGCCAGGAAAGATGAAATTCACGTAGAAGCATCCTCAGGTCAGGGATCGACACTAACGGTTGTCCGATTGCCAGGGACAATTAATTTTCAGTTCAAGTTGTTTTTCTGGTGATATAAATATACTCCTATTATTTCCTTCGCCTCTGTATATACATTGAACTCCTGTTAATTACTTCATGAAGCAAATAAATTCTAGGGTTCTGAGTACATTTTATGATCTTGTGTCGCTATTTACTCCTGTTATTAGCTCACCTGAGCTGAAGGCTCAAATGAGCTTTTCTGATCACATTTTGTCCGTCCTCCCTCCGTCCATCCGTCTGTTAACTTTTCACATTTTCAACTTCTTCTGAAGAACCACTGGGCCAATTTTAACCAAACTTGGTAACAGCGTGGCGAAAGTTACTCAAGTGAGTGATATGTGACTCATGAGTCTCTAGTTATTATATAGATTTAAGAAAATTGTTAATATTTTAAATGTTTCAAGTGTAGTCTAAATGCATGTCAGATCTATTAAGAAGACACTTTTCTGCTTTACACACGAAATAGCGAAGACATGAATGATCATATTTATATGGAAGCATCCTCAGTTAGTGTAGATTCAATTTTGTTCAAATTATGACCCCCATGGGTAGGGCGGGGCCACAATAGGGAATCCAAATTAAACAAAGAAATATGTTGGAAAATTCAATAAATATCTTCTTCTCAAGAATAACATAGGCATGAATGATCATATTTATATGGAAGCATCCTCAGGTAATGTAGATTTAAGTTTGTTCAAATCATGACCCCCGCAGGGTAGAGCGGGGCTACAATGGCCAATCAAAGTTTTACCTAGAAATATATAGAAAAATTCTTTAAAAATCTTTTTCTTAAGAATAGCAAAGCCATGATTATTCATGTTTATTTGATAGCATCCTCAGGTAGTGTAGATTTAATTTGTTCAAATCAGGACCCCCAGGGTAGGGCAGGGCCACAATAGAGAATCCAAGTTTTACATAGAAATAACGTGACAATGTAAGTTCAGATGTAAAGGGTAGGGATGGGTATCGTCAAAAATTTCGTATCGCGATATATCATGATTTTTTCCCCACTATATCAGGATAATATCATGAGATATTTTAAAAGCAACTTTTACAATGATTTTATATGAAAAGTCATTATTTTTCTAAAAAAAAAATGATAGAAAAACAAAATTTTACTTTCTTGAAATATTTATATATATAAAATCAGTTATGTATGGACGGTAAGATGCCGTTCTTTTCACTTTTTTCGACATTTTTATACTTTCTGTAATTGTAATTTGAAAGATTGAACAACATGAACAAATAAATGTATAATTTCTGGACTTTATAATATGTACTCAAAGACCAGTATTTAGGTCTCCTTATCACGATACGTATCAGGCAACAAAAAATCGCAATATACCAGTTTATTATATACCTAACGTGTATTACTCAATTTTACTGTTGATTTTAGGCAATCACGTGACTGGATCACCACACTGTGGTTTTCTGAATCCATATCACCACTCTCTGAAACTGATGACGTAGTACGCAGAAACATGACAATAGTTTTCTTGCGTGACAAAAAGTCCCTTGTTATTATGCTTTGTTTTATGGAAAAATATTATACAATTGATATCTTAAGTATTATTTTGCTATATTTAGCTAGTTATAAGTGGGTATATAATAAATTTATCATTATAACAGTAACTTGATCCGAAGAACCGTATCATGTACGTTTCGTTGACAGGCGTGGATCATCAGATCAAACTTGACACTTCACGTCTCGTTAGATCTGATGACCCGTGCCTGTTACTGTAAATCACTTTTTATTCTCAAGAACTTAATTTTCGCGTAATTACGCGAGACAGTTAGCACGCGAAAATTTCATTCTCGCGTATCATAGTATTCCTTAGGATTATAAAGAGAAAATTAACAATAAGTGAAAATTATGTCTTGCTTATAAAGAGTCAATGACCAGAAGGTGTCGCAAAAATTAAGTGATCTACAGTAACTCGAAGTGATACTACCCTTCGGATCAAGTTACTTTTATAATATTATATATATACCGATAAAATCGCACATCCCTAGTAAAGGGCAATATAGCTATTGAAATATGCCAGCTTCCTTAGTAAGAATAGACTCAAGTTTGTTCAAATCATACCCTCTCCCATTTTAAAGGCTTGGTTGGGACCACTTTTGGGTTTAAACTTTTCAATAATAAAATGATTTCTGTCTTTTTCCAAGCCACAGGCTCAGGAGAGCAATGCACAGTGTAAAAAGACCTTCCTATCATTGCATTACACCACAAATCACTTCTTATTTCATCATGTTAATAAAGATTGGTATTTATGATTAGATTTTACAAATACTCAATTTCTTTCAATATGTACTTTTAAAACATTTTCATGGGGTAAAATATTCGACTTTTCATAAGACCTTTCTGAGAACTTCAAAGAACCTTGAAGCACATTGAAAGGCATAAAATGAAAATTGTTGCATGAAAAGATTCAATTTTCAAGCTTCATATTGTGACATTTTGGATTTAATTATAAATTTAAGAGTTAACCTTCCTGGCTGAAGATCGGAGTACCTTAAAAAAACTATAGCATACTCAGACACATCTTGTTACAGATAATGTACCTGTCAAATATAAAAGCCATTAGGCTATCTCTTCTCAATGAAGTATTTTAGGGAATTCATAGATAACATTTTTGACAAGTAGGTCATTAGCTGACGCATATGTGGCTTGGTCCCTCAGTTTATACCCTTAACCCCTTCTTTTATATGTAAAGATGTGTGAACTCATTAAACCCTTAATTACTGTATAGGGGATCTATTTCACGGGTTGTAATTTTCGCGTTTTTCTCTCATCTGACACAATCGCGGTTTCTTGAATTCACAGAATTGGTATATAATAAAAGTTACCTCCCTTGTCTATATAGCTTCATGTTAACAACATTCATCAGCGTCATGTCTTTATTTCAACAGGGGTAGGTTAATATAAAATTGTTAGTCTAAAGATTTAATAGATAATTAATTAAACAAGGGCAGTTATTAAAAGTTCTTCATTCTAAACGTCAAATGACTTGCCTATATATGCTATTATGATGAGTGCATGTGCACCCAAGATCTTCAATAAAACATGGCGAAAAACCACTGGGCAGAAATAAATGTGTTTATGTAGTTCGACGAAACAATATCCTTCCACATCTTCAGTAAGTTTGATATTTATTTGAATGATTTCTTAAAACCAAAATCTCGATAAAATCAAATGTGCATGATTATGCAGGTAATAAATACATGTTGTAACATTAGTTATGCACGGGTAATCAAAACCCGTGGCCCATGTGTTTTGATTGATGATACATGTACAGTTGGCTATTAAAACAGCTTTGGAACGAACACAAGTTATTATCTGCCGATTTGAACTTATGTAAAGCGTGATAATTATAATAATTGAATGATAAGTACTACTCGTAATTACTGAAATGACCATGTATTGACAGTACATGAGCATAAACCTATTGTAGTCTATTCTTAAATTTCAAAATAAAACATGGAGATTTTTTAAATTTATTCACTATTTCTTGAATTCATGGATTTATTAACACCATGAGTATAGCGAATATTAACACCGCGAGTTATTTTCCCCCTATACAGTATCTGTTTTAATTATTTGTTTTTTTACTCTGATGGAGATGGGAAGGGCTACTCGGAATTCAGGGCCAATGAGGGATCTTTTTCGTGCCAATACCTACTAGTCGGTTTATACAGTCTCATCCAAAAGACTGGTTTTCATGTCCCACAGTGGATTTGAACCCGTGACCTACAGTGTAAGGATCAGCTTTCTACTCTAAAGTAGTTGCTTATCCCCTGCGCCTTGCTGACAACCATTGCTAGTATTTCTGTCACAAGCATATGTTAAATGATTTATATATGAGCTCATCTTTCAATCTTACATATCAAATGATGTTTTACGTTTACAAATAAAAATTAAATTAGAAATATTTTAGGTCACCTGAGTAAACTCAGGTGACCTATTGCTAACCCTTTTCATCCGGCGTCGTGTTGTCTGTCGTGTGTTAACATTTGAACATTTTCAGCTTCTTGTCAGTGCAATCGTTCAACCAATTTCAACCAAATTTGGCTTAAAGTCTATGGCTGAAGGGGACAAAAATAATTTCTTAAACAGAACTTAGATTGGGCGAATTTTAACGGGGCAAAATTGTTCGCAAGTTCAAAAGGGCGAAAATAACACTGGGCAAAAATAACCCTGTATACAGTATTATGATGAATAAGGCTGCATTTTCCAAATTTGTGAATTTCATGGCTCTTGCCCCTCTGGGGCCTGAGGGGTGGGCCCAAAACCACTAAAATTAATGCAATCTTTAAAAATCTTCTTTACTCCTGAGTATCAAACAGTCAAACTGTTGGCATGATTGTAATCAACATTGAGTCCTCTACTAATAAAAGTTGTGAAATTCATGGCCCCGGGATGAGGGGTTCTAGTGCTAGGGTGGGGCTATATACCGGTAGATTATGTAGTGAAAATGCATTTTTCCTTTGAAAATCTTCTTCTCTCTCCTGGGCATTAAATAAACTAACCAAGTACATAGTTATGTTGAATAAGGTTGCCTCTTCCAAATTTTTGAATTTCATGGCCCATGGGTCAGGGGTTCTGGTATTAAGGTGGGGCTCTATTGATTTTATAGTGAAAAAACATTGATTCTTTAAAGTCTTCTCTGCTCCTGGGTATTAAACCAGTGAACTATGTACATAGTTATAACTTAAGGAAGAATGTCTCTTCAAAAAAAAGTTAATTTCATGTCTATGGATTGGGGTTTATAGTGTTAGGACAGGGCACTATTGAAAAATACATTAATCCTTTATAAATCTTCTTCTCTGCTCCTGGGTATTAATTTTAAAACTAACCAAGTACGTAGTTATGTTGAATAAGGCTGCCTTTAAAGTTTTCCAAAACTGTGAATTTCATTGCCCCAGGGCAGGGATTCTGGTGTTAGGGTGGGTCTATATTGATTATACAGCTGTACAGTGAAAATACATAAATTCTTTAAAAATCTCCTCTGCTCCTGAGTATTAAATCAGTGAAATATTGAAATGTTTGGCCCCAGGGTCAGTAGTTCTTGTGGGGTGGGGTGCACAACTGTTATAAAGTGGAAATGCATTTTCTCTTTGTTACTCTGATCTACTTCTGGGTTTTAAGTTACCAAAGTAAGCAAGCTACTTGTATAGGTATTATAAGCAATGGTGCCTCTTTCAAAATTGTGAATTCCATGGCCTTTGGTTTAAAACATGAGGCAATTCAATTGTTTGTAAGTTGTTACTCAGGTGACCTATAAGGCCCATGGGCCTCTTGTTTAATAAAATGTTATATGTATTTATTTGTTACAACAGTTCATGTGTTCAACCACCTGAGTCACTCAGGTGACCTATTGCTATCTGTTTTTGTCCCTTGTCATTCATCGTCAATCAGTCATAAACTTTTGAACATTTTCTGCTTCTTCTCTAGAACCACTGAGGCAATTTCAACCTATTTTAGCATGTAACATATATGACTGAAGGGGAACAAAAAGTGTGAAATTCATGGCCCCATAATCCATAGATTATATAGTGAAAGTGCATTATTTCTTCGAAAATCTTCTCTGCTCCTGGGTATTAAAAAATCAAACTTAATGTATACTGATAGTTATGATGAGCAAGAGTGTCTCTTACAAAACTGTGAATTTCATGACCCCAGGGTCAGGGGCTCTGGAGTTAGGGTGGGGCTATAGATTATATAGTGAAAATAAATCCATTATGTCTTTGAAAATTTTCTCTGCTCCAAGTACATAGTTATGTTGTATAAGGCAGCCTCTTCCACAATGGTGAATTTCATGGCCCCGGGATCAGGGGTTCTAGTGATAGAGCGGGGCTATTTAAAGGGTGTTAAGAAAGTTCGTTCCATGATGAAAAATTTTCAAAAATGTCAAAGTAGTGCTTAACTGAAAGAGATGAATTTTCAAGTCTGACAAATTCACAAGAGTGTGCTTTAGATTTATAGCAATTCATTTCTAGCAGGAAGTTATAGGATTTTTCTCCCATGTGAAAGTAGTTCTGACGGGATCTTTAAAGCACTCGAATGATCGAAATTCTGGTCATTTTGAGTGAAAATAAAGTGTAAATTACTTTTGTTTCTTCATAGCTTATCTTGAATCAGACAAGCTTATGTGCATAGGTATAAGAACGATAGATCACTTTTGAAAAGAATAGGCATAGTATTTATCACAGACATTATCTGTTTTAATACCTGCTCTCTCCTTATTAATTAAAAAAGACAGTTAAAACCATATCACAAGAAAGAATGAACTCTGTAAACATGAAATATCATAATCTTCTCATCTTATTTCTTTTCGAAAATAAAAGAAAAATGTGGAATGAACATTCTTAACACCCTTTAGATTATGTAGTGAAAATGCATAAATTCTTTGAATATCTTCTTCTCTGCTTCCTGGATATTAAATAAATTAACCGAGTACATAGTTATGTTGAGCAAGAGTGCCTCTTACAAAATAGTGAATTTCATAGCCCCTTGGTCGGGGGTTCTGGTTTTAGAGCGGGGCTCTTTTGATTATATAGTGAAAATGCATGGATTCTTTGAAAATCTTTCCTTTGCTCCTAGATATTATGCCAATGACCTAAGTACATATGTATGATGAAGAAAGGTTCCTCTTCCAAACTGATTATTTTGAGGGCCCCTGGGTCAGGGATAATGGGGGGGGGGTACTTAGACTAAAAATAAATTAGTGTTTTGAAATGTGTTCTTTGGTATTAATCAATCATTTATGATGAGATAAAATTTATGATAAAATTTTGAAATATGTGGCTCTAGGGTTAGTATTTCCTGTGGGGTGGTGTGCACAACTAGTAGTTATAAAAAGGAAATGCATTTTTTCTTTGTTACTCTTATGTACCTATGGGTATTAAGTAACCAAAGTAAGCATGTTAGGTGTATAATTATGATAAACAACAGTGCCTCTTTCAAAATTGTGAATTTCATGGCTTTTGGTTTAATAAAACACGAACCAAATTCAATTGCTGGAAAAATGTTACATGATACTCAGGTGACATATAATTCCCCCTCTTGTTAATCAATTACATGTATTTTCCAATTATGTCAATTGTACCTCTTTATTGTAATTGTTCTTTTATTATTACATGTATTATTATTATAAATTGGCTGTTTCATACATGATCTTCAGTTGGAAACTTGACCTTGCACTGTCCACTCCAACATCTAGATCGTGTAGAATACAACAAATATAGGACTGTTCATAAATTATTTAACAAAGTACTGACTGGTGTATTTCCACCGGTCATACAATGTTAACAAATTGTTCAAATTTTGTGTAGAATAAATAAAATCCGACAATTGAAAGTCATAATATTAAGATCAAAGAAAACTTTAGTAATGATTTCTTTATAATTTAGGGTTCATTATGCATGTCATTTCTAATCAGAAAGTTTGTATGCATCTATGTATCCTTTTAAACACCATCTTGATGTTTCTTTTTCTTTTAAGGTACAATGCCTGCAGAGATATCGGACTTACCAAATGAAGTTCTGTCGATGATCTTCTCCAACCTCTCCTTCTACGATATAGTTCATTCCATTAAAGTTGTTTGTTCTCGGTGGCGGGATTTAGGAAACCAACAATGTCTCTGGACACAAAAAGGAGTCGTAAAGTGGGTGAAAGAAGCTTCAAACCTGGAGGACTTCTTACACAAAGTTAGAGTAATAGGACGAAATCTGGATACTGTGTCATTCAGAAGAATACAGAAAGACTGGTACAGTTCAACACTTGTAACAGACATTGAACATATCTATTCTGTGAAGTACGGAAGATCAATTGAAGTTGATAGTGACTATGATGATGAAGTTAGTCATGATATGAGTTATGAACCGCTTGTTTTCTCAAGAGAGGACATAAGATGCCCCAATGTAAAGGCAATTCATGCAATTGAGTCGGACATGTCTTTGTCCAACTTTCTCCAACTTCTGGAGAAATTTTCATCAGTTACCGAAGTAGTGAGTGTGGATAACATTGCTTTTGACATACACAATCCGGAAAGATTTATGCCTGCTTTGCAAAATTTAGCTAATCTGACCCATCTCACTGTAAAGTGCAATGAAAGAGACAACAGTCAAATTGATGGAATATGGCAAAGTGATAGGTGGAATGCAGAGTTAGAGAACCTGGTAAGGGCGCATCCAAACTTAAAATACCTGGATGTTACCTTGCCAAGAAATAGTAAACACACAATTGGAATTATTAGCAAATCATGCCAGAAGTTAAGGACATTAAAAATGAATGGAGATATGAGAGAAGATCTAGAATAACTGTCAATTGATACATTACCATTCCTGGAAGAATTAAGTCTTTATGACTTTTATATGGAATCACATGATTTTAAATCCATATTGGAAGTTGTGTGTGCAGGTAGGCGCTTAGAAAAACTCAGTCTAATCAACTGTTTTGATGTAACAGAGGACATATACCAGGTGGTCAGTGAGCAATGTCCTCTTTTAAGAAGATTCGTGGGAAAAGAAGACGAACAATTTGTAAACGTAAAGAATAGACTCATATTAAGGTGTGGACCAAGGATGTACACATCCATAAATGACCATGCTCTTACGTATCTGTCCACTTGCAGGCATTTGCAGGAAATCAGCATTGGGGACTCAAGTGGCACAGCAGTTACCGATGAGGGCATTGGGATTCTCGCTCGAGGATGTACCCAGTTGAAAATAATCAATTTCCAACATTGTGTTGGCATAACAGATCTGGGTGTAGTGGAACTAGCTCATCACTGTAGCGAGCTAAGTAAAGTTGATCTAAAATATTGTTGTCATGTCACTGGATTTGCATTTAGCTGCATTGTATTAAATTGTCAATTCCTTCAAGATGTTAGAATGACTGGATGTTGTTATTTGAAGAAAGTCATTCTCTGCAAAGATAAAAGATTTCCGGACATTCCAGTTGCATCGTTGAATCAAAGTGTGTATGATGAATGTAAACCTGATGAAATTTGGTGTTCAACATGCAAGAAATCAAAGTCAAACATATGTACAGAGATCGTGCGCAGTCACAGAGAAATCAAAGCACTCTATGGAATTACAGAGGAAAGAATTGGCCAAACCAGTAGGGAGAACATACTTGAGGACTCTGTTGGATTAGACTGTACTCAACTCGAACCATTTAGAGTTTCATCTGATCATTCCTGGATTCAGGTGCTAGAGCTGTACAATTGTAAAAGTCTCTGCGATTTGGATGTCATAAAGATTTGCAAGTATTGTCCTGAAATAAGAAGACTTAATGTGGGATCCAACGAAAACTTATCAGACACAAGCATTCTTGCTATTTCTAGATATTTAACACTACTGACAACATTGGAAATAGTGGGGATTGATAAATTGACAAATGATTCACTGGCTGCTCTAGGAAAGACTGGATTGATTAATTTGTCTTTGCAAGCGTGTCCGAAAATGACTACTGTGGGATTAGGAGACTTTTTGACGACAAACAAAACTCTAGAGAAAATTGAAGTCTGTCAAGGGAGAGAGAATGTTGCCGAGGCGTTCTGGAGCAACAATGTTGAAAAACTGCTTGAGCGAATCAGTACTGAGAAAGCTGTGTTTGTTATGACGAACAATTTCAGTACCTATTGGTTTAACATTGAAGCAAGGCGTAAATCATAAACGAAAAACATGTTGTAACAATCTTTTGTAGTATGTGCTTGTGATTCAGTCACAATGTGAACGATGAACCGATTTGAGTGAAATTTATGTACTTGTGAAATGTCTGAAATTAAGTGAGCAGTGTTTTCTTCTAAATAGAGAATTGAAAAAATGAACATATAAAAATAGAATTCAATCTTGTATCAATTCAGAAATCGAACATTTACAGATTTATGACAGTGCTGTAACTTACAACTTGCCTGCATATCCAGTCAGTTTATTTTTAGACAGCTGAATCCGGAGCCAGTGACATGACGACACTTGAGATTGTATAGCCTTCGAAAACGACGAAAATCCCTCACACTCAGATCTGTTCAGGTCTTCAACATATCCAGATGTTATCTGAAGGAAATTTTATGCCAAAAAAAGATTTTTGAAAACGAAGACCATTTTTTGATATGAAACAACTGAAATTCGATCTGATCGTTTATATTTCTGTGACGTGTCTTTGCTTCTTATGCTGCTAACATGAAATCAAAGCACTTAGATTTGAATTATATTGCAAAGGACATCATCTACCAAACTAGGGTTGATTTCAGACAGAAAAAATATGATGCACCAGTCTGTACAGTACTCACTGAAGCCATTGCGATGTTAGTCCCATTACTCCATATCCTAATGCTAGACTTGTCCTATTGTAAAGGGTTTGAATTCGATATCGTTTTTGTTAATGTTAAATGTGACATTAAGTTGCAGCAAACGTCAACTTTAAGATATATCTAGATAGAACACTAATGAAAGAATTGAATTTGAAAGACATCAATCAACTTTAGAATTTTCGATGTGGACGACAAAGCTCTAAAGAAAAAGAAAATTTATCAAAGCGAAGAGAAAGTTGATATTGACAAGCAACAACATAAAGATAATGAAGAAATACTTCAGCAAATTAACAATAATGGCGTCAAATTTGTAATTCATGCACATATGCATAATGTATGAAGTAGTATGAAATCAAGTTCTAGTCAGATCTTATTAAACGTTTAACTTTGGCATTGGTTATAATTGTTTTGGAAATCAGTACATGGGTATAACGATATAAATGGATACATGCATGTACATGTACTGAGTTGTCGGACGATGAACATGTAGAATTATTTTATATAATTAGATTTTCTTCATGGATTCAAATGACAATCAAGCAAAAGGCATGTTGATAATAGGTACATGTCTTTAATCGCAAAAACTACGAATATCATATTAAGAGAGCAAGTGTTTTAGTTATTTCCAGGACTTTTTGAATTATGTGAACATTTTTAACGCCATAAGATTATGATGTAGGAAGACAGGGATACCAAAAAATCTTAAATACAACATATGAGTATCTGAAGTAAATTTTAATTACAGGTCCCCATTGATGTAACTTGTTGAGTTTTAAAGTCTACGTTTTCAAACCATTTAATTTGAACACAAGTATCGAAAATTAATCTGGAAAAATCAAACCATCTGAGTTAAGGTTTAAGTTTAAGGTTCTTGAAAATGCTTATACATATACAATGTACACCAAGAAAGTTGATGAAACCGGTTAGCCCTGAGGGTCAACATAAAACTTGTAAATTCATCAAGTTTTGAATACCGCAAACATTTTCGGTCCGTGTAACACTTAACAATTCTAAGAACTATATGCGGTGTATTGCATAACTTTGCCCCCACAAAAGTCAAATTTTGAAAAATTCTTGATATGTGCTGAATTCTGTAAATTGTATGAGAAATAGAAGTTAATAACAGAACATATAATGGTTTCAAAGTAGTTTATTGACAATTTTTGTTTTCATGACGTCACAAACTAGTCCGATTTTATATTATTTTTCAGAATGAGGAAAAAATGGACAAAATTTCAACAATTTTAGCTTTAAAATTTATAGAGCGCAAGTTTGCTCAGGTACAATATTTACATATTTCATTGATATTATCATCCTACACATTATATCAAAATATTGAGCCTGATCAGACCTGCGCTGGGTAAATTGTACTCAAAATATCAACGTAATATATACATTTTTCTGTAGAAATCATTGAAAATTTAAATTTACGTCATTTTCGTGACGTCATTTCATATGTGATGAAAATATTCATTGCTATGAAGTAAGCATATATCCCCCTGTTTAAGAACAAAATTAAATACCTGTATTTCTCCGTCAAAGTTTGATTTGGGGGCAAATATTGGTTATTACCGAATAGAGTTCTTTCTAAAACAATTTAAGAGTTTTAGAATGTTAATACATGTATATTAGTTCAAATTTCTCATAAACTCTAACTGATTTCGTATATTGAAATTTAATATTTTAGTTCAAAAATCTAAATTTTCAAATTTCCGAACGGGTTTTAGAATTTTAATATTTTAGATTTTTACCTTAAATTTTCAAAATTCAAATTACCATAAACGATTAATGGAATTTAAAGGTTTGAGTTTTTAGTCTACCGCTTGTTCAGAAAGTTTACACTTTTTTCGGTAATATTTTTCGTCTTTTGATTATTTGAAATTAGCCTCAAACTTCTAAAATCCAGCTTTTAGATTTTTAGAAATTTGGAATTTTGATTTAATCTGATAACTTAACACTTTGAATTTTTAGAATTTTACTTTAAATATTCAAAATTTAACCCAGGTTTGGAATTTGATACTATGGATATTTGAAGTAAACTTCTAAAAACTCAAAATGTACAAAAGTGATTTGGTTATTTAAAAGTTGAGTTTTTAAATCAAAATTCTAAATTTCTAAAAATCTAAAGCGTTTGAAAGTTGGAAGTTTGAAAAAATCAAAAGACGAAAATGTTATCGAATTTTAGATTGTTAGGCGTAAATTTTCTAAACAAACAGTAGATTTAAAACTCAAAAGTTTAAAATACAAAATTTGTTTTTGTAAATTTGAATTTTGAATATTTAAGGTAAAAATCTAAAAACTCAAAATGTTAAACCTGTTTGGAAATTTGAAAGTTTAGGTTTTTAAACTAAAATATTAAATTCCAATACCAGGTATACGAAAGTTTTGAGTTTTTGAAATTTAAACATTTGAACTATTTTCTAAATCGATTTAGAAATTTGAATTGTTAAGTGTTACACGGAACATTTCCATATACATTATATGCAAAATACCTGTGTAATGTAAATATTCCCTAATTAATCATTTTCTTGTTTCCAAAGAAATGTCTTTAAAAAATTTAAATTTGCAGAGGAACAACCTATTTGTATTATTTTATATGAAAGGTTAAGATTCGATAATAAAAGCAAATCTTTTTTCTTGACTTCGTTTAAATTTGGGCTTATATGACAAATTCTGCACCCTGTACATGTAGCATCCTAATGTATAGACGTTAACGGACCAGCTTAAATCACCCGAAAAGGAAACCAGTAAGCATGGATTTACATGCAAATCAAAACAACAACAACAAAAACCAACAACAATAAATTATTTTTGTAACATTTATTTACATGGCGACATCTTGTTATGCGCCGGGATCGAAAGATCCGAGGCGTATATTGTTTTTGTCCTGTCTGTCTGTCAGTTTGTCTGCAAACTTTAACCTTCGCCATAACTTTTGAACCATAAACGATAGAGACTTCATATTTGGTATGCATACTCCACTAATAAAGCTCTTTCAAATGACACCAAGGTCAATGACCTTGTGACCTTGACTGTGACTTATATGCTAAAAATAGAGGTATTTTGGCAAACTTCAACCTTTGCCATAACTTTTGAACCATAAAAGATAGCGACTTCATATTTAGTATACATACAACGTTTATTAAGCTTTTTTAAAAGTCACCATGGTCAAGAACCTTGTGACCTTGACTGTGGCCTATACGCTAAATATAGCTTTTTGACGACAGACTTTAACCTTCGCCATAACTTTTGAACGAAGAAATGTAGAGACTTAATATTTGGCATGCATACTCCACTAATAAAGCCCTTTCACATGACAGCAAGGTCAATGACCCTGTGACCTTGACTGTGTCTTATATGCTAAAAATAGCTTTTTTGACACTTCAACATAACTTTTGAACCATGAAAGATATAGACTTAATCTTTGGTATGCATACTTCACTAATCCAGATCTTTCAAATGACACCAAGATCAATGACCTTGTGACCTTCACTGTGACCTTTATGCTAAAAATGTTTTTTATTTTAATTTGTTGCCGCCGGGCGCATAGTGTTTCACAAACACATCTTGTCTTTAAACTTATGTTGGTATTGATAGCTGTAACTACACTATGCACAGCAATACCTGCTGACATATGTTGCTTACAATGGTGCCGCCTTATTTCTGTACCATATTAAATGTAAATAAGTCTGGTTTATTATTTGTTTATTGTGCCTGCCTACATGATTTGAAAAACTATATTTTTGCATTAAACTCATTCTTTATAATCTATTATCAACAATATGTTATTTTTCTTAATAATTATATATTTTGGGGGATGTTGTATTAAATGACACGCACCCTTTCCCGGAATTTATTAGAACTATGACAGAAATCCGATAAATACTTTGGCATTGCCTTTTCTTTTACCCCGTCCTGTTGTTTCTTGAGGACTTTCCCCTTCTATGGCAATCTGTTTGTGATCTATATTTTTTGTCTGACTAAGTACATCAGAATTTATGCAATACTAAAAAAAACAAGGGACCATTCGTTTGTTTAGATTTCCCAGTTAAGAATGGGGAATTCAAATGATAAGGTATTTGTTTTCAACTCTGTGTACTCTATAAAGCAACATTGTATAAGATTTTTAATGACCAAAAAAAAATCTTGAATTTTTTTCAACTTTTCATTCCACAATATACAGCATAGTAAAACTTTCATTGATAAAGGTAAAATTATTTTCATGTAACCTAGTTAATTTGCAAGCGTTAAAAAAGTTAATTTTGATAAATCATTAATTTTAATAGTTTCTTTGAAACTGTAAATTATATTCTTTTCAATGAAAACATGCAAATAATGTTTCATAACTATCGTTCTTCTTGTATGACTTACGATGCGTTTTCAGTATTCTGTATCAAGCAAAGAGGCTTATTTGGCCGCACACAAGCAAAAGGTAAAGGTGTCGAAGAAAGATGTTCCAAAGACTTCTAATGATTTGAAGGAGAGCATCAAGGCGTGCATTAAAGATGACAAAATGCCGGTCGTGCAAGCAGACGACAGGGAACAATCATGGCTGACGTTTCAGGAACTGCTGGATTTTGATGTCTTTCTGTTGGATTGCAGAATATTAAACGTTGATATGGTATGAAATATTTATTGGCAATCATTTAGGAGATATATTTTATTATATGGAATCTTAGGGCAAGGTAAGTGATAACAAATGTCGTAAAATGCGTAGTTATGAAAGTTGTAAGAACATGTCACGACTAATCCATATTAAATTTTCATTTCTCTTTAAAGAACAGAAGAAATCATTTTGTGCAGAGAGTAATAAAACAATTTTTTACTTGACACAACATGACATATTCTGGATTTCCTGCCACCCTTGCACCACTTACTCTTTTTAGATACATGCTATGTTGCACATTGTAGAAGAAGAAAATGAGAGAGGCCACAAAGGCGATCCTATCAAAGACAGAAAGGGTAACATTTTGATTGATTTGACAGTCGTCGAACAGTATCTGTGATGCAGTTAAACTAAATTAAGTACAATCAAATAAATGCAATTCAATTTAATTCACTCGTTGTGAGTGATTCTATCAAGATATGTTTTAATCCTATTTTAAAGAAAGAAATGGAAGAACAACTGAAGCGCATTCAGGGCAAAATTGGACCTCATCCCAAATTAAACATAGAAAGATTTGAAAATTGGGCGGAAACTATCATTTCTTACGTCATTTCCTGTTGGCCGACATCAAAGGAAGAGATACAAAGCGTCATCGCAGCTGCAAAGGAAGAAGGATTGAAGATACGTTCTGCAGGTTCCCGACACAGCTGGGCGCCAGTATTTAGTGATGTTCGACAGATATTATTGAACCTTGGAAAATTGCGAAGTGACTATGGACATGGTGTCAAAATAAGAATAGCGAATGTACTTATATTCTTCATTTTTTTAAATTTCCATTATCCTTTTTTCCCACTTAATATTTATTAGGAGAAAGTATAAGGATTCAAGGATCCAAAAGGAAGAGAGGATTTCCTGGATAGGATTGATTGAATTTAAAAATAATTATAGGAACTGCATGAAAAATGTAGTTGATGTTCAAAATGAATATTCGCTAGTATCATATAAATTTATTGTAAAAGCAAGATGCAGTCCTCCCTTTTTTCAGCAAATATGTGTTTAAAGTAATAAATGACTGATTTCAATATCATTTTGAAATAATTCAAACATTATTTTGTTGATAGCGTAGTCGCAACGAAGTTGATGTAATGGCGGGCGTAACGACCGGCGAGTTGAAAGACTTTCAACTGAAAAATAAACTTCATCTTCCTGCCAGTGTCATCGTTGATGCAGTGACGGTGGTTGGAATTATAAGTGCCGGATGTCACGTGAGTAAATATATAAAAAATATTCATCTACATGTATTTTGTAAATGATTTATTGGACACATGTTTTAATAATTTATTCGATGTCCTTCAATCCTGTCTTTACCTTAATATTGCATTAATAGGGTGTGGGACGTTATTCAAAGTCTGTAAGTGATTACATTGTAAAGATGCGAGTGTTCGACTCTAATGGCGAGTTAAGGACGTATTCGAATGAGAACCAGGCAATGTTTAGAGCAGTGATGGCGGGATTTGGATGTTTTGGCGTTGTGTATGATATAACCCTTAAGGTGAAATAAACTGAACAAGTTAAATGTTCCGCTCGAAGCTATATTTTCCCCAGGTTATGATTTTTTGCATTTTTTTCAAGTTCATCTTATTAAAAAGGTACAGTATTTATCATACAGTACATGAATGTGTTAGTATGGTTAACATTTATATGTTTCTTCATGTACTGTTTACTTTCAATAGATGGAACCAGAATTTTTGGTAAAGACAGAAAATTTATATTACAACCTGGGAGATGTTTTCTGCTATGCCAGGTGTCTCCAATCTATAGTTGAGAACAACTGGTCCACTAACATTCTTTGGATTCCGTACAATTCCATAAGTTGTGGTGATTACAATCCGAAAAACGATGAGTTATGGATACGCGTGACCAATAAAGCGCCATCTGACGTTGACACGGAAGACTGGGATTATTATACTTGGCACGACACCAAAGATTACGTCACTCAGGGATCCCTGGCTGCCATGTTGCCACTATTAGCCGAGGAACCCAGTCTTGTGCCATACTTTTCATGGTCTGCTTTCAAGTCTTTGAAGTATGTGATGTACCCTTCCGGTGAAATTTACCAAGAGCATGCTCATTCTGTGCATTTTAGGTAGGAATTACTAAGATGCTCTACGTATGCACAATTTCTAAAACGAGATGAATTATTGACAAACAAGTTGATGAAACAAGAATAGTAACATTCTCGTTTAGATTCAGTACATGTATTTCGCAAGAAATACTAAAAGACCAAAAAATCATCCTTCTGTTTAGGCAATCACTCATACTGTAAAGTTAGCATAGAAATGTGTGCGAGTGAACTTGGTAAATTTTCGATGACTAAAGTTTCATATTTTTCCCTTGCAAACGGTAAAGTGCTACTGTAAACAACGAACCAGTAGTCATCCATAAGTACTTACTTACAGAATTACTGCAGAATCATAGTGAAGATTCCGATTAATATCTTTTTGTGGGTATGGTTAATGAAAATCCACACTTTTAATTTTTATTAGAAAACATTTGGACATGGCTCCTATTTACGACATGGAGTTTATATTTGACTGTGAAGATGACTACGAGAAGCTGTTACAGATCATACATGTCGTGGTGAAGAGAGTCGACCATTATGAAGAAAAAGAAGAATATCCTCTGACAGCTCTGGAGATCCGATTCATATCTTACAGGTAGTCAATATAATGTTAGGTCTCTTGTCTTATTGTTAGTCCAGAGTAGTTTCGATTATGTATATTCCTATGAAGGAATGAAAACCTGATTAAAGCTAGGTAAACATAAGTTCAGGCTGCTAAGAGATTTCAGAAAACCAGATACGAGGGTTGATCCAAAAGTAATGTCATAACTTCGATAAAATTGCTCCTAGTCGACGTAAATTAACAAAATTATGCATGATGGAAGCTATATTTATTTCAATTCAGTGCTCAAAAATTCAAATTAAAATTATTTATACTTTTTAAAATATCGAATTATATTCAAAGTGCGATTATGGTAGTCGCCGCACCTAAATAACGTCATATGACGGATATGCGCCGTCACACACTTTTAAAAAAGCTTCCCCATCATTTCATTTTAAAAAATGATATTCACAAACACATTCACATATTTTACTTTCTTAAAGAATCATTGGCACCAATTGTACACTACATCTATAATATAGTCCTTCATCAAATTTCTTTGAACAGTACCATAAGACAAACTTAAAAGTTTCTCATATCACTCAAACTGCGTAACACGCATCTCCTTTTTGACAACGTCGACGTCATTGAACGTTTCCACCCGACCTCCTAACTTTAGGTCTTTCTCTCCTCAGCTGATCACTTAATTACCCATGACGCGCCCAAATTCTACGAAACCATCTATGAACAAGTCTCTTGTTAACATCCTTTCTTCTGCGAGTCTGATTTACTATCGTAACTGTCTCTACTGGCGATTTCCCGATTTTGAAACTCAGTTCGGTATTTTATTCAATTTCGACATTTCCTTTCTGCAATACATCAGATATAAAGAACAACAATTCCGATGAAAAGAAAAAACAATGCCGCCTTTGAATTTTGTCTTTTAAATTATTTGGCAATTAGACGCTTTTTAGATGCTTTTTTAATGTTTTTGTCTTTTTTCATTTTAAAAAATATACACTTTAAAACGTGACGTTTAGTGACGCGGCGACACCCCCTATGTTTAATATTTCAAACGTCTATAAAATGGATTCAATTAAACATTATTATATGGAATTTTTAATTTTGATTAGATTTATGTTTATGCAACTTTTGGTGCATTATATTTGATAATATTACGCCAAATATTAAAGATATGGACAAAGTGACATTACTTTTGGATCAATCCTCGTACATGTATTTCGAAAATATTTGCCTTGCCTTCATTTGAGTCATGTTTGTATTGCTTAATTTATTCTTTCCGTTTTTGATTATCCATTTGTCAATCTTACTACCATCGTTTGCAATGATCCATTAGTGAATGTTAAAGATGTTTGGAAGGGCTGCTTTTTGCGATTAACTGCGAAAGGCACTCCTTGGCGAGGTACTCATTATGAGACTTTTGACTTCATGAGAGATTGCATTTGTTGACAAGATCATAGTCATAATTGATTGATTTATTCAAGTTTTGTGTTTGTTTTTCGCCCCATTCGAGAAACTTTCACTCATATGGAGACGTCATTATATACTGGTGAAGGTGTTCTAATTTAGACCTATACTCTATATTCGGCAATTGAAGCCATTAAACTACCTTAAACTAATTTGTATCATACCTTAAGAAAAATGTCATCATGAGGATGCTCTTTGTACATTTCTACGTTATATTTTACACGTGTAATTCCACATTCATACCAGCTTGAATAATCACGTGCAACAAAGATAAATTACATAGGCACTGGGAAATTAATTCTGAAGATTAATTTCACTGAAAAAAGACATGCAGAGCAAATTAAAGAAATTCAAATCACGTCTACCTGAAAGTCGATTGGGGATTTGGTAATTTCAAAACATGGAAGACTGAAAATTATGAACATCAATAATAGTGCTGCAGAACCTATAATTCCGGGGAAAAAAACACAAAAATACAGAGAAAGTGCAAGATGCAAGGTAACCTACTTGGAGAAGATCACCACAGAAGATGCCATAGATGTTAAACTTCTTCTTTATGCCCAAAGCCATGGAAATCTTTACATCACTGAAAAAACATCATGGAATCATAAAATATATTCTATGCGTGGGAGTATGGAATTATGAATGTAGAAAACACGGAAATCTATTGACTAGATGTCGTATAAAGAATACCTCATCTTCTAGACGATGTACATAAAAAAATAAAGAATGGTATGGAGGGTAGGCACTCAGTCACTTTCCTTAGATAGCAGAACGAAGAGGCATAAATTGTTTTGTTATGCTTTTGGGATGAATCCCGATTCTTTCCTTGAGGCTGGGGTGAGGTGGGGTCTATCAGTCTCAAAACAGTGAGAGAGATACCGGTATATTTAACATATAAGGTCAACATTGGTCCCAGGAAAGCAAAGGAGAAAGGTTCCAGAGAAAAACTTTGATCCATGAACACTCTCCCTATAGTCTCGCTCTTTATCTTGTCAAAGCAAGCATTGCTGTTTATGAACATCACCAAACTAACTGTTTCAAATATTGTAGGGGCGATATAGATATCGTCAGATTAATTTTGATATATCAAAGAACGCATAATGCAATTTATTAATTAAATAAAATCCTTCCAAAAAAAGCACAATATAGTTCCCACAACCAGACTTGAGAGTAGGAGCCAATTTCCTCGGGAATGTGTATAGAGTTTTCTCTTACATTGGAAATTGCGGAACTATGAAGTATAATAAACAGGAAGAAAAGTAAGGATCCCGGTTCCTATGTTCTTGTAAAGCGGTTGTGAAAAATATGTTCGACCAAGAAATGTACGTGTGTATGTTTTTAAAACCTAATTATGTAAGTGCAATCTCAGCCAACTTGTCCATCTGAGCAATATATGCATATATAATTTAATTATTTCAGCGATGCTTATCTGGGATCGGGAGTTCTTGCCAATCCTGCTACAGGCGGGTCTGGTTATGCGATGTGTATCGAGATCTTGGGCTGTCCCGGATGTAAGGGCTTGGATACATTCAGCACTGAGATAGCCAAAGAGTGGATGGCCCTTGGGGGAGTACCTCACCTGGCCAAACAATGGAACCATTTACCGGGGATTTACGAACACATCCAAGAGGTATAAAAATATAGCAGTAAATCTGTGTACACCTCTCAATCGTCTACAAGGTATTCAGGTATTAGATGTTCTTGCCATCGTTAGGTATGATAATATCCTCCTACCATTCTATAGTTCTGGTTTGGAAGACGGACCGTGTACACTGATTGATAAATTAGGCAGAAAATAAAGGTCCTACATAAAGGTCATTTTTCATTTGAGGATAATTTTTTTTTTCCTTTGTCTTTGCTATAGAAAATGAGCGGGCAAATCACATCCTTCAAGACACAATTAAAGAAATCGGGTGCGGATCCAGATGGCATGTTTCTAAATGAAGGTCTGAAAATGCTTCTGGGCATATTATAGTACCTTAAAAGGACATTTTATTACTTAATGTGTGTGTGTTGATGACTGATTAGCATTTAACAACAATCTTTGAATAAGTAAATTATACGAAGTGAAAAGTACAGATGGTTAACATGTAGTTGTATAGTGTATATATTTCATTTGAAGGCTATTGATCTTGTATTTACAGTATTTCCTATGTATTTTCTCTCCTTGAATAATGTTGCTTGGGTTGGACTTTTTAACCTTAATTGTTGTTGCATATTGTAATAAAATTTAAAATTTCCTTCTGTGTTACGTTTAAATAGAGGGTAAAATAAATCTGCTTATCCGCACATGAATATTGAAAAAATGCTGTCCATGTAAAGCAAAGCAAGACATACGTTATATTCCTCTCCATGAATATCGAACGTTTATTTGCCCATGAATAATGAAGATTTATCTGTCCATGAATGGCGAAGGAGGATTTGTCTATCAAGGAATTATCTGGTAAGGTTTTTTCTGTAAAGGAAATATATGGAGATAACGGACAATATTCGAACTCAAAAGTCCATCAAACAATACAAAATAGGAGCGGAGCAAACGTGGACTTCCAAAACATCAGAGGTGGGATCAGGTGGAAAGATTTATCTGCCCAGGAAGGCAGGGATAATGAAGAATTGTCCGTATGTGGGAAAGGGGTTATAATTACAAAGAGCAAGAGCCACTGCATGTTAGGCCTTTTTTTGGCTCAGTTTAGGTTAAAATGCAATACTTTTTACTTGGAATGTTAGTGACCATGTATCTATTGAAAATAACGTAATTTTCCCTCTAGTCAATGCATATGACGTCATAAATTATGTCATTTTTACCATATCCTGTAAATTCCTATAAAAATGGCTCAAAATTGAAGATTTTTTTCAATATTTCATATAAAGCACAACCTCTGATTCAAAACATAGTTTTACATAATGAAAGATCTGTTTCTGAAGATCAAAAACATGTTTAAAATTTTGGATCGTGGGCTGTACTATTATATTTTAATTCTTTGCTGAAGGTAGTCAAATACGCATGTTTCTGCGAAATTCAAGAAATTGCATTTTGTAAAAACATGTTTGCCAAAACCTTAGGTTCTCAAAAAGAATTTTTATGAAAGAAAATGAAAGCACCAAGCCTCTACTTTATTTTGATACATGAAATGGGAAGGAGGGTGAAGGTCAATTGATATATTAGGACAGGGCCATTTTATGCATAAAGTGAACCTTAGTCCTAGCTCTTTCATAAGTTTCATAAACAAAATAAAACAGAAAATTTAATGCATTTCTTGAGCATTTTATTACTTTTAAGCACAAATCTTTCTTTTATATGCATTAAGTGTAATAACATTTCAAGACAACATCGCAAGGTCAATCAATCTTTGATAACATCAGTATACAAAATTGCTATGAGCATATAAAATTCAACAATGAAATACTTAACATTTCATATACTTATATCTGAAATACTTTTCTTGAAAAAAACAAAACATTTTAAACTGGCCTTCTAATGTTGGAATGTGCAAGTTAATTGAATTACAATTAACAATGCAGTAATTGAATGTCTAGTGCTCTCAGATAACTAAGCTTCATATGCTCTGGATTTTTTCTTCTTCAGATAATTCATGACAAAATAACGGTATCCGACCTATACACAATACGCTCTCATGTATCTCTTACAATTATTACTCTTATCTCTTACAGGACAAAAACATCCAAACATCATACTACAGTAAATGGAAATATACCACTTAGTGATTAAAAAAACAGACTTTGCCTTAAATTTTAGGTTTTGTGTCTTAACAAGAGCAGATATGTTCAAATGATTAATGATTTGAGCATATATTAACTGAAACATGAATGAAGAATTTTTTTAATTAACGAAAATATACTGCCAGCTTTTATAATGAAAATACTATATATTTATTATAACAATACCAGAACAAAGATAAATTCACAAGGTGTTTAGTATTACCATGGTGACAGGTAACTACCGTAAAGTTCAACATATGTAAAACTGGCCGGTACACTGCACTTGCTATGATCAAGTAGAGCTCATCATTTGGCAAAATGAGCCACATCAGTGCAGGAAGTTAAAGTACTAATGTTGAACAATTAATATGACAAAATGGTCATCAAAACCTACAGCAGAGAATTGTTCCCAAAGATACATTTTTTTTATTATTTACTAGTAAATCAATGCTTATCTGAGAGTTCGTTACTGTGACAGTCATGAAATTGGTCAAACACCAGTACTGAAAGGAAGGAAGAGGCAATTCTCTGGCTTTTCATTGGTCAGAAATGTATAAATGGAGGACAAATTGACTTTGCAGACAACATAATTTGTTCTACAATGTAACTAGTAGGTAAAATTGGAGTGTAAATGATATGTATCTATCTTTATGGCACAATGAATAGATCAATGTACATCTCTTATGATAATGCAAACAATTCTTAAGAAAATCAAATTCACTGACTGTATTTCACAAAGCTATTAACTATTGAGACCTGTAACATGTGATATGAGCAATAGATTTCAAATCCATTGATTTTGTTTTTTTTTGTTTTGAAAATTTATGGAATGTTGCTCCCTAATTTGTCCGACACAAGGTCTTGGTTGACATATACAATTGTAATAAACAAACAGCCTTGCTAACTATTAATTCAGTTATTATAAAGACATAAAAATTCTTCTATTTGAAAACAACCTTTACATGTTTATGCTTTCTTAGATTTGTATAGAGAACATCTGTTTTGATTGTATCAGCATTCAGCTTAGAATTCAGCTAAAAGTGAATTTGAAAACCAGCTGCAGCCATTCATTGTTCATCATATTACACTATATGGAAACTTTGTATTATACACGTATTAACTGATTTTTTTTTTTTGAGACAATTATCTAACAATATTTATGGTATATTCTTTTGATTTTACAACCATTCTTCATTCTACATATACAGTCAAACCTCAAACCTCATTATCCCAAATCCAAGGTGATGATCAAGAAAAAAAACTTCAAGATATATGAGTATTCAAGATATTAAGGGTAAAAATAATTAGTTAGTACTTCCTAATCACTTCCACATACCCATGGTATTTTAGAGTAATCAGTGTTTTAGATATCAAAGTTCAAGTGTAAAATCATGTGGGACTGTGCAAAAGCATTTTATTCTGCATTTTCCCATACTTTAAATGTCCACATACATGGCCTTTTCATATTGGTAAGATTTGGTTTGGCAATCCTCAGTTCTCATTGGTCAGACCTGGTTTTGGGATTTTCTGTAGTTAGCTTCCACTATTTCTATCACATTGTCAATAAATGGTCTCTCGGCTACATTCACTTTCATAAGTCTAAGAATTAATTCATGTATTGCACTGGTATATCTGTTGGGGAAAAAATATGATCAATTCATAATCACAATATGTGATGCATTGAACACATACTTAGTTTCAAACCCATAGAAATGATGCTTATAAATACCGTAAATCTGGAAATTTTTACTGTAGATAAATTTTTAGCAAAGAACTATATGCGGTATTAACCAACATTTGCCCCCCAAAATCAAACTTTGATGGAGTAATATTTAATTAAGTCCTTAAACAGGGGAGTATATGCTGACTTCAAAGCACTGAATAATTTCATAAGTAATGACGACATATGTATGTAATGACGTCACAAATATGACGTAAATTTCAGTTTTTTATGAATTTTGCAGAAAAATGTACATATTTCGTCGATATTTTAAATAAAAGTCGCATGTGTGTTCAGGATAAATATTTTGATATAATGTGTAGAATGATAATATCAATGAAATATGTCAATATTGTTCCTGAACACACATGCGCTCTATAAATTTTAAAGCTTAAATTGTTGAAATTTTGTCCATTTTGTCCTCTTTCTGAAAAAGAATATAAAATCGGACTAGTTTGTGACGTCATAAAAACAGAAATTGTGAATACACTGCTCTGGAACTATAATATTTTCTATTAACTTATATTTCTCGTACAATTTATTGAATTCAGCACATTTCAGGAAGTTTTCAAAATTTGACTTTTGTGGGGGCAAACATATGCAATATACCGCATATAGTTCTTTGCGTGTGTAATGCATTCGCAAAAATATTTTTCTTAAAAATAAATCAACATGTAAAGAAATTTTTTTTCTGAAAGTTGGTGTCTATTTTTAACCCAGTGAATAGGCATCGGTAAGCATTGGTCATTTTTTTATACTACTGTACAGGGATCGACACTAACTTTAAGACCATAGTTGTCAGCAGGGCTAGCCATTTCTAATTTCTACTAGCCCTGTTCATGTATTAGTTGTCCAGCAGCCGAAGGCTGGTGGCCGAGTCGTGAAGCGACGAGGGGGGTAGGTGCGGGAGGGGGTTTCCCCCTCCTGCTGGTGGGGGTACTGGGGGCCTCCCCTGGGAAATTTTGAAAATAGAGATGCCAAATCCTGCATTCTGGCTGTATTTTGGGTAAAAATTGTATGTCACTCTATGATTGTACCTACGACATTTTTCTATTAAAAAAAGTCAACATTTATAATCATTAAATTGCATTTTATTGTATTTCGAATCATCTTTAAAGTTTTCATTTTAACTTACAAAAAAAAAAAAATTATGTTGATAAAACATGTTTGAAAATAGATTTAACAATTATCAGGTACATTGTGTGTAATTGATAATTATTTCTGTTGCTCTTAGTGAGTATTTGGTAAAAATCTTAGTAGTCCTGCGGGGCAAGTTAAAAGGCATGTTTAGTAGCCCGACCTCAATATTCAGTTGTCCCGGGCCAGCGGGCTACCGTTAGTGTCGAACCCTGCTGTAACTACAAGTTAATTACCCGTGCGTGTAAATTGCCCTCATTATATGCAATATCGTCGGGTGGTTTGACAAGCACTGAGACATTGTGTCCCTTTTTAATTATTTTGCCAAGAAACAGACCAGTTATGTTATCCAACCATTTATCAACACGGGCAATGACTTGAGCTCAGAGCTTTTACTAGAGATTTCCAAATGTAAACACGGCGTGTAAATTTTAGGTGAGAAAAAAACAAACGTTGAGATAATTAGTTATATTTTTGTCTTTATTTGGATTATATTTTAGCTAAAAGGCATACACAACCTCTAAAAGGTTTGTTATAATTAATCCTTTTAATTTGTATTTTTATCTTCAAAATCGTTTCTGAGCGATTCTGCAATTTCTTGCCACGTTGCGAGTATATTGGTGGTATTTTAACTGTGCATACTAAATTGAAACATAAACTGATATGAAAATCTTAAGTGATTTTTATTTTTAGAGCCAGTGACAATTCGCAAAATTTTGAAGCGTAAAAATTAATCAATAGCTTTTTGACCCAAATTCGCAAAAATAAATTGACGTAAAAATTCCAGATTTACAGTATGTATAAAATATTATAGATTGGGCCACCCTTAGAAAATTGTTTGGTTGCATTCTCCCGACTCGGTCTGAAAATATTGGGTGGTTAATTAAGTACGTGAGATTTTTTTTTTCAGAAAGTTTCAATTTCAATGCTGATTTTTTAAATTCTATTATCCAGAGTACTTCAAAAAAAACTAGAACTGTCCAATAGGGACAAATACCCCCGCTGGGTTATTCAGAGTAGGTGCCAATTCAGAAATATTTTATGGATCTAGTAAGAGGTGTTCACTATTGTCTAATAAAGTGCCCTGCCACAGCATGATACGCCCATCAAATATTGTTCAATAATCATAAATTGGTTAGGGTGCAAGAAAATCAAGTAACCTTGATTAACAGATTGACACACTATTTCAATGATCTAATTTCCATTTCTTATCCATGTTTAAAATATTGTACATACATATCTAAGAGACTTACAGTGTAGGGATTAATTAAAACAAATAATACATCATATAATTCTAAACTGGCTGTGTTAGAGCTTAACAAATATCCATCTGCAGCTTTAAATTGTTTATTGCATAAATTTGCATTATTGCATATATTATACAATACTAATTCAGTTTTAATCATACACTAAAACATCAATTTGTTTTAATTACATTACACCAATTGAAAGATCTTTACCTGAACTACAGCCATCAAGAACTCTTAATTAACACAAGCAACTATAAGGCCATTTCTTTTTGCCCAACTCCCAAGAGATAAATTAAGATAATACTGCATCAGATCAGATCTAGATATGCTCTTGCCAATTAACTCCCGACAATGAACTCATTAATTTCTCTCTAATTTGACATGCACATTTCTGCTATCAAAAATTCTCCTTGACCAGTGCTTGATAATTATGCCCATGGGACAAACTGAAAAATCATTAACATTTGTTTCAGACTTTGCTGTAAAGTATATGATGAAAAAATAAGTTTTTACTTAATTTAGTATTTTTAATAAGGATAAAACTATATTTTTACATTTTTTAGGATTATGAAATTTAAAATTTTAAAGACATAGTTTTTTTTAAAAAATCACTTAAATTAAAGGTCAAAGTGACCTTGAAATAGGTCGTGACACACCGTCTACCCAAGATGCATAAATTGTCCAAGTTTGATGATTGTAAGTCTAATAGTTTTCTAGTTATGAGCCAAACAAAATCACAAAATAAAAAAGAAAAAACGTCTGTAAAATGCAGAAAAATCATCCAATCATTATGAAAATCCCAGGTGCATACCTTCATGTGGTGAATGATAAGTGTATAAATTTTCAGATAAATCCATCCAACAGTTTCTGAGAAACGGTCCGGACAAAATCTTGTCTACAGACGGACGGACAGACAGACGGACATGGTGATTCCAATATACCCCCCTAAACTTCGTTTGCGGGGGTATAAATAATTGCTTCTTGGAGGTAAAAACAAAAAAAAGATTAGAGTCAAGCCATTTTTAACCAGTCAATCGGGAAAGGGCAACCAAACAATTTTTTAAACATGACCTTATCAAATGTATATTTCAACAATTCAACTATATTTCATTTCTGCATTGAATCTACTCTATTACTCACCCTGAATTTTCAGGAAATTTAATATTTTCACTCTGTGTAGCTAGAGCTATACTGCCACCCTGGGCATATATTTTATCAAAAGGGGATTCTAGGAAAGTCAGGGCATATAACAAACATCCCAAGGACTGAAAAATGTAACAGAGAATCATTATAAATCTAGTTAATGTCCCTCCTTATTTTTAACTTACTGAGCTTAAAAAAAATTTTGTATTAATTGTGTTGTTTGCAAAAAAGGCTTGAAATCTAAAATCAATTCTGATTTTTATTTGTAATTTTTTTTTAAATTTATAATGTTAACAGTTGTTTAATAGAGACTTCTTACCCAGATGTCTGTCCTTTCATCAACAGTGGATCCTGTTTCAACATTAAAGAGTTCAGGAGCTCGATAAAACATGGAACACCTCTCTGCTGCCTCATCCTAGAACAAATTCAAATATTCAGCCGTCAGACATCATTATATCTTAGTGTATTACTAGGCAAAACTAAATTATCATAAATGAAAATATAAACTTCTTTATCAAGTTTAATTGTTTTATTTGATAGTAATATATAACATGAATTGGAAAATGTTAACTGTTGGACAAAAAAATTAAGCAGTCTATCACATTTGGTCATATTCTTGTTCCAGACACATAGAATTGGGGGTTAGGGGGTGGGGCTGCCCCTCCCCCCCCCATCCTTTTTTTTCCAGTACATATTAAATCACATCAGTGTGGTAATGTATGAATAAAATTTTGTTGTAAAAGAAGATGCACCCCTCCCCCCTTCAAATAAAAAAAAACCCCAAACAACTCCCCTCCCCCTTCCAAAAAAACAACAAGAACAAGGATTTTCATGTTTGGAAATTTTTTTCCGTTTTTTTTAGTTCTTCATTGACATGTTTTTTATTTTTTAAACAGTTTTAGGATTGGGCAGTACTTATAGTCTTAAAATTCAAATTGAATAATCACCTGTAACTGTCTGGATATTTTAGCAGAAGAAACATCCACTCTGGCTAAATCTGCAGAACCCAGATCCATTAAAATGGGTGATCCATCGTCAGCAATCATCACATTAGCTGGTTTAATGTCTCTGTTAAGTGTAGAATTTTAAATTTGTAGTATATATGTATATCAATTATTTCACCTGTTTGAGTCGACACATTTCTGAACACACACCTGTGAGCATATGGAGGATTCTGACTGTGAAACTCTTTCACCGCTTGACAGATTCCTAGGAACATGGTCCAAATCTGATCTTCTGGGATCTTCTCAGACCGTTTACTTAACTTCTCAATATGGTCTTGAACAGAACCTCTCTATAGCGAATGACAATTGAAATTATTAGACATTTAATACAGTATAAATTTAAAAGCCTGATAGTAATTAATGCAGTCAAAATGGTATAATCATTTGACATGTGCTAAGATAAAGAACCTTTACTTCTGACTTACACTGTAATAAGGCATTACTATCAAGACTTCACTAAGGATATCTAGTGTCTTGGAGTACTGGTTCACTTTGATGTTAGCGGACTCCACCAGAGGGACGATATTTGGATGTTTGAATCGCTTCATTAGCTCCACTTCCCGTGCTGCCACACGCTCTTCTTCTTTAGAATGGCACGTTATCCGCTTCAAAGCGTAGTCCTTGTGGCTTCTGGCATCCTCAACCAAATCCACATAACTGAACCCCCTAAAACAGGAAAATTTACATAATTACACTTTTTAAATTGGCGTAGGAAATTTTTCAAATCAAAATGTTTTTCAAATTAAATTGCTTACCCTTCTCCTAGTCGATTCCTGAAGTAGAATCTTCTGTTATTGATGGTAAGCGTTTCACGACCACACATACAATTACCCATCCTCGACCTCAATAGATAATCAAGACTCGCAAACATTGATGATCGTTTTAATCTCCATCAATGGCGCAATAAGTCGACGGATCACCAGTAAAAATTAAAATAAACTTGCTACCATTTGTCAAACAGTAAAATAACTGTCATCAACTGGCAACACTCGGCTATGAAGTTCACTTTTTATCTGACGTTTTCCAGATAATTTACTCTTGTTTTATTGATGTGGATATTCGTCAATGTCACTGAAATGCTTCAGAAATCTTGTAGGAAAATATTATTTGCGGATAAAAACGGAAATACATTTCGTCCTTAAAAATCTATTTTGAATATTTTATTATCAATAAACAATTAAAATAAATTTAAATTTTCACATGTTTTTTATTTATATGATTTTAAGTGCATAAAAAATTAACTAATATTCCCTTTCCGATTACGTTGCAAATTTTCAATCAAGCGTAGATGTGATGCAGATTTTGACTCATTTGTGAAACTGCAGACAGATAAAAAAGGTGGTCACAGTGATGGCAGACCCAAAATATGCCAATCTTCCAGGAATTGTAAGAATGTTTGGATGAAATTTATTTGCAATTTATGTAGTTTTTAAGTTTTACGAATAAATAGTCATGAAAATAGGGACTAATGCAAAATTATTGGCCGTCTGTTTGTTTTCTTAACACAAAATAATCATGATAACCATTGATTATACATATGTTTGCCAATTTTGCATTGAATGCTTGTAGCCAAGGAATTTTTGTAAGGTTTTGCACACAAATTTACTTGACGAATGTACAGGTTTTATTTAAGATTATTCTTACATGTTAGTCTATTGAGCTTGCTGCGCTTACTATTAAATTTAATGGGGGAAAAATCAGTACTATTAATTAATGTATGGCTCACCTGAATGCATTGTTTAATGCTATTATATTTACCTTCTGCATGTGTCGTTGTGAATTATATATTGTATGGAAGTACAGTTGACATTTGTAATCAGGTCCAGTCCAAAGACTATTTCTACCTACGTAGCTATTAATAGCTATGTAGGTATTTAAGCCTACTTAAAGTAGCTATTTTTACCTACTTTTTGTATTATCTGCATTTTGTGGCCAAAACACCGAATGGCGCAACATGGTGAATGCCATATATTTTGATACAATCACGCTAATGATAAATATGATGAAATTTTGGCCAAAAAATTGTTACTTCCTAAATCTTCAATTTTATATTAGTCTCTATGCAAAATTGTTAATTTACAAAGTAATCATTTTTTGGTCAAATTTTTGCCATATCCATCATCGGTTTGACTGTATCGAGAAATTTGGTACTCACCATATTGTGCTGTTCGGCTGTTTGGCCACAAAATGCAAGTAAAGTAGAAAGTAGGTAAAAAAAATGCTATTTTTCTTATGAAAATATGCCTATTATTATTAATAGCTACGTAGAAAATTCCTTGGACTGCTTTGCCCTATCTCATATCTCAAATCTTTGATATCTTGAAGTTTTTTCACAGCCCCATCAGGTTTGAGATTACAAAGTTCGACTGAATATGTAAATCATGAATCTTATTATTTTTTTTGTGTACTCTAGGATCATGATGCCCCTGATGTTTATGAAACAGAAGACTTGCCAGAAGATGATCAGGCCATGCAGCTACCACAGGTACTGATTATTGTGTTATTTGGGGAAAGGAAATGCTATCTGTAATATGAATTAAGAGATCAAAAACAGAGGAATTGCCATTATATACTTCACCTATCTTTATCTTTAATAATGATTGAGGGAGATTTATATAGATTGAAAACACTTTTCAAAAAATGTCACATGAGATTAGGAACTTGTGCTATATTTCCAAAGTCCAAGAAGACGGTTTACATAGAGACAGCTTTCCCGTTGTCCAGTTCTAAATATTGTATAAAATTTAACATGAAATACTATTAAATACATTATAGTTTATATGTTCAAATCAATTTCATGCTCACATGCAATGTAAAGGTACTTAGATGTGAATGATAAAAAAAATCTGTATGATTAGCTTTCTTTCATTTGAAGGAGGAGCCAAGTGAGAATATAGAAAAATTAAAACTGGACACTAATGCAGCCCTGGGAAAATTCAAAGGGTCAGAGGTCAAGGCAGATGGACTAGGTTAGTTGTCGTGTTATTAAGAACCTCAAGTTTTTTTTTTGTTCTTGATTTACGATGTTTTATTGTTTGATAGAAATTCGTGGTTTAGCCAGTTACTACTATTGTATGACTATTTTAATAAGATAATATTGAAACGTTGAAAATGATAGATGTATAATTTTGAGAAGGCATTTTAAATCTTTTGTACATTTAAAAAAATATGCTTAAATTGTTTGGATGATAACAAGTACATTTTACTTCTTTTCTGTTTTTTTTTCAAATAGATTTCTCTGATAGAATAACAGGATCAAGAAGAACAGGATATGACATTGAAAAGACAGAATATGAAATGGTAAAAAAAAAAAAAGTAACTTATTAGATTAAACTTGTATATTTTAATACTGCATAATATATTTTAATTTGGGGGGGGGGGGGGGTTAAAAAAATCTATATAAAAAGGTATTAATTCTTTGCTCCTTAAGATTGAAAAAGTTTCTAATGATGTGCTTTTTTAACAGTTAAGCTTAATTTGTGGAGAGGAATTTTAAGAAAAAATTAAAAGGGGAAAAGATTTCAAAATCCTTTTACATTTTGGAAATCATGTTTAACATCATTGTACATCTGTATATTTTTTTCTCAGTTGGAAGATGGATCCAGTAAGATAGAAACCCCACAACAGAAGTTCCAGAGACTCCAGCATGAGATTCGAGAGCTAGGGGAGGAAGTTCACTCCATCCAGGAGAACGTGAAGAAGGAGGCCACGGCTAAGACCTCCCCCGTAGATCTCAGCAAGCAGCTGGAGTATCTACAGCACCAACTCAACGACCTTCACCTGGAGAAACTGCTAGGACCAGAGGCCAAGGTCGATTTATCAGACCCACAAGGTCAACTCCAGAAGTAAGATATTTCTTAATTTGATGATTTTTTCTTAAAAGAAGATTTCTATACCAGTTGTAGAACTAGATAACTTTTTTAAAGACAATTCCAAGTCACATACGTTGTTTATACCTGTGCTTAAAGGCAATTTCCCAGTCACATGTGTTATTTATACTTGTGATTGTTACATGATTGTACTTTGTAGGCGCCTTCTGACAGAACTGGCTGCCTATAAACCAACAGAAGGGAAACCAGCCTCAGGCGCTAAACCAGGAAGTGGGTGTGTGACGTATGAACTCTTCTACAGACCAGAGCAAGCCCAGTTCAGCAGGAATGCCAGAGTATGTACAAGTATCAATAAGAATTCAGACTTCTTTTGACCAGATGAATGTAGTCTCATGTTTTGGAATATGAAGAAAATAAAATGTTAAAAAAAATTGAAGATCCAAATCAGTACAAACCTAATACAGGTGACTCTCGATGGCTCGATGATCTCTCATGAACCTCCGGTATATAATTAAGCAAATTTACTTTCTCTCGAACTTCTATCTCTCGAAGTTCTCTATCTCTCGAACCAAAATCTTGCCCGTTACACATATTTCATTGAATTTTACTCTCTATCTCTCGAAGTTTTGATTGCGAGTTTATACACGCCAATCAAGCGTAAAATTGATGCAGTCTGGACTTACCTTGAAATAATGAAAGCCTTGGGCTGGCATGGAGGTGTTAATTGGGTGTTTACATACATGACACTACACCTGTGGGTCGTCCGTGTTTTGATATAATTAATTGGTTATTAATTACAGGGTAAATTATAAACAAATTCACAACTTATTTTGGATTGAAACTGAGACGATATTTTTTTAGAAATTTAATTTATAGATGTTCGTTTCAGTAAGTTCCGATAGACTATGAACTTTAATTATGATTAAATAGAGTCTAAATAATTCCAGCATGGCAAATACTGCACAAGAAAATTCCTTTCTCAAGGACTGAATACCGATTAAGAAAAATCTGGTGAACACTGGTGAAGGTCATGATCAAGCCGCGGACTAGCTAAACCGACAATGGCTATTCGGGTTTCATGTAATCATGAAATAAGAACAAATAAATATTGAAACTTTAGAAATTCGTTTTATTTATTCGAAGTACAATCATTGTTGTTGATATCACATAAATTACCTGTCAAATACGATTGAAAACGTGCAATGACTTTATTTACATATACTTCCGGTATCTATAAAAGTAGAGCTTCGGTGATGGAAACTGAGAATTCCGGATTTTTTTTACTTTCTATCTCTCGAACCCTTCGATCTCTCGAACTTTTCTTGCAGTCCCTTGAACTTCGAGAGTTTGAGAGTCACCTGATTTATTTTTTCTATAACAAAATGAACAATTACTCAGCTTTTGAAATTGCTTTGGCTTTGTATATATATATATATATATATATATATATATGAAGCTATTATGTACATACATGTATTAATAGAAATTAATAATTTTAACAGCTGGCTAAACTGGAGGAGCGACTAGAGAGATTAGAAGCTGTACTGGGGCAGAGCTCAGACAAAGTGGTCAGTATGGTCAAACTCTTATCAGTACAGAGAAACTTGTCTAATCTAGATATTATATTCCGAAAATTTGCTCAATATAAACAACTGTTTTCATCCCTTCTTTTAGGGAATACTGACTGCTGATACTGATAACAAAGGAGTTGTGGTAAGATACGTCATGTCTATATATAGTTTGAACGTTGAAATCGGTAGACTTTGTTGTAAATTCTGTCATAAGTTGTGATTTGAGGTAACTACTACTTTCTGTTTAATGGGTTACGGAAAGGTTTATCTCTTATGCAAGACTGTGTGCTCGCAAAAGTATCAATCTTGTGTATATAAATATTCCTAAAGATTATTTATAATACATGTAGTAAAAAAAATTATGAAAATTTTGTTTTGCTAATAAAGAGTAAAAAAATATCTATCTAGCTGAAATAGGGTGTTGCAAAAATTTAATGACCTACAGTTACTTACAACACCCACTTCTCTCCAACCCCCTGTTAAATTTTTGAATGCTTTGTTATTCTGACAGGAGGCTGTTGGAGTTCTGAATTCCAAGCTCTCCCTATTGGAGCCTAGTAATATTGACCAGGTAGATGTCCGACTAGCAAGTGTTCTCCAAAAGCTGAATCAGATTGCTGACAAAAAATCAGGCCAAGCTGACCTAGAAAGACAAAATAAGGTAAAGATGTGTACATATAGTACACATGTACAAAACCATTATTAAACTTGTACTAAAGATACTGTATTTGGTAAAGAAAGCTTGATAAGACAATATATACATGTACATGATTGTTTTGTTAAGAAAGTTTTAAATATAGGTAAATTTACATGTATTCAAATGTGGAGAGTCTTTTCATAGATGTTTTCTAAATTACTATTTTTTAACGTGCACTGTAGAAATTCAGTAAAGAAATCAATAACTTTACACGTATGTTTTATTTTATAAAGTTTGAATGGATTTTAATTGTCTAGGTATCGGAGTTGTATGACATGGTAAAGAAATGGGACTCTGTGAGAGATACTTTACCACATGTCGTGGACAGACTGGTGTCACTTAAAGAACTTCATGAACAAGGTAAACACATTGGGAATTTATCCATTCAACAGTATAAATAAAACTCAAAAATCACCCATTTTTGTAGCTTTTATTTTTGGGGATCTAGTTGATTGTAAATTTCTTTATGCCCCATTTAAGAATTTCTAACTCGTTTAAAAACCACCATATATCTATGAAGAGATTAAAATGTATACCTTTTTTCTTTGAAGTCAGTACAGTCATAGTGCACAATGAAATTCTTGGGGATTTTTTTTTTTATAAGAAATACATTTTGAACAAATGTTGGTGATTCATGATTTCTTCTGTTAGTCTTTTCAAAGTAAATCTCTTGCTCAATGCATCACACAAGTTCTGACAGAAATTTCTTAAAATTTTAAAATGTTACATGTATAAGCAGGGTTCGACACTAACGCTAGCCCGCTGGCCCGGGACAACTGAATAACGAGGTCGGGCTAAAAAAGCACATTCCCTGCATAAAATTTAACTGTTAGTTCTTGCATTAATGATAATTTACACACAACATACCTGATAATTGTTAAATTTTTTCACATGTTTTATCACATAATTATTATTTTTGTAGGTCAAAATGTAAACGTAAACTGGGTGCTACAAATGATTATATGATTTTTCGAAACAGGTAAAGGTTCTTAATGGAAACACACATGCATTATAAATAGTTCTAGAAGAGATTTACATAGTATTTGAAATTCTCCCTCGGCCTATATTAGCTAGCTATAAAATGTAACAGAAAGTTAAAAGGGAAAGGATTTACATATCATTTATTCTCAAAACATCATTACACAAATTTTACACGTATTCTATAAAATTGTATTGTAATTCTTGCATTTGGCGTGTACGATATTTGGCCCTACATATTCAACTGTTGTCACATCTGGATACGGCACAACAGGAGATAACCACGACACTGGGCGCTCATGGTGATATGATGAAACAGGTAAAAGTTTCTTAATGGAAACTCACATGTATTATAAATAGTTCTAGAAGAGATTTACACAGTATTTGAAATTCTCCCCCTATATTAGCAAGCTATAAAATGTAACGGAATGTTAAAAGAATATACATATCATTTAAATGTCATTTACACAAATTTTACACATATCTAAGTTATATTATTACCATGATTACTGCATAAGAAAATGCAGGTTAAGACTCTTTTGATGTAATCTTTTTATGTAGAATTAGACTATAAACTTTACAGTCTTTCTGACATGGACATAAAATAATACTCAATATACTAGTAAATTAATACAGATTTAATTGTAAAAAAAAAAAAAATCAATATCACAAATACCTATCACATCTTATTAATATAATTATAAATGTAAGACTACCAAACATGTAAACATTCAGGTTTGATTTTATATTACTTGATGTAATAATCTACTAAATTAAGAACAGTGAATATATGTTTGGATTCTGACTGATATAATTTTTTCCAGTATTGCAAATATACAATATAATTTAAATCAAAAAGAAATATTAGTTAATGAGGTAATTTTCTTTTTTCCAGCTTCAAGTGATGTTTCAAGAAAACAGTAAAACAGTGAAGGCTAACTGCGAGAGTTTAGATCAGCGATTAAAAGCTCTTGGCAAGTGATTTTTGTGTAGAATATAACCAAGAGTTAAATAGCCTGAGGTACCGTGGTTCCATATCTCACTGCATCAAGTGGTAGTAAAATCTTAAGTTGTCCTTTTCATGTACATTTTATTGGTTGTAATACATGTATCATGGATCAAATATTGCAATTTTACTTCTTTTTTTTTGGAACAATTCTGTAGACTATATAATTTGCTGGAAAGAAATATTAATTTATGGTATATGTACAGCTGTCAATTTTTATGTGGACCTCATTATTGATTTATGTTTTGTTCAAAGATCAAAGCATAATTGGATGTCCGGTATTGAATGTACCTTAATACACAGCAATGTGAAGGGTTTTTTTTGGATAGTAGATACTATTTTCCATGAGCTTATGAGTTTTGATACATGTAAAGTAACCTTGGAATATGGACATGTATTTGATACTTAGATTGAGGTTCATAAATCTGACATCATTTATGGAATTTTATTTAAGGACATGTATTTGCGCATATTTCGCGCATTAGTTAAATGAGGTTCATAAATGCAACTTTTTTCGAATTATTTAAATTAAACTAAATTAAGAAATTATAGGTATAAAAATGTAATTACAATTTGATATAACTGATTTTTTAACCGATTTTGCAATTGATAGGTAGGTTGACGTCGCTGCAGTGTCTTTTTGACGTTATGTAACCTGAAGCTCTTAAAAAAGGGGTAATAAAAAATATTATTACAGAAATAGTAATACACATACGCTCTTGAAGTTTAAAACATAGAAATTGTAGATTATCTCCAATATTTTTAGTATGTTTTCTTGTGAATCCATTGTTTACGTCATATTTTGAATACTAATAGTAAAATTTGCTAATTTTTTGGAATTTTGAGATGCCCCCTCTCGTAACAAGACAGTAGAATTTTGTGTTTCTTACATATATTGTATCATAAAGTATTACTTATAAAATATTATAGTTTGAACAAAATGTCTATTGTAATTAAAAAAGTGAAAAATTTTTTCCTATATAATCCTAGTACATGGAATTTTAAATTTAAACTTCAGAACGATTAAATATAAAATTTCAAACTGTATACTGTACTTTAAATGAATGTATAAAGAACTGACACTTAACAAATGTATGAGATATGTACCTGTCATAAATAAGTTCCAAGAAATGATTACTTTCTTGGATTATACAAGGTATATTTTCTAATGATTCTTTTAAAAATATGTATGTACTTATATGCAGGTGAGGTGAACTAAGCTTAAATTTTGAAATGGTCCATCTAAATGTGCAATATTTTTGTTCCTAACTGGCTATGGTCAGTATTTATAGTGCTTTTTGGTAAAATGATGTAATATTTATTATTTTACTCTGCCAAATAAAGAAAGACCAACCAAATGTGTGGGTGTTTTTATAGATGGATATTATTTATACAGTCCAGCATCGGGGGGGGGGGGGGATCAACCACTATTAAAAATAACATGGATTTAAATCATTTAAACATTCTGTATTCAATTATTTAAAAGATGGTGTTATTGAAAAAAAGAAACACAATTAAATACTTCAGGAAAAAAATCATCAATGATTGTAAATAATTTCATGAAGATAATTCACATTTTTTTAGGGCCCCGCAAGGATTTGCGGGTGCCCTACAGTAATCACTCTGTCCGTCTGTCTGTCTAGCTGTCCGTCTGTCACTCTTCCATCCACAAATTTTCTGTTTTTTTTCTAATAACTTTTTTTAAGGTTGCCCAATCAGGTTCAAATTTGGTATGGTAGTTCAGTATGCAGAAATGCATATTTTGATGCAAGTTTTGTTCTCTATGTCTTGGTTTGGAGCTGGGGTGGTGGGGTAGATTCCTTAACTATGCATAAAATGAATGGGCAAAGAGAGATTGTGTTACCATTGTAAACTGGAAAGGCTGTGCAATTTGTCCTTTGGAATTAATTAACCTTCCAATGAAGAAAATCCTAAGTTATCTTTATCTGTCACATTGAGATTAATTACTGAACCAGCCTCTGTCTGCAATGAACTTTGTTTTGAAATTAAGGTCAATTTTGAATGATGTGTACATTCTTTGAAATATGGATTTAAAATAATGGTCATACTTTATATTGGTTAAAATACTGTACACAACGATTTAACATAATTTTATTGAATTCTAAAATCAAGATATATATTAACATATCCTTTTTTATTATTGCTATTTTATTTTTTAATTACTTATTTAATTTGATTTTTTTGCTGCCTTAATGCTGTTAATTTTAACAGGTAATCAGATAATAACCCCATTCTGTCAGTGCTGAAAAAAGTTCTTATTGCAAATTTATATAGAAGAAACGGATGGGAGAGCAGTACAATTAATCCCCTGGGATTAATTATTTTGCTTGCTGCAGAAAATTTAGAGGCTTATCTTTATCTGTCACATGAAGATGTCTGCAACTGATGTTTGTTTTGAAGTTGACTAAACCCTGGGTGATATTTGCATTCACTGAAGGCTTGCATTTTATAAAACAGTTAATCTTTTAAATACACATTAAATTTAATTTTTTTAATAAGACATGATTTTTCCCTGTTTTAAAACATACATGTACTTCATATATATAAAAAAAATGTAATGTCAATATTAACTTGTACAATTGTTTTATCTTTAAAACAGTCTTTAAAAATGTGTCATTTACAAAAGCATGGTTTGTTGTGCTAAAGGTTTCCAAGAAACACATACAATTTAAAAGAGAGATTTTTACCATGTTTTATTAATCTATTTAAAAATTGATGGAATTCCATTTGGTACACTGTTAATACCATTTTTAATTCTTACATGATTAAAACATACATGTACGTGTTTTCAATTTTGAAATAATATTTATTATAATGGATTTAATTCTTTGGTATGCCCTGAAAAAAATAAATTTGAAATAATATTTATTACAATGCTTACTTAACCAAGAAATCAAACAGCAACAGTTTGAAGATCAGATCTCTCTAATATATGTGTATCTTTTGTTTTGTTTTACAAAGACCTACAATGTAGCCCCAAAATAATATCAAACCAAAACCGATCATAATATAATACGAAATTAAAGCAAGTAAAACTGCAACATGTTCAAATAAGGGAATTGCATTTAAATCGTCTGATAGATTAAACATATGGAGAAAACGAACAATATTCAAACTCAAAAGTCCATTAAACAATAGAAATTAGAGCAAAAAAAGGGCCTCTTAAACATCAGAGGTAGGAACAGGTGCCATGGAGGAGAGAGCATCCCGCCGTGTGCACCTTGTTATGATCGGGAAATAACGGAAAAATCCGTGGACAATTCAGTATGTAAATAATATCCTAACTATAAGAATGAAAAAAAAACGTCAGTAATGAGTTGGCATTTGACTTACTGATACGTAATGGACCAATGTATAAACATGTACTCGTACAATGTATAATACAAAACATAGAGGTACTGTGAGTAACGAGTTCACTAAATGATACCCCCGCCTCCCATATGGTTATAATGGCAAAGTGCAGGTTTTGCTGTGGCTGTGAAACCCAAAATATGTGTCGGATCAAAAAGTAAAATAGGAATTGCACAATGGCAATATGTAATAAAGATTCGCTGGTAAAAGAGGAGTTGCATGGAGATGGGTACCCATCAAGCGTAACAGACCTCGAGCATTACGGTAGTGTTTGTATAGCCATATACCTGACTCCCGCTTCTCTCAAGCGGATATAGTGCTCATATTAACATTTATCCTCAAAAGCTATTTACTGGATATCATCCAGCGGACTTATGCTTTTTCATACGTGTCTTTAAGTGTTTGTTACTAAAAGTTGTCTTTTCAGAAATCACTATAATAATTATATAGAAAATAGATTGATTGATTGCATTGTAACCCTGTTTAACGTCCCTCTCCAGAATATTTCAGTCCTTGTAGCATTACCGGTGAAGTGTTTGTATAGCCAATCCTGACTTACGGCCTTTGAGCAACCCGATGTCTGCCAACCTGATATAGTGCTCACATAAACATTTAATTATCTCAAAAAGCTATTTACTGAATGCAAGTAAGATTTATGCTTTTTTCATACGTGTCTTTAAGTGTATGTTACTAAAAGATCATTACAATAATTATATAGAAAATAGAGGGAAACTCCTTAACTGGCCAGATTTTCAGTTCACCGCTTATAAATTATGCGCTATATTTCCAAACTCTAAATAAATGTGATGCAATTTCTAATAAAAATGATAACACAAACAGGGAGCGTGCTTTGTAGGAAATAATGAGTATCAGTTGTGGAGACTGTAAATCCTACCTTAAACATTTTGATGCCAATAGGATAGTTTGGATCTGATAACAGCTGTAGCTTTACTTTCTGTGTGCCTGAAAAATTACTTCACTGTTCACAACGTACAAAGATCCGCTAGGATGCATGTACATGTGCAATGTGATTTCGTAATTCAAAAGTTGGCATGTGCAAGGTAGCGTTAATAATGAACATCTGAGATAAAGTTTATATGGTGGACTTTATAAGTGATTGAATACCCAGCTTTACCCTATTACAAAAACATCAAATATAAATACGTGGAATGGCAATCTTTAGTTGTGGGTTAGTATGGAAACTGTCGTATCTAATCTGGCCTCCTGCATTTGACCCTGCTCTCCATTGACCCGTGATGCACTTCAAATGACCTAGACATGTTCAAGAAATCTATCAGAACACCTTCAAGTTATCTAAGTATTAAAGAATTTCCTCACACACAACTAATTTGATGAAATTTAATCATAAATGAGACGCGGGATACATTTTTTTTGTCATTTACATCAAAATTCATTAAAATTACAGCAAATTAATTTTTATGTCTTACTGTACTGTTCTGCTCCGTCTTTATCGCAGGTCAGGACGGTTGTGTCAGTGTCCACTTTTCTGAAAAAAGAGAAATAAAACTCATTAGAAAAGAGATTTTCAAACCATTAATATTGATGTTATAGCAGAATAAAATATTCATTACTACTTTTGGTACATGGCATAGATATATGCATAATTATTATGATATTTATCAATTATTAACCGTAACGATTGATAATCTGAATTTAATTACAAAGACATTGGAACTGGTGATTCTGATCACAACAAACAAGACAATATAACGTTTAAAAAGTTAAAGACTTACTGTATAAGTACTTTTTTCCGCGTGGTATTAATTTACGCTATGTACGCGCTAATCATTTTTCCGCGGAAATTTGTCCAAGCGTACTTAATATAATTGTAAGGCAAATATAACAAGACAATCTTTTCTACAGCGGAAAAAGTTGAGAATTATTTGACAGTATTTGAAAGATTATATACTGTTATTTGCATGACAAGCATTTGCTCCTCCTTTATTGAAGCATTATTTCACAATTTCATTACGAATTATTCTCAAAAAGCAATGAATATATGAGAAATGGGATACATGATATTCCTCAGTGGACCAGCACTGTAAAGCCGCAGTAAGAATTCCTTCTCCTTGCCCTTATCCCCGGTGGATGGTATGCAAACGTATTTTCCTGGCTTTAAAGTGAATCGGAAAGATGTCTGGACACTTCCAAGATAAAAGTTATTTTTACTTGGGATTCCCTCTTCTTCGAGAACTAAGAGGTCATTGGATCCGCCTCCCAGAACCTTAGAGGATGTTGTAAAATAGGTGTACATATACATGTTCAATCATATGTTACATCTAGAGCGAGCACGTCTTAATCTGGACCAATTTTTACATAAAAGTACAACATTTAAGACTTTAAAAAGAGTACATTACTTACTGCATTTCATTCAACTGTAGTTACGAAAAATTGAACCAAAAATAATTAAAAGTAATTCTGTTTTCGTATAAGTAATCAATTTGAATTCAAAATTTGAAAATAACGGGAAGATATACATGTACATTTTGATTTTTAATTGGTCTGAACAAGAACAAGCAAAAAAAGAAGTAAAGACACTTCAAGTAATTTATTCAACAAATCCACAAATTCATCTTTAAGAAATTTGTAACCCTACCCTATAAAGGTCAGCTCGAATGCCTAGTTTTCTTGTCTTTCTTTGTTTTGTACGCTGTATTATCTGTACGACAAAGGGTATGTTTCCGTTTATATCAGCACCTATAACAATTTATAAATTACCTGTCGTTTATATCAGCACCTGTAACAATTTATAAATTACCTGTCGTTTATATCAGCACCTGTAACAATTTATAAATTACCTGTCTCCTCTGAACTCAAATCCACAATTTTATAAATCTTAAGAACAAACATTCATATATATATGTATATAATATCAGGGATACCATGGACTGTTTCAAATGTTTTGTTTCACGTTTTGTTCTGTTTATCTATCAAATGTACATTGTTATGATTGTAATTGTATTTCAACCTAACATCCTAAAAACTCAAAATAGATACATGTGTAATTTTCAAAATGCAGTTCTTTTGCTATATTGTTATGATACTTTGTATATTAACTTTAAAAGAAAATATAATGGCAGTAACGGAGTTTGAAACATACGACGTTTAAACACACAATTAATACATTTTAAAAATTAAAAACATCATGATTTTAACCAGAGACAAAAAAAAGAGCACGGCCTTGGGGCCATAAAACTATAACGAGCTCACTTTCGATCTTTGTTTCATTTTTTTACAAAGGAAATAAAATAGTAGAAAAGTTTGTTAAAAACATTCCTTAAACGATTGCAAAATCCTTACATGTTCTGCCCAAAGATTAGCTGATTTATTATTAGCTTTAGCTAATTTTTGTATTCTTATGAAGCAAAATGAATATTTACAGCTTCTTCTTACGGCTTTCCAGTTGATATTTACTTTAGTTCACGTAGTTTTATCTATTAAAACTTAAATTAAAAATCAGTTTATAAACCATTTATCTTGCTTACTTGATTCATCAACTGTAAACTGGAACTTTGGATTTTTTGTCTTCTCTCTGAATCCTGCTGCCTCTTTTCCCTCCCATTTCCCGTAGAGAGATGTACAGTATTCTTTGATAAAAGAATGTACAAAAAGGAGTGTATTTGACTATTATTTCATTGTCTTAGAAGAAAATCCCCGCAACAACCATTATCTTTCTTTTTTTTTTTTCTTTACTAAAGTTAATGATAAATATATTTACAATTCATTCCATAGCAAGTAAAGCTAATTTTTTGATTGCAATTAAAAACAAGAGGCCCAGGGGCCACAGGCTTGAGCAAATTATTTTTGGCGTTCATCATTTGAACAAATTAGAATCTACAAATGATTCCATATAAATATCACTAATCATAGCTTTGAAGTACTTGAAAAAAAGATTTTAAAAAGTTTCCCTATATATCCCTATGTAAAACTTGGGTTCCATTTTGGCCCCACCCTAGCCCCGGGGGTCATTTTGAATCTACACTAAATAATTCCACATGAGTTTCATCTTTCCTGGCCCAGTGGTACTGGAGAAGAAGATTTTTAAAGATTTTTCCTATATATTCCTATGTAAAACAAGGGTCAGCCATTTTGGCCCCACCCTTGCCCCGGGGGTCATGATATGAACAAACTTGAATCTACACTACCTGAGGATAATTCCACATGAGTTTCATCTTTCCTGGCCCAGTGGTACTGGAGAAGAAGATTTTTAAAGATTTTTCCTATATATTCCTGTGTAAAACTTGGGTCGGCCATTACTTGATATGAACAAACTTGAATCTATTGAGGATGCTTCCACATGAGTTTCATCTTTCCTGGCCCAGCGCTTCTGGAGAAGAAGATTTTTTAAAAATGCCATTAATTTTTAACAAATTCATGATTATATCCATTTGGAAAAGGGCGCGGCCCTTCATTTGAACAAACTTGAATCCCCTTCACCCAAGGATACTCTATGCCAAGTTTGGTTGAAATTGGCGCAGTGGTTCTTGAGAAGAAGATGAAAATGTGAAAAGTTTACAACGACGACAACAACAACAACGACAACGACGACAGACGACGGACAAATTTTGATCAGAAAAGCTCACTTGAGCCTTCGGCTCAGGTGAGCTAAAAATCAACCTAATTTATCTTTAAAAAAACAAAACAAAAAACAAGAGGCACATGGGCCTTATAGGTCACCTGAGCATTATGCAACAACTTTCCAGTGATTGCATTTGATTCATGTTTTAAGCCAGATGCTATAGCATTCAAAATTTTGAAAGAGGCACCATTGATCATCATAACTATACACTTGGCAGTTGCTTAGTTTGGTTACTTAATACCCATAGGTAGGGTAGGGGAACCATTTCATCTAATTCCCCTACCACACATTTTTTTGCACAATTTTTGAAGGCATTTGCTTTTCAAAAATATATTTACCAAGGAACAGATTTCAAACAATTCATTCCATATATAAGTACAAGTAATGCTAATTCTTTGATTGCAATTTTAACTATATAGGTAGTTCATCTGCTTAATACCTAGGAGCACAGAAGAAAATTTTTAAGATTTAATGTATTTTTCACTATATAATTAATAGAGCCCTGCCCTAACACCAGAAACCCTGACCCGGGGGCATAAAATTCACAATTCTGGAAGAAACATTCTTGCTCATCATATCTATGTACTTAGTTAGTTTATTTAATACCTAGGATGAAAATTGTTCATGTATTTTCACAATAGAGCCCCGCCCTAACACCAGAACCCCTTGTAAAGAATAAAATTCACAATTTTGGTAGAGGCACTCTTGCTTATTTTAACTATATACTTACTTTATTTAATACCTAGGAGCAGAGAAGAAGATTTTCAAAGAATTCATGTATTTTCACTATATATAATAAATAGTGCCCCGCCCTAACACCAGAGCCCCTGACCATGGGGTCATAAAACTCACAATTTTGGTAGAGGCAATTTTGCTCATCATGACTATTATTTAGTTAGTCTATTTAATACCCAGGAGCAGAGAAGAAGATTTTCAAAGAATTCATGTATTTTCACTATATAATCAATAGAGCCCCGCCCTAACACCAGAACCCCTGACCCTGGGGCCATAAAATTCACAATTTTGGTAGAGGCACTCTTGCTTATCATAACTATGTACTTAGTTGGTTTATTTAATATCCAGGAGCAGAGAAGAAGATTTTCAAAGAAGTAATGCATTTTCACTATATACTTATTTAGCTCCGCCCTAGCACTAGAACCCCTGGCCCCAGGGCCATAAATTTCACAATTTTGGTAGAGGATTCAATGCTGATTACAATCATGCAAACAGTTTGACTGCTTGATGTCAAGAAGTAAAGAAGAAGATTTTTAAAAATCTTACACATTAAAATTCACAATTTTTGTTCCCCTTTACTCAAAGATGCTTTTTGCCAAATTTGGTTGAAATTGGTTCAGTGGTTGCAGAGAAGATGCTGAAAATGTTCAAATGTTTTAAACGCACGACGCACGACGACGGACGAAAACAGATAGCAATAGGTCACCTGAGTTTACCCTGGAAGGAATAATGTACGTTTGTTGTCTGAAAAAGAAATAAAGAAAGTGGTCCAGTGATTTTTCTTTGTATATTTTTTCCACTCAGGACTCCTATTATACAAAAATCTTATCACATTTATTTGAACAATGATCTTTTTACAATATGCCAATATAAAAAGGTAGAGCAATTAATCTTGTCTGCTTGTTTGAAATAATTGTTTTTTTTGTTTTTTTTTTTGTATATGTATTTATTTATTTATTATACCCGTCGCTGTAGGGTCCTGTCCACTCCTTTTCACCCCAAGGATTCCTTAACCGAAATAACCGAACTCCATTTGCCTGAAATCAAGGAAAAAAATAAATCTTTCATCTGCGCAGGAAAAATCACAGCAGTTCATCTCTAAAAGTGAAAATATTAGCAACAGTGCAAATTATATTATCAAAATATGACTATAAAGTATCATGATATGCTCGTTAATGAACAAGAAATAATTAGCAAAGTTATTTAAGATATTATGTTTTATTAAATGGTCTCCTAAGATCATATAAAACTTTTATTTGTCAGTATTCTTCTGCATAATTCTTTATTTTAATTTTTCTTTTTTGTGCGTTAAGCATGTAAAATGCATTTATCCTTTTTAAATTGAATTTTCTTATACATACCATAACGGCACCATTGATTGTGTATTCGTGTGGTCCTATTAAACCATATTTGTTGTTAAACTCTGACTGTTAAAAAAAAACAATAAAACTTATCTTAAGTCATTTTTGTTAAATATAATGTATAGTGTAAAAAAAAGACAACAGTTTTAAAAATTATCTTAAGTCATTTTTGTTAAATATAATGCATAGTGTAAAAAGAAGACACCAGTCTGTTTGCTTTCTTAATGCCAGAATTTATGGCAAAGTTCGCTTTATACATGTACCAGGATTCTGAAAATGTAACACATTTTGCTCAAATTTTGAACTTATTTTTTTTTCAGTACAAACGTACCGGAACAGAGCAAGTAATGGCGGCCCCTGAAGAAAGTGCGTTCCTGACACGTGTGTGGAGTTGATCAGGATCCATGGACATTTTCTTAAGGTCAATGTCTTCTGGGATTCCCCCGGTTAATGCCATGTAGGAGTCAGCCGCCGTACCCCCAGACACCTCAGGGTAGCTCCCGTACATCCTAGGAATTAATGCAGAAAGTGTAATGTACATTGTACTCTTTTTATTCAGGAGCTACTGGGTATAATCCTCCTTTTTGTTCGTTGGTAACCAATGTTCGTGGATTTCCTGGTTCACCCTTATTCACGAATTCACATTCCTTTAAACAATTATCATGATTATTTTGTCGATATATTTTTCGATTGAAAAATTACGCTTTTTTCTTTCATTCCAAATGGATATACTTTAAATCAATATTTTTATAATACATGAACTGATAGGCTAATTTGAAGCATTTCCCGACCGAATATATGAAAATTCAGAATTGATGTTAATATTTCCTGGGGAAAAAAATTCCCACCCATTTTTTTTTATCATGAGCTTGGAAATTTAAGGGTCATCCAAATGTTTGAAGGAATTATCTAATACAGCGGTTGATAAAACAAAAAAAATACACGTAATGATAAATATTGGTAATTAAATGAAATAATTAAACACCTTGCGAAAGCCTTTTCCAGTAAGGAAACCCACATTTCATTAGGGTCTGTTTCGGAATGAGCGGAGTAAATCTGATCTCCAAAAATGACGGGAAGGTAATCGTCAATAAAGACGTCATCCCATCGACCGAATCTCCAAAACCGGCAATGGAAGACGCCATCATACCTCGGGGTTCCCACGGGGTAAGAGTCATCTGGAATAATCTGAAAATAAAATCAGTATGAAAAAGTGGCACAATAGAACTCAAGGAAGAACTCAAGGATGGAAAACTACTAAAGTAAAAAAAAAAAAATAATAATAAAACATCCTCGTTCCTACTTTAGTCAGGTGGGTTTTCCTTTTAAATCATTTTGAATCAGTTATCAAGTTGTTTAATAAACATTCATGTTTATCAAGTTTATGTCTTCTATTATTTTTCAAACAACTGTATTCATATTTCATACACGGCGTGAAAAGGTCATCATAGAATGTCTCCTACCCTTCTAAGAAGCTGAGGCTTATCTGCAACGTTAGCCACCGAAGCCAGGAACCAGCAAGTTCCTATGGATCCCTGTCCTATGTCATAGCGACTATGTCCTTTCGAAAACAGACAGGGATCACTGGCAAACTCCTTAAAAAGAAACATGGTATGTCTTGTGATATACTGAGCGATCGATTTATTTAAAAAATACAAAATTTCAAAACTGAACTCGGACTTCTTCATTGGTAAATTCATTATAAGAATTGCACATAGAACATGTAAAGATATATTAATTAAGAAACATACAAATCAAGAAAGGGCAATTTTTTTTATGAAGACCCTTTGTGAGATTATGTTCATGTACAAGATTTGAAAGAAATCAATTTTGCGGATCTTCAAAATTATGAATGGTAAGGAGCCTATGAAGTATATTATAAATCTTTCTTTTAGACTTAAAATACATTATTTAATATAGAATAAGAAGAATAATGTAAGACTTTAAATGTTTCTGAAATAGAATCTATCGTGCAATTTTTTACTTTTCCCTATTTTGGCAAACACTTCCTTTTGGTATAGAAATAAGCATTCATTAATCAAATCCAAAAGATCCTGAATATCATAATGATAGAAACAGAAGTGGTTATTATTCAATCTCACTTCAACGTAAAACTACTCTGTGAGTTATAAGCTATACTATAATCTTCATTGACATGACTGGAGCAGTCCCATCATATACATGTCCACATACCGGCGGGCGTTTCCAATCAAGTTGTCGTCTGCCAAAGCCTCTAGGTCTACCCATTGCCACTTCGAAAGGAAAATCTTCATCCACGTACAGCTCCCCAAAAGGCACTCTTGGGCGACTCTCATAATCAAAGTCCTCTGGATATCTTCGAAAGTCCAGATGCTTCTCGAACTGACCGAGGTCATTTCGATTATACATATTCCCAAATATAGGATGCTCTGCAATTCTAAATGTATTTCAATGAAGACAGAAATAAAACATTTAGCTTTTGTTGTTATGGTTATATACTAGTAGTTCTTTGGTTGTGTGCATCAATACACTTTTAAAAAATATATAATGTCGAGACAGCATCATTATTACTAGTATCATTATTGAACTGGCTTGCAAAATTCTTTAGCCAAAAAAAACCATAGAAGAAATTGACAGGCACCTGACGTTACTTATTTTTCTTTTAATAAAAAAAAATATACCCATACCTAATAATAAACTAGGTATGGGTATATTTTTTTTAATTAAAAGAAAAATAAGTAACGTCAGGTGCCTGTGAAGAAATTGTGTATAAAAAGATAATATTAAACATACTAGTTAAGAGACATATGAGACTAATTAATATTCCAAGATACCGGTAAGTGTAATTATTAAACTCACAACTAAAGAAAGATAAATAACAGAATAGATCTAACTGGTAATTTCAAGAAATGATCTATTATAAATCTTGAAAATGCTACATAAAAATATTTAAAAGGAATTAGTAAAATTATAGCAAACCGAAAGTAAAAAAAAGGTATAATATATTAGCACATCAATGCAAAGGACCCAAACAAGAAATAAGAATTTATTGTTTTCAGACTCTTTGACATCACATGTATGGTATTCTATAGAAAGAAATTTTCAAAATATCGAATATGATGCAGCCACAATGAGAGAAACGTACACTAGACTGTATTTTAGACAATACTAGCAATTTACAAAAAGGCTTCGAACTTGCATGGCTGGTCTTCACAATATTTTACATTATCCATTCTCTAAATCATTTATCAATTTACACTGTAAACCAATTGCAATATAAATATGCACCTGGGTAACCTGCCAATTTACTCTTTCATGTCTTTTCCTGTGTGCCGTAAGTCTGGGCCCGCTTAGAGCAACCTTTCAGGTCAGGTTTAAATCCTTTTCATCGCTCTTCAAACTTGCTTTTCAGTGAAACAACTCTAGTTATACGTCACGTACATAGTGCCATGAAAATCTAGGTCTGATGTTCTTCAAATTAGATATCCTCTTCGAATCATATTTCTCAGAAAAGCACATGATATCCAATTCACTTTAATAAGAAACTCGTACTTAAACATGCATCAATTCACACAATTCAGATTAGCAATCGCCAAACACATACAAACGTGTGGTTACATGAATTTTATTTTCGATATTGTACAGATTAAATGTCCTTCAAAATGTTTTTTCTTCCGCGATATTCGGTGTCTATTCATCAAAATTAGTTTACCCTTATACGCTTCAATGCACACAAATACATTTTGTTTCTCTAAAATTAGATTGTGCAGTGTTTGCACTATCTGTCTATAATTATCCACAGCTCTGTGCAGAGAAATACCCAAAACGTTTACTTCATTTTTCTAGAGAGCAGCGACTAATTAAAAGCAGTTTCTCTTTTACAGAACTTTCCGTGTAATACTTAGTTAGCACTGCTGTATTTAAAATACAAAAATAGGATTAGTCTCATTGACCTTTGATACAAGTATGTTTTACATGTTAAAATTTCAAGGAAACCGATACAGTTTTAATGAACCATAAAAACGCAAAAAAAAAAAAAAAAATACGAAACTGAAAAGCGTTCCACTATGAAGCCCTGCGTAACTGGACAAAATATATTCACCATTTTAAATGATTTAAACGCAGTTGTGTTGTTTAATAAAATGACCAATTAATATGGATGAATAGATGAAAAAGTGTAACTAGATTTAATAATGAATCAGTTGTACTATACTTCAATAAGAGGCGGAAATTCCTTAGGATATGAATCAATCTATACTTAATCAACGATTAGAAACGCTGTCAATTGTGATACTTTTAAAAATAACTTGAAATTTGCGGAAAGTGTTCCACGTACATATCCACTTTAACAAAGGTTTGATTTATTCATAACAGAAAGGGACAGAAATGAAAAATAGTATTTACTATAATCATACTTAGTAGTTCTTGACTTACATAAGAGAAAATGAAGACTAGATAACTCTGCATTTTAATCAAAATCTTCTGGTAAGAAATCAAGAAATCCACGTGAAGAAATAAAAGAAAGGAAATAGTCTTGTCATCTTTGTCACATTTATAGTTATAGTAAAACACGAGATTACAAAGTTATATTGAGCAAAATTAAATTAATTCGTCCAAAACTTAAAATTTTATCTAGCATTCCGCATTTCCTGAACTAGTGAAAGAAATCAACCAGCAGAATCTTTAGGTATTATACAGGTAAGTAAGGTATACCAATCATTTTTTTAGAAGTCCAATATAATATTTAATGTTTAAAAATTATTTTTCGAAAATTGAAATTCTTTTAAAATGATTGTTCTAATTAAGCGTGACAGGCTTTTAGCAAATAAATTGATGTTGCAAAGATATAAACAATTTTCGTTTTAAATTTCTATATTACCTTGTTTACAATCCAAATCTATCTAACTGACCTACGTTTTCTAAATAAATTGTTACACTATTATTTTCATACCGAATTGCTCAAGGATTTTTACTCGTTTATCAGCTTATGATAAGACTTGGCAGGTGTGACCTGCCACCAAGGGATGTTCATATGGCACCTAATCTGTTTTCAAATATATTTATATGTAAATCATACTAGTATATACGGCAAATGTTGATGCAAAATTTCACAAGTTATGTCTCATCTTAAACTGGACTTTTCGGAACCACGATTGTCCACGAAAAAAAAAATCGTCCTAAAAATTCATCATTGAAGGTTTAAAAAATAGTACCTATTGTGAAACGTTATTGGCATTGTATATTAAAACTTTGAAACCTTGTTCTAACTCACATCTTGGTAATATAATATTGTTTATAGAAGTATAAAAAACAATGAAAACAAAATGAATAGAACTCTGATATATTTAAATTATATATGAACTCCAAAGATCTTCAACATGTAAATATAAATACAGCGATAAATATGCATGAAAAAAACACCTCTTCAGAAACAACATAATTATTCTTTATAAATAGACAGAAAGAGTCATATATGTTGTCAATGTAAAGTAATACTGCTACTCCCTTCGGTTACAAAGTGGTACAAGCAAGAGACTTGCTGAGAAAAAAAAAATAGACATGGTGGTCAGCTAAGAAGGAGACAAAAAATACATACACATACAAAATAATATATAACATAACCATTGAAACTGACAGTAAGTAACGGTTATTTATCATCTTATCTTATTTTTAGCAAATGAAATGATATTGACAGAAATAAAATAATTGCTTAACTCCAATTCCTCACGAGCTTAATTATTAGATAAATCAATTCAAGACTTTTATCATAAGGTACACTTAGTCTATAAATATATGATTAGACATCTAATGACAACCTTAAACAGGGTGTAAACATAAAATTTTCAATTGTCTAAAGATCGAACAATTGAAATAAGTAAACAACAAATTTATGAAATAAATATCATAATAGGGTCATAAAATTGCAAAAGAAGAAAACGTTTGTCTTTTAAAACATAATATAATATATAAACAACAAAACTGATCATAAAATAGGCAAACAAATAAAAAAACAGAATCTGGACGGATCTGTTAGGACTCTAAAAACCAAAGCTACAAACTTAGTAAGCTAAGTTCTCTATATAGTTTATTCAAGCAAAATAATATCACAGATTTGCTTTCGATGAGTCGACAACGTTAAAAAACATTGGTCGAAATACCTATAAAAACTAAAATTAACACAAAATAATCACATAGGAGTTGGGTGGAATCAGGTAACGTTGCCGAGTTATTAAAAATCAACATATAAGTGTTTTAGCTATGTAATATTAATATATAAAAATACAATATGTTGAGACACAGGCCCTTTGAAGCCCATTGAACCAGCAGTGGGGTCTTGATCAAATCATATCCGATAATGAAGATTAAAATTGGTCGTGGTTTTGATATAGTGCATCCACGGGATGTCGCCATAGAATGAGTTAAATAACTTACGTACTTAAACTAAAACATTATTGAAAAACGTTAAAATAAAAAAAAAAAATTGCAAATAAAAAACTTGACATTAAAAATTTCTATAATGAGAATTGGAATACCTTATGTTGTAAGTTACATTTGCTTATTATATTTCTTGGTTACAAAAATAAATTAATAAATAAAAATATTTACAGTCAAAATTCCTTATGTGTATAAAATATAAATATACATACAACTAATAACAAGAAGAATTCAGAGCACATGAATAAAGTTTGTATATGGGCAGGTACATGTAATGAAGAAAGTCGTTGATTGATGATTTATTTAATGTCTCTCAAATTACAGTTAGGACAATACCAGTTGTCCTATAAGTCTCAATATTCCAAATATTCAGCAGATTGCATACGAGCATATGTTTCTGGATTTTTTTTACTCCATTTGATGTGTTCTGAAAACAAAATCACACAATTATGACCATTACAAAATGCCCATTCTAAATATAAGCAATGTAATGCATGTGTGAACTTAAACAACTTAAAAAAAATTATTGTATGTCAATAGGATTTAAAACATATTTTAAGGGAGTTAACATTTGAATATCAATCTTATCAACATGAGTAAATCTATAATCTTTAAGTTTAAAATATTCTATAAAATCATATATTTTCGTGGTGTCAAGTTTTTTTTGTGGAAAAATATTGGTTTGTGGGGACTTGATTTCGTGGTTGAGGAATGTTTTAAAGTTGTATTATTTTAAATGTTGTGATCGTCATAAATTCGTGGGTCTCGCCGTGCATTAAAAGCAACGAAAATACAAACTCCAAGTAAATTATCGATCCCTCAGTTTTTTAAAACACCAGGGGGAAAATTACTTCGTTGTAAGCGTCAATTAATTTTACGCTTGTTACTTATAAGCGTGTAGATAAAATCACAATATAGTGAAACTTACTCCACATTATCCAGATTGGTTTCGGACCGGATGACGAGAGCGAATCGTTTCTCCGTGTCAGGTTGATCCATGTGGAGCAGACAGATATAGGAGCCGGCATTCAGGGAATATTCCGCGGGGGCGGAGGTTCCCATGACGAACGGACCATCATCTCCATCAACAGTTTTTGTAGCATTACCGTAATGTTCGTATAACCAATCCAAACTTGCCGGAACCGGGTCTCCATCAACCTGAGGTAACGAAAGTACATAAATATGAGGTTTTTTTGTTGAGTGTTACGCAATGTGAAAGACTGAGAGACATATTAGTAGATGTTTTAGTAAATTCAATATATAATTGAAGTGACATTGAATTAATTGTATTTTAATACAGTTCCGATTTACGCACAAAGTAAACCTATAATATAACTGATTCACAAAGTTTAATCAAATATGTTAGCTACTAGAATGAGTCCATATTTATATATTTACATTATAAATGGAGTTTTTTTAAAAAAAAGATTTTAAGATTAACACTAACAGTAAAAATATATAATATAAAGATTTTTATGGATGTTTTAGTATTTACCTGGAACAGTTTAAACCCAATAGGATATTCAGGATCCGATGAATTTGACAACAACTGAATCTTCACTTTTTGAGAACCTAGTTAATGTGAAATTAAACATTTTGATTGATAAGATTTAAAATATGTACAATATTATTGAAAAATAACTATCTATTTCAGGTATTTATACAATTTTCCATGAGAACATTACGAATCTCAATGCAGACAAAGAAGAACAGAGAAAGAAGAACAATTCGTACTTGGTATGTCAATTTTAATCTGAGGGTTGGTATGGAAACTGCTGTGTGACACCTGACCTCCGGCATTTGACCCCGCTGTCCATTGACCCGTGACACATTTTATATGACCTAAAATTAAGAAGTAACATTTTTAAAACTTTTACATTGAAAAAAAATTCACTTTATCAACACAAGACTTGGTACTTACTGTATTTTTCTGCTCCTTCTCCACTGCAGTTCATTATTGTCTTCTCATTCGAATCAATTTTTCTGAAAGAAGATTTCGAACATTTTACTTCTAATGGCCAAATATGTGGCTCAATTCAAATACTAGTATCGCAAATTTTCAATTGAAAACAAACTTAAACAAAAAGGGGAACAATAGAGGAATCTGAATTATCTTTACAAAAGTAAAATCATTTTATAACAATAATGAATATATTGTGTTTGCACATTTATATTACATAATCATGATAGGACCTACAAGGCATTTAAATTAAAAAAAAAAAAACAAGGCTTTAAAAATTTGGATATATATATAACTGCAGGTACGTGATGTCTCCAAGTGGACCAGCACTGTAAAGACGCAACATAAATTCCTTCTCCTGGCCTTCCTCCATAGTGGATGGTATACACACGTATTTCCCAGGTTTCAGGCAAAACCGGAAGGAAGTCTGGGAATCTCCTCTGTAGTTGTTATTTTTGCTTGGAATTCCCTCCTCTTGTAGAACCAGAAGATCGTTTGATCCACTCTCCAAAACCTTATAATTTTAAGCAATTTGTAACTCCGTAAAGGATATTAGGACAGAATCTTATAGGAGATGTAGAAGTAATTAGAGTTTGTCGTTTAGAAAATCTAATAGAGCATTTTGAATACATTAAGGGAAATAAAAAGTTTCAGCAGTTTTACCCAAAATTAGTCACCCACTTTGCCAGAATTTATGGGTTAATGTTCTCAAAAGTAAGTTTAAGCATCTAATTGGAATCAACAAAAATAGGTAAAAGTAATTTAAATCCTGACTAAATGAGTAATAATTTTGACAACTTTCAGAGTGACGTGTAGAGAAGAGTGTGGACATGAGCTTGTTCCCAAATATGTACACATCATTTATATGCATGAAGAAAAAATATAATAATTGTGAATTAATATTATATTTTCTCATTTCTAATTCTCGTCTTACCCTGTAAAGATCAGCACGAATGTTAACTTTCTTGGCTTTTCTCTGTTTGGTACGTTGAATGATCTGAACAACAAAAGGCACGTTTCCCTCTGCATCCACACCTAGAATAAATAAAAGATATGGAGATCATGGACAGTATTCAAATTCTAAAGTCTATGAAACAACATAACATTGGAGGAGGAACTCAAGAACATTATAGTTGGGATCAGGTGCCATGGATGAGTGCTCAAAATCAAATGGTTTTAAATGTAGATAAAACAAAATGTATGTTAATGGAACACAGCAAAGAAAATCAAAATTAGATAATCCAAATTTACAACTTTATGCCTCAGACAAAACAATTGAAATTGTTGAAACTGCTTGGTGTACATATTGATGATAAGTTACAGTATGCAAATCATATGTGTTTGTAAAACGGTTAATTATAAGTTATTTACGCTTCGTGTTAAGAAATTTCTCCCTCTTCATACCAGGAAACTTTGCCAACGCTTATATTTTACCATCTATTAACTATTGTTTGACTGTTTGGGGTATACCCCCAAGTGACAGACTATTTAAATTACAAAAAGGGCAGCAAGGATTATCCTTGATGCAAGTCCTGATTCTTATCCCACTGTTTGAGAAACTTGGGTGGTTAACAGTTTATGATATTGATCTATACAAATACATATTATTATACAAAATTTTCAGTGGAATGATTCAAATATCTTGTAATTTATTTGAATTTCAGTCTTCAACTTCTTATTTTTATCCGAAACTAATTTGATCTTAGATTTTTCGATAAAACTTAAAAATTTTTCAGTATTCAGGTGTACATCTGTGGAATAAACTTCCCCAACACATTAGATTCTCTCATTCTCTACGAACATTCAAGCGTAATGTAGAAAATTACATTATCAGCTGTCGTACAATCATTTGAGCATAATAAGAGTTCAATATCGTATCTTGTACTGTTGTTGTTAAGATGTGTCTGTATTTAAACACTCTATTCATAATTCAGTGATTGTAATTCTCAAACCTATATAACATGTACTTAATTGTATGTGATTAAGATGAATTGTATCTTGATGAAGTGTATATATTTTGTATTTGATATATGTACATATATATAAGCCCTGGGGAAGAATAGTGCATGCACTAACCAGGTTACCTTCTTTAAATAAAGTTTTATTATTATTATTATTATTATTATTATATCAATGTTTTACTCAGTAAATACTGGATGACTTTGATAGAATTGTCATGTATTTGTTATTTAGACAAGGCTTTGCCACGAATATTGAAATAAAGATATTCTAGAATATACTTCCAAAAGATTTGTTAAATAGTTACTTGATCCCGAATCATATCCATGTTCATGAATTTTATTCATATATTCAATTCATAATCTTTCACTGCAATACTTATATGAGCATTACTACGTGGAAATTTTATTTTCATCCACAAATAAAAATAAGAAAGATCTTTGTTTCTTGTATCGTAAAATTTGGGCTGATCAAATGTAATGTATTAATCAAATTAGCTTAATATAATTTTTTTAATTTTCATTTTTTGATAAAATAAAAATTGGTGGTAAAATTTGTTTCTTTAGAACATAATTACCATCATGATTCACAACAATATTTAAAGGACATAATAAAAACTGATTTTTTATGACATTTCCTTAAATTTTATTAATAAAAAGATCGGATTCGGTTTTGATGCAACACACGCATTTCCTTTAAGCTTTTTCCAAATGTTGCGTACAACTAACAACTGTATAAATCCTGCTAATAATCCTTACTTGTTTCATCAATTGAAAACTGAAATTTCGGATTTTTTATTTTATCTCTGAATCCTGCTGCCTCTTCACCCTCCCATTTTCCATAAAGAGATGTGCAGTAATCTGATAACAAAGAAAAACACATTTATATGAAATACGGTAAAGATCCTTAACATATTAATTTATTTCTTGCAAAGAGATGTCTGGTATTCTGTTAACAAATAATATAACATTTTATGAAATACACTCATGATCCCTTTTCCCTGCAAGGAACGAATTAAATGTATGTTAATATTTATGCTAATGCCAATGATAAAAAATGATACGGTACACATTATTTCGTTTTGAATATTTATTGATAATTTCTTCAAGATGCTCTTTCAATAAATGTTTTTATAGTTATAAGATGAAAACATTAATTCATTTAGAAGAGTCTGTGGTTTTTTTTTTATATGAAACAATAAACAATTTATAAGATAAGCCAAAACAATAATACTTATCCAATTTGAAAATGCTGCTCGAAGCACATCAAGCCAAAAAAAAAAAGTTAAAGATGCCAGGCCTAAAACCACTACATATAAAATTATATTTTCACGAGACTGGTTTCTAGAGTTCATTTCAACTCATATTTTTTCAGTTAAGTTGATCAAAATTAATTACTCTTAAGCTTTTTAATCAAATTGAGTTGTCCATAATAAAGGTACTAGACATGTCACGATCAACATACAAGACCGTTAAAGGAAAACTTACTAAGGTGGTCCGAGGATCCGTCGCTGTCAAAATCTGGTGTAATATTACATATAGTCAGAGTACTAAAGAAATTAAGGAAGTGGTCCAGAGAAATGTAGAACTCCCCGTCATCTTTGTTAGGGGCATCAATAGAGTCCTTAGGGATACTCTGCCATTCACGGCTCCTGTAAAATTACAGAACATGATATCATATAATCCCTAACAGTAAAGAGGGATTTTTTATTATGGTTATCATACTCTCATATCAAATTTGACGGGATGTAGTAATCCTTTTACGCATGTCTTGGTATGTTTGTGAGTGTGTAATGAAAGTTACAGATTTCATGTAAATATAGAAACAAACCCATCACTGTAGGGCCCAGTCCATTCGGTGTTTCCCCAAGGATTCCTGACTCGGAAAAGTCGAACTCCATTTACCTTAGGAAAAAGTATATTCTGATTGTTGTACTAAAATGTAAATTTACCTTTACCAAGAGATAAAATATGAATATACATGTATAACTACATGTATTAGACATGTATAACTACATGTATTAGAATATTGAAGATAGTTTTAGAGTATTATGTTTCTGAACCTTTCCCATGAAATTTACTTAAAATAACAATCAAAGAGTTATAATTCAGAATTCTGCTGTGAGTTGGTTAAGTGAATTTGTACCGACATACCATGACAGCCCCAGTCAATGAGTACTCGTGTCCTCCCACCAAACCGTGATGGCCATCAAACTCTGCCTGTAAAATACAATGTATACACATGTACCATTTTCCTTAATGATCCTATTATAACAAATCCGATTGGTAAAAATTGTGGCCTCTTTTGTTCTTTAGTAGTTGCTTGCTATATTACTGAATGGTTGCTTGTTATATTATTGAATGGTTGTTTGCTATATTACTGAATGGTTGCTTGTTATATTTTTGAATGTTGCTTGTTATATTACTGAATGGTTGCTTGTTATATTATTGAATGGTTGCTTGTTATGTTATTGAATAGTTGCTTGTTATATTATTGAATAGTTGCTTGTCATGCAACCTGAATGTTATTGAATGGTTGCTTGTTATACTGCTGATTCTTTTTAAAATGTATTTAATGCATTCCTATAACAGAACTCGTATGAACTAAAAATGATAACTTTCTGTTGCTTACAGGGACACTGCACGTGACGGCAGCTCCGGAAGAGAGGGCGTGTTTGACACGTGTGTGCAGTTGTTCAGGCTCCATTGTCAATTTCTTGAGACTGATGTCCTCGGGAACTCCACCAGTCAGAGCCATGTAGGAATCAGCAGCCATACCCCCGGAAACGTCCGTATAACTACCATACATTCTAGGGAGGTCAAATAAACAGATACAATTAATTGATCTAAGAGTATGCAACCAAGGACAAAATCTTATATCAAATGAATATGTATGAAAACGTAAAAGCCAATTTCCATAATAATAGTGCGTAGTAATATAGTTTAATACAACTTATATTTCAGACAAAAAAACATAGTATTTTGTATCTTTAAATAGGTATACTTTGGGCAAGGCAAAGTTACATATGGAGACAATAAACAGTAGTCAAGCTTATATTGGAAATAATACTAAGTGGTAGCAGAGCACACATAGACCTATCAAACCATCAGAGGTTGAGTCAGGTGCCATGAAGAAGTGAGAAAAAATGAAGTGAGTACCCTTGTCGACTGTTTTACTTTCTGTTTGCTCCTCGTCATTATCGTGCAAATGGAAAAATCCGTTACAATTCAGTGTTAATAATGGCCAAACAATGTACGTAAAACAGTCATCAAATTCAGCTTAAAGATTGTATTTGCTGACAAAGACATTGTTTAGAAGACAGAAATGTCAATATTTAACGATATTCTTATATATTACTGCAGCATCAAACTGTTTGCTGACAGCCCACCTGGCTCTGGAAATTGCTCATACGCAGAGCACATGTCCTTGCAAGTAACCGAATTGTAAAAGCAAGAATCCATATGTGGGTAATAGTGGTAAATTGCTAAGCAAGGAAAATGATCATGATAGACAAATGTTTAATTTATAATGTCACAAATAAATGTTAGGTTAACATTAATATTTTTAAACTAAAATTTCCAAATATGAAACCTTCGATCTGTGTCAGACCGTGTACTATCTTTTTTACAACGAACTGCATTTTCATTTCTATGCCCTTTAAATCGAAATGAAGACATCTGTTTCATAATTGGAGGTAAATAGCAACCTTACAAAAAAACTTTATGATAAACGTACTGACTTCTACTTTCTATTCCATATATATTTATGTAGCAATAACCTCATCGCCTTCATATGAAGCTTATGTTTCCTTGTTGGTTTGATATCTGCAGGAGCACGTTTTAGACTTAGGAGCAATTCATGAACGAGGCAAATTATTACAAACAATATGATGATACAAGGTTGTCAACAGAACAGTCTCGTTGAAAGTCAGCTATTCGCAAATTCTGCAGTCGATACAGTAACCTTGTTACTGATTACAGTCAATTGTAGATCGCTGAATTTTCGTCATTGCTCTACATAATTTGAATCATTTTCACCCCGAATTGTTCACGGATTATCCGCCTGCCCAATGATGACAAGAACACACAGCAGGTGTAGCAGTAGTTGACAGAGAATGCTGACTCCTCCTTGGCACCTGATCAAACTCTGATGTCTCTGTTTACTCTGTTCATGGTTTGTATAGACTTGTGAGATTTATTACTGTATGATTTCTGCACATTCCATCAATACATTTCAATCTGTCTTATTCCTATAACTATCAAATTATTATAAATTTTCAAAAATCATTTTAATTTGAAATTATTTGTGGTTCAAGTACATTGTATTTTTTTTTGCAATACAACTCAGTATTTCCATGAACATTAATATTAGTATTATATAAATCTGTTTCTAAATCAAACTAACGATCACCTTTGTCCAACAATCATATTTGTCTTTTTTGTGTGAAAATTTACTGTAAACCTATAATATTTGGTGGTGTTTTCTATTTCGAGGAAAGAATATCAAGTACATTTTATATATGTTCAGCTAAAGCAAATTCAAAAAATCTCTAAATCAAATCTATGCTATTTATGGTATTTATTTTTTCCCGCTATTTTTACAGTTACCTTGAAAAGGCCTTTTCCAGTAGAGCCACCCACATTTCGTTAGGATCTGTGTTGGAATGGGCGGAGTAAATCTGATTGCCATAAATGACTGGCAGATAATCGTCAATAAAGACGTCGTCCCAGTAACCAAACCTCCAGAACCTACAGTGGAAGATGCCGTCATACTGTGGGGTTCCCACGGGGTACGAATCCCTTGGAATAATCTGAATATAATGTAAACATAATTAAATGATTCCTTATTAGACAATCATATTTTTCAACATACAATGCAAAGGTTTGATTCTTCTAGCATACACAAAAAGTATATTATAACTGCTGAAAAAAAGTATTGTGTAGAATAAATTAAAACTCATAATATGTTCATTAGTTGTTGAATTTATTTTGTGTTGTGTTAATCTATGAAATGAGTGTATTCACATTTCTGAGTTAATATTATACTCCAACGTATATGATACATTCTTTCAATATTAAAATAAAACATCTATACATGTGTATAAAGAAATTTTACATACCCTTTTCAGAAGCCGTGGTTTATCTGCTACATTAGATACAGAGGACAGGAACCAGCAAGTTCCAATGGATCCCTGTCCGATGTCATAACGACTTGTTCCCTCTGAGAATAGACAGGGATTACTAGCAAATTCCTGAAAGGAAAATTAAAAAAAAATAACTTTTTGAGGTGTGGGTAAGTTAATTTCTGTCCTTGCCACAATTATAACACTCAAAAAATTGGTAAGCTGAATTTCATGGTAAAATTTTCTTATATAAATTGAATATTTCATCGTGGTTAATATTTTTTTTTATTTGTTTGTTGTTCAACATCTCTGTCGGAAAATTTTCACTAATTTAGAGACGACATCACCTGGTGAAAAGCTCATATCAGCGAACTGTGGTTAGAGTAATTGATCAAAAACGTGCGTTTCTGCCCTTACAGATAGGCGTTTCCACACTTACTGGTGGGCGTTTCCATTCCAATGGTTTCCTGCCATGCTCACTGCCCATGGCTACGTTAAGAGGAAAGTCATGGTCCACATAGAGCTGTCCAGGTGAAACTTGAGGGCGGGTCTCATAATCAAAATCCTCGGGATTTTTCCGGAAATCCATATGCTTTTCAAATTGACCGAGATCATTTTGAACGTAGTCTTCTCCAAATTTTGGTGGCTCTAAAGGTATGAATATATTACATTATTAAGACATGATTTTGAATGCATGTATTGAACAAAATTTGAAAGTATCTAAGAAAGTTGTCATAGTTTGTCAAAAAAAGGTTTTATTTACATATTCTGTGGAAAAGTGAACGGAAAGTCATGCGCAAACCACCGTTTCTTTTGAAAATATTTAAAGTTGTAAACGTATTTTAAATTGACAAAATATCTAAAGTATGATACTAGTATTTTCAAAATACATCTTGTATGTTGATTGAAATAATAATTCAATTGAAAATTCCCACTATCTGAAAGATACTGTATACAGGGAAATTTTCGCCCCTTTCGCCCTCTCACTGATTGGGCGAAATTAAAACGGTGCGAATTCAAATTACACAGCATAATTACCTAAACAAAACTAAGACTGGGCGAATTTAAAACGGGGCAAAAGAGTTCGCAAGTGCAAAAGGGCGAAAATAATACGGGGCGAAAATAACCCTGTATACAGTACTAAATTTTTATAATAAAATTTTCAACAAGAGAAGTGTCTCTGGTTGATGTTACTTAGAGAGTACATTGTACAGTGTATCATCTACTAAAACTATAGTTGAATTATCGAAAAGAGTTGAATTATGAAAATACCTAAGATAAGAAATTGATGAAGTTAATGTATGTCTTTGTACCGATAAAGACCAATGAAAAAAATGCAAAAGAACATTTACCAGGAATAGACCAGAAGATGTAAACCAAGGTATGCTAGGATTCAAATGTTTAGATTGAAAAAGATTAATCTAATAATTAATACTAACAAATTTGGTATCTTTTAATCAATGAACAATACTTTTTCTGTCCTCTCTTTACAAAACATTTAACATGTACATTAGAATGCTACTCGTTAGTCTTCGTGAGTATAATACATGCATTAATACTCTTGTAGTGAATAGTAACATTTTCTTATTGCGTCCAGTAGTATTCGACATCTTCTTCGAACTTTTACTATGATTTGCTTTGAATCTTTACCTTACTTTACTTTTTTTTAAACATTACAATTCAAACATTTGAATACCAAATTTAGGTCTTAAATCCAATAATTCTGAATTTTCAGATTCTTCTTCAACCTAATGGTTATATTTACTGTTATTTCTACTGAATGATAATGACTTCCCCTTGTTTAAATTTCTATATCTGTCAAAACATGATTTATTGTACATGCAAATGGTAATCTCTCTATTCATATTGTTGACTCCTATACACTAATATTCTGCAAATGACGCCATGTTTTTTCTATTTACATACATTCTTCCACCATGTAAAATGCTAGCAAACAGTTTTACACGTTAGAGTACTTGCATGCTAGAGGTAAATGCATAATTTTATTTAACTTCATGTCTAAAACTTGCAGCATACCTATATATAATACTTGCCATTAAGCTATCAGATTGAAACTCACAAGAAATAGTTCAAATCGTCTGTTCAACAAACATCAAATTTAGATTGTAATATATGGTACCCATGCAAAGATGTATGGACAGTAGTTCAAGTAATAGGAAAGATAATGTGTTAAAGACAAAGACCAGAAAAATAATAAATTTTTCAGGTAACCATGCAATTACAACATAACAGACAGATGATATACATGTAGGAGTACTTTAACTAGCACCGAGGACTTACCATTATTTCCTTTACAAAGACATTATCAAGGAAAATTAAATAATTAAGAAAAATAACATAAAGATGTTTAGCTGCTTCATAACAATAGATGAACCAGTGATTCACAAAATTTAACACTCACTGATATATTTTTCCCTTAGAAAATTCTTCCCTTGTAGAATTTATACTCTGTTACCTTTAGTATTTAATTCTTGTACAGAAATTAAAATTCTTTCGTCATTTTGTTGATCTCCTAAATTTGTTATATTTTGTATTCAAGACAATTCTTCGTATTTTTTAATACAGTACATATCTATAAAGTATAATACTTGTACTAGAAGTATCTTACTCTCTGAATAAAAATGGACTGCCTATTAAGGAAAAGTATGAATTGGGTGTTTTATTTTTCATCGTTAAGTTAACTAACTCAAATCTTAAACGGCAATCACGAAAGCTGTTGACACGAAATACCCCAATGAGATACATACCAGGACTGCTGTATCTCTCCGACTCCAGTTCCTCCTTATCAATCACCACATCTACTCCTAACCGCCGGGTCATTTCATCTTTTATTTCACCCGCCACTGCTTTAGCTGCCACCACCGATTCAATACCAGGACCAGCATCGCTAGGTCCGGTCTCCTCTGGTGGAGAATCCTCTACCGGTGGTGGGGGTGCAGGAATTAACTCTTCTTTCTCTTCGACCGGTGGTGGCGTTTCCTCTTCCTTCTCTTCTACTGGTGGCGTAGGTGCCGGGGTTTCCTCTTCTTCCTTTTCCTCTACCGGTGGTGCGGGTGGCGGAATTTCCTCCTTTTTCTCCTCTAGAGGGGCTGGAGGAGTTTCTTCTTCTTTCTTTAGAAGAAGAACGGAGGGAGGAGGAGCTTCCTCCTCTTTCTTCTGAACTTGTTCCTCCTCCTTTGGTTTATTTGGATCTGCTATTGGAGGTGGTGGTGTCAGACGATTTTCGTCCTATAGTTTAAAAAAATCAGTAAATCAACCAAACTTAACAAATTGCATTATCAGTCTCATTACTTAGAGGTCGGATTGGTAAATACTAAGTCTACATTTTATATTCTTATTAAAACGTGTATTCAATCCAACATTTTTTTAAGTTTTCTTTTCCGTTTTGGCTTTCAAAACATTTTGAAAATCAACTTTGTGTGCATAACTGCAAATAAAGTTATCGCCTCTAAATAACTTAAATACTTTCTCTCAGCTAGAATCAAAACTCTGAAACCATCTTACCTCATCTTCCGTGTCAGTGTGGTACAGACGTTCGTCTGCTGGTACCGGAGGTGGACCGCCGCCATTTGTCTTCTGCTGTGGTTTAGTCTCCTCCTGCTGATGGTAATTTCCCAGCATGCTATACTGGCCATACTCTGGGCCAGATTTTCTGGGTTCGGAGGATGCAGCACAACCCATCTTTCTCCTTCTGAAAGAAAAGAATAGAATTATGGGGTTCTCTCGATCTTTAGAAAAATGAGATTGCATTTTACACGTATCATTCACTTTCTTTTGCTAAGAACCACAGTCATAAAATCATGTTCCTATGGACAAATTGCCTTGAATGGACGACAAATTATACATTTGTGAGAAAACACAGGACAGACTAGGCTAAGACCCCCTTTCAGTTTATGGTTTTGGATGTTTCTTCTTTTAAAGATGAACGATTCAGTAATTCGGAATCAAGTGAAGGGATATCCAGAGGTCACAGGAAGTTAATAATATTTGTCAATTTTCCATGCAATTTTCTCAACTTTCTTCCATTTTTCATCAATTTTAAAGCACATTTCGTTTCACAATCTAATTTTTTTTCAGGCACTAGTAACAAAGAAAATGTGCTCCACGTTTCCTGGTGTGAAAAATATCTAGTATGTTTGACGAAATTCTTATTTTCAAATAAATTGGTCTATTATTACTCTCTGAATCTCCTTTTGCTAAAATAGAAGCTGTGTTAACAGCATTCAAACCCATGCGCCCATTCAAATAATACAAATCAAAAGCAGGACAAGCACGGGCCTCTAAAACATGATACAGGAGGGTTTACGTGCCATAGAGGAGTGAGCATCCCCTGTCGACTTGTCTTACCCGCCATGTGCTCCTTGTCATGATCAGGAAAAAAATGAAAAATCCTTAGAAAATTCAGTTTGTAAATTATATCCTAAAATTAGTATGCAAAATGTCAGTCAGCATTTATCTTAATGTTAGATTGTATTTGCTGACAAGATCATTGTATAGACCAAAGAACTTCCGAAAATATGACTTTACATGAGACAGTTGATATTCCTGTTTCATCTACGTACTAGTATTTCAATAGCTTGCTTCGTTTGAGAAAATGTTCATACGTAAAGAATGCTTGCGTATTGAATCAACTGAGAAGCGTTAACCCCGGTGCAGGTAATAAGAGAATATTGCTTTATAAGTAAAGAAGGTTGATGATTGAAAAGTTAGTCATCGCGTTTATCACAAAGCTTTATTGTTATGTTACCATTAACGTTTATTTTTTTTCTAGTAAACTATCCAAATATGAAACAAATATGTAAGACTCTATTGTATTTTGTTTCAAGCTAATTGGGATATGTCGAGTTGACATATGAATAGAAGTAAGTAATGTTAATTGATAATACATGCACTATCTAAATGTCGAGCTTGAGGGCACAGTTAGTATTTTCTTCTTGTGTTTAAATTCTACATCATATGGATACAGAAAGGTCTACTTTTAATTGGTACTCATGGAAATTCATACACATTGTTGGAAGACCTTGGGCTCGTTTTACAAAAGAACTTTCGACTAAGACCAAAAACTTTAGTTGATTGTAAAATTTTGCAAAATTAATGATTGGGTTAAAAATTGCAATCATGAAAACACTCCTTTTACATTCCTTTTAAAAAAGTTTAAAATTATTTTCAGTTTAATGCAAATAAGAAAGTTATAAGCAGGATAAATTTTAATCGTAGTTATAAGTTCTTTTGCAAAAACTCGGATGGGCCCCAAGTCTCCAAAAACTACATACATGTAGATATTGTCAATCAGAAGCTCAAGTATCTTTTCAATATCAACTTCAGAGTACTTGTGTGAACAATCAGATTGTTTTTAACAAACTACTTTTGCAGAATAACAAGGTAAGTAAATTTACAACTTTCATTTTTATTGACAAAGCAGCTTTCAATGATGTCAAAAAGTCTGGACTTTACTTTATCGGGGGAATGGTAAAATTGAATTTTTAAAAGTTAAAAGTTTTGATGCTAATTATTAAGGTCTTCCGTTTCCAACGGAAGACCTTCTACTGATTCTGTTGGTAAAGATTATTACTCTTTTTTTTCCTTCTACTTCCTAGACGCCAACTTTGAAGATTCATGTCTCATTCATTTCTAAATTGATATAGCTCAAACTTTCAGAGATACTAGAAGTTACTAAACTCTATCAGAATGCTGTCTAAAATTTCAAAAAGTCACTTCCGGTTTTGAGTTATTTCCCTTTAAACGAAAATTTATAGGCTTTCGTTTCAAGACAAGGCTGTCAGAAACGGCTTAACAAGAAATTCTACTGATTTTAGATAACAGAAGGACTGAAGTTGTGCACATCGGTTTTTGTTTTTCGATTTCTCTATTCAAAATGGCGCCAAATAGGGGTCAAAAATTAGAACGCTTAAAAGAGCCAAAATTACTCATATTTTGCTTTTTATCTTCTAAACTAAAAATATTTTGTTAAAATATATAGAACCTAATTTGTGCACAAAGATCTTTCAAATGATATCTGTCAAAAGTTTTTTTCCAGATATCTCAAAAGGTATTGAGAATTTGTTATACATCAACATATATATGATCAAAGAAGCGAAGTTGTTGAAAATCTCTGGTAAAATCTACTGATGTCATCAAAATACGTTTTTCCGGCCAAACCGGAAGTAGTCATATTTTTGCCGTTTTTGACATGTTTTGGGGAAATATTTGTCACTGGAAGCATAAAACTTAATTTTCCGTCCAACGACATCACTTCCGGTCAAACAGGAAGTAGCAAAAAATGGCTTACTTTTGCAATTTTCAACATAGATTTGGAATATTTAAATTATTAGAGACGTCATTTCTCTCCTCTTTTTTTTTTAAAGTTACTTCCGGTCAAACAGGACGGAAGACCCACTCGCTTTGCAACGAGCTTTGCTCTAGTTTTGATAAAATTTGTGATTTCAAATTTTCTTTAAGTATTATCGAAAACTATTATAATCTTATCGGTATTTTATTTTCAAATAAGGGACAAGATTCGGTCGTCACCATACCTTGTCCTTTATACACTCTAAAAAATTCTAAAATAAATAAAAATTTGTTATAACCCTGCTGTCTTTCGCCTTTTGCTGAGAATTTCATCTTCTAATATTTAAAACAAAATATATCAGTTCAGGTACATATTGCAATTTGAAGGATCAAATGATCTCAAAAATTATTTTGGAGGTACTCAGTAAGTTGGATCCAGTATAATTAATTATTTCTATAAAACCATGTAATGTATTTTTTAATAATTCTTTACTTACCATTTTTGGATTCTTTCCAATTAGGTTGGTTTTTTTTTTTTTTTTTTTTTTTTTTGGGGGGGGGGGGTTCTCTTTCAAACTTGTTTCTCAGTGAGAATGAAATGTGACAAATTACACATTGTATTCAAATGAAAATGATTAACAAACTATAAAAAAAAATATCCTGCATAAAAATAAATATCTACTTCAATGATCATAGGATAATTGTTTATCATCGATCGACACGTGTACTTCTAATCAACGATACATTAAACATTTTAATGTCCATTAAAACATAGGGAAGAGGGAAAACGTTTCATAATTTTGTTTTTGTAGGTTCTGAAATTTAGATGTAATATCACTTTTGTAACATTATTTCTCTACTATGAAATATTGATTTTACAATAGATGACATGTGGACTTGTATTGATTTTAAGGTCGAAACATTGGTCCTGGAGGAATATTTTGATATTGATACGACTAGCCTGCATGCATTTCAATTCTCCCCAGAAGTGGTCTTAACAGTGTAGTTAACTTTAAATTCGAGTTTATTTCAGCATTCCTCACTATTTTTTGACATACCTTCCCGGTCGGTTAAACTGTTATAAATAATTAAGAATTTTGTTTTAATGTATGGGGACCACGTGCAGAGAACGAATTACAAAACAAAAGCATTACTTTGAAACTATGTTACCTTAAAGCTTTTTTAAATATTATTTTATTTAAAAATAAATATATTACATTATTTCACTTATATTTATATATAAAAAAGCATTATTAATTGAGAAAATTCAGCGGAAGCTCAGTACAGGAAAAATACATGCTTTAAGAAAGTTATAATTTTCATGTCCTTTATTTTTATGAACTAAAATTCTGAATGCATTTAAAGAAACATATAGTTGGTCAATATGCATCTTAGTTATAGGATATTATTAATGGGAAAATTTGTTTTGATGAAAATTCCCTGATCTATCTACTGAAAAAATAAAATCAGTTTAGTTCTGATAAAACAGAAGAATTGATTCTTTTTTAAGAAGTTGGTTGATACAAAGAATGCTTGGGCTGTAACTAGTATATTATTCAAACAAATAACGTCCCCTGCAGGGAATTGTCCGGGTTTTTTTTTAACTTCACTTTGTTTCAACTAAATATCAATCAATCAATGCTGAATGTAAACAAATTTAGTAAAATACTTTCAGATATGATGCAGAATTTTAGTTAATAGTCCTTCTAAAAAAAATTAAAGAGATCGATTTTCAAGCGTTATTTAATGGGAGCAACATCAAATAGTGTGGAGACAGTTTGTCGCGTCTGAGTTATTAATGCAAAGAAAGTGAACAGAGTCAGTTCCATATTAGAAAAATATTTCATTTCGATTCTCCGTTTCTAAAGAAGAAATATGACTTTTTATCATTAAATGAATGAACTACATTTTCTCTTGGGAGCAATAAATAATCAAAATAAAAATGGTTGTACTAGTATAAGGGAATCAGCGAATAAGCTTCAGATGCAACATAAGGCTACTTCTAGTTTATTATGATAAGTAATCCCACTTTACAAAATTCTAGGTATAATCCTTTTGGAAAACATACACACGATAAAAGAATTAATGACATAAACAAACGGAAATTTCTTTAAGTATATCCAATATGTACTTAGTAAATCTCATAAAATAAATATGGCTTTGTTTCCACCCTAGGAATGCATCTTAGGAATTAAATTATTATAGTTATACAATCATGTTCGTCACGTACTTAAATTACTTTCATGTGTATAAAAATTTTATGTTCTTAGCAAACTTGAATTTTTGTAAACTTTATGAAAAATAATCAAAAACATATTTGTGTCGTAGTCGATGAAGCGATATAAATCATGAATACTAGCTTGTGGCACATACCCAATTAATAATAAAAGAACTTATAAAGCTCACATAAAACATCAAAAACCTCACAATTTAATGAAAGCAAATCACAGTCTGTGCCTTTAGAACTACTCAAATACACTTGTATATAATAGATACTCAATATACTTTCTTTGAAATTTTGCTTTACTGTGTATTTTTATCGAAAATCTCCAAAATATCTCAAGTTTTCAGTGTTTAACAACACGTACATATATATGAATAAAGAAAATCTCAATAATGAACATCTGATTGAATATATGCACATTTACTTTATTTTTTTAGTTTTATACGCTTTAGTCACACAGGTGAAAAAAAATGAAACATTAGTTTAAATCAATTAGCTGGACCGTAAACTTATTCACGGATTAAGGTGACTAAGAATTTATCGTACAGGTATTTAAGAAGAGGTGCATGCATGTGCACCAGATTTTGTTAATCGTCTTAACCCACGATTAGTTTACCCTATATTTAAAATTCGCTGATTCTTTTTAATTTCAGTGTGTTACAAATCTGTTAATTATATAATGCTACCCCTTCAATCCTCAATATAACACTCTGGTATTAGATCTAAACACGTGATTTTCGTACAAGATTTAACATAATTTGCAGCTAAAATGGAAATATTGAAAACATGATCCCCCATATATGTCTATATAGCATATTTAATTCACATTTAAGATCATTAAGATCATTAAAACCTTTGACACATATTGATTCCTGGTACACATGTATATATCCCGTTATTAGCTTCACTTACCTGGATTTACCTGTAGCGTATTAAATGTTTATGATCCTGGAAGATTCAGTATCCGTACCGATTGACGGGTTGTCTTCTTTTTAAGGAAAGGAAAACACGTAAAATAAATTATTGAACGAATTGAAGTGATAAAAGGATTACGGGCCAGCCGTATTCACCATTATCGACGAGTTTTACTGCGAAATCCCAAAACCACGCCGAACATGGCAACATGTAAACAAAAACACTGACGGACCAAGAACGACAACTCGTTGTTTTTTCTAAAAATCATATTAACAGTTGAACACATTCTCTCATATTTTTTCTACTCTAATATTAATAAGTATCAATGAGATTGGATTGAAATTTGATTTTAAGAAAAGAATTTTACTCGAGAACTTGACTTTTGTGATGCAATGAAAGTATTTCATTAAAATGTATTTTTGTCAAATATTTTTTGCACATATATTGGAGATTTTTCAAAAGGTTTTGGGGGATTTTTTATAAACTCGGTATTGCAGTAAATAGGACTGTCATCTGGAGTTTTGATATATTAATTAAAATATTTTTTGTCTCTTTCTTTCTAGTTCTGCACATCAAATAGATCAAAATGTACACATAATGATTCATCATGAGAAGCTCCAGCGGTAGTTACTTTAAAACATATAATTATTTATAATACTTTATAACCCAGTTAAAATCATGGTCAGTAAAACTGCATTGAATAAATAAATAAATGCAATAAATAAAAACATTCCAGGATTTAAGCATCGGGTTTGGAAAACCAACAATCCAATTCCAAGGACCAACTGTTTACAAACAAAAGCATAGCAACACGTTATTTTACGGATAGTAAAATGTTTAATAATACGCTATGTGATGTGACTTATCTCGTAAGTGAAGGTCGCAGTGGTTTATCAGATAAAGTATCGGAATGTTTAAGTAGTTTCCAACATATCCCATACATAACTGCGGCCTTTGTCTGCGTTCTTTTTTGCTGTTACTACAATCGAGATCGAAGATCTGGCGGAAAAGACGTATGGGTGAGTCCAGTTGCAGTCTTCGATGATGGCGAATATCACAGACTTTTGTTTGGACCATTTCATCACATGGACGAAGGACACTTGACGCTGAACCTAGCCCTATTTGCTGTGAAGTCCGCTATTCTAGAACAGATATACAAACCTGGCTACCTATTATATATGATCATTGTTTTCACATTTCTCAGCAGCCTGTTTTGTATATTTCTTAGAATTTTGGCAGCAGTCTTTTACAAGGACGTGGATAATTATAATAAAAGTCTTGTTCGAGGATGTGTAGGCATATCAGGTACATGTAAATGCACGTGGATACTACATGCTTTGTTAAATTTAGCCATTCAATTGTTGATTAAGTATAACAGAACTGAAAAAAAATCTCTGAATGAATTTATTAATACTGCATGTATATTTATGAATAATATTGCTTTAAATTGAAAAGGTTTGCTTTGCTGAAAGGCGAAGCATGATTGAGCATGATCCTATTATTTCCGATCCTAATTATATAATTTAAATACTAGAACCGTAAGAATTTAAAAATCAAGTGATCCTTGTGCTTAATATTTTTTTATTAAGTTGTATCTTTTATATTTGTACAGGAGTAATATTTGCATTGAAAGTTTTGATTTCTGACTTTACGAAAGTCGACGAGTTTGTTTACTGGATCGAGCTGATCGTGGTACACATTACGTCCCCTGGTACTTGTTTCACATGTAAGAATTATTATTCTCTCTCTCTCTCTCTCTCTCTCTCTCTCTCTCTCTCTCTCTCTCTCTCTGTTTATCAATGTGAGTTTATACAGAGACACAAAGCAATTAATTTAAAAATATCAAATTTTGGTTTCAGCCCATCTCGGTGGAATATTAGTCGGAGTATTGTACAAGTACACTTTTCTCCAACGCCTCATGTATTTTGGGGGTCTGGATGAGATTGCTTTAAGAAGTTATGGTGCATGAAATGACTGTACACGTTTATAGAAAGGTAGTAGGGTACATGTTTTAATGTATACCTATTTCCGCAGAACGTCTTCGTTGAGAGGATAATTAACATGGGACAGAACCACGTGTGATTCTATGGGATCTTAAATTGTGCAATACTGTATAAGAATCCATTTGAATGGATGGTAAGCAATTTATATAAAAGAATTAAGTGTGTTACATGTATTTCAAGTTTTTTCGAGGATTACAAAGATATGATGTTGCTTCTATAATAATAGATTTTGCAAATCATAAGAAGTCACTTCTTTTGTTTTGTATTACTTTTCTTTAAATGCTATTGCAAAGAATGGATAATGATTAAATTTTACCACTCAATGTTGCTTCAAAGAGCTTATGGAGGAGAACCTTTCTAAGGAAAAATAGTGCTCAGTGTCCATTGCCATTATTCAGTGCATAATAAACGACACTAAGCAAGCCATGTGCATAGATTTCATGAACAATAGTTGTTCCATCAGATATGCACACAATGTCATATTCATCTATAATACAATATTTAACATGTTTAATTTTACTTTGAATGCTTTTTTTCGAACAGATGAAAATGTAAACAATAAAACGTCTTTCTTTCTTTGTTAGTTCGGGAATTAACGTCGAGCTATTGTAGAAAAATATTACATAACCCGCTTAAGAACGGGTTATGTATTTTTCTGCATTAACAGCTGCGGCATTAATTTTCGTACTAACAACCCAAGAAAACACTTTATCATTTAAATGTAATATATATACTCGTACATGTATTCTTTTAATAGATATTAATTGCGTATATTTATATTTTGTTAGTTAAGAAAACCATCAAATTCAGAGAGAGAGAGAGTTGTAAAAATTCGGTTAGCAGCAGGCATTTATTGTTTTAATTACTAGTAATTGTCAGTCATACATTTTGAGTTTCATGAAAATACAAATAGCCAGTAAGATGTTCTCACAATGTGAAGCCAGCACAATCCATGTATATTTTTTATTGCTAAATTTAATATATATCACTTCAAAGGTCCCCGAATGAATTTGAACATGAACATCAGAGAAACACTTAATGACTCACTGCACTTGATATTTGATAACAATCTCGTTTAACTGTGAGCAATTTTGTTCGGAAAATCCCATCTGTTGTACTGTGTTCTGTATGAGATTTCCCGAAATCAAAGTAATTTTTAAAAAATACTTTACTTTTTTGCATTAAGTGAAAAGTGATTGAAGAAGAGTATCATATTGTGTAAACATTTTGATTTAGTATGTTATGCAAATGCGGAAGTGTTTCGGTAGTATTTGCATGTTTATGACTACCCGTTACAAGAAAAGTATATAAAAAGGAGTATTAAAAATACAGCGTTCTAATAAAGATGCAATTACATAGGTATTTAAGTAGTATGCCCATGTGAAGGGAGGGGGTTAAAATCCTTCTTTCTCCCCATTCTCTCTCGTCCTGCCACATGCACTTCATCCCCCTACCTCCCCCACATTGTATTAATAGGTCATTTTCGAAAGAGAAAGTAAACTTAGAATCATTACATCACCACCTCGTGGTGTTTACTCCGTGGGCGTTAGCTGGACGAAGGCGAAGGTAAGCGTATCAAAAGGTGTGGAATAAGTAACTAGGTCAATATATTATTGTGTGTGTAAGTAATAATAGTAAATATATTGTTATAATTAATAATTCAAATAGGTTTTTCATACATTTCTGCTCTATTTTAAACATTTCAACGTTTAATATCATACTGGTACATCAGTATAGACATGGGGAATGCAACAGATAAACTCAATCCTTTTTGAGGGTATGAAAGTATGCACTTTCATTCGTTCCTTGGAACACTCTCGTTTTTAACTGGTAATATATATGCGAAGAGTGTTTCATACAACCGATTTCGTATGACATTTGAAGAATAAAATGAATTTGGTCATTTATTTACAATCTATATACGAGTTCAATGCACCAAATTAAATATAGATAACTTTAATAGGTTCAATGATTATGAAAGTTCCTTAAAATGGAGGTATTTATATTACTAAAAACAGAAGATATAATTGAATGTTCATGTCGTTTTCCCTCCCGTAAACATATGCTACATGTATAACAGTATCGATTTATGAGTAACAATATAAATAGGCATTTAGAGCATTCATTGCTGTGCTCTAACTCAGTCAATATCTATCAAATGAGAACAGTCTAAAGACATAGGATATTCAGAAAGAATTTGTCCCAAAGTTAAACCTCGATTCCAAAACATGAGAACAAAAAATCCTTCTCCCAAAATTATTTCAGAAATTTATTCTAATTTTACCCTGAACAAATTAATTTGAATACAAAGACAGTAAAATATAGAAGCTATGATTAAAACGCATTTTTTTAAAATCTAGATTTTATATATCCCATAATCTACACTGTATGTACGTTAACTCCCCATTGAAAAATATTGGACTTGATAGGATTTATATCTCATTCCTGTGTAATTGTATTGTTTTGTATGGGTTTAAAAATCAAGTCCACTGGTAAAGGCTAAAGAGGTGTTGGGAGAAATCTGTCAATACCTAACTTATACAGTCTTTAAATGACCTGGACCTCATTTTTTACAGTGATCTGATGACCATCAGATCTGCTTAGCCATGTAATGATAATTAGCCTTTGGCTACAAACAGAAGGTTTACACAGGAGTTATATGCTGCATGCTGGCGGATCTAAGAGGGGCCTTACTCTCCTTCATGGTTCATGTATTTAAATATACATTTTATGAGCTGATATCTTCCTTGAATATGTGGCACACTCAAACATTGTAGCTGTCGTGATTTCACATCTCTGGACCCTAAATTATTGCATTTTATCATATTTAGTTGCAGCATATTGGAAATCCATGAGCACCCCCTCGCCTACATATATGTATACAGTATACCCCTTTTATACAGTTTGGTTGACTTCTTCCATATTCATATATAAAATAAAGCATATTTCCCATATTTCAAGCAAACCGTTGGATGCCCCCACCTTATTTTTACTTCAAGTGTATTATAGTTTCTGTTAAACCTTACAGAAAAATCATATCTACATGTTTATATTGTAAATTTAACAATTGAAAGTTAACCTATTAAATTCAAAATATTGTTGTCCCCGCTTTTGGACTCTCATTGGGTGAGCTGCTATTATTTATGGCATACGTTTTGTCAAATATGAATGCCATATCATATGTCATTCCATGCAAAGTAATCACCAAATTTAGTGGGTTTTTTTGAAAATTTGTTTCAAACATGAAGATCTACATTAATGGTTCAAAAGTCATACCATATGCTCCAAAACATCTCGTCTCAGTAATGCACAGTAATGAACATGTCAAATATGAAATCCCTATCTCGATCTTCTCAATCAAAAGTTAGAAGGAAAAAACATTTTTGAAAAGTAAGAATAACTTCATGGTCAGGGTCACAAGGTATAAAATTATAGTATATTTAGAGAGGTTTTGTCACAGGTAATATGTATGCATAATGTGAAAGCCCTTTCCTTTCTATTTTAAAAGTTATGACTAATTAAAGTAATATCTATAGGATCAAGGGGTAAAAAATCATGAAAATTTGGAAACTCCATCTTCGCAAGCCAAGCATATCTGATCCGCATACCCTTGATCTAGGTGCTATGAAAAAATATTCCTCACTGCTGAAGGGCCCCAAGTGCCGAGTACAGGTTTAAATCTGCAGCGCTACACCGGCCGGTGGTTATGGTGTCTCAATATGAGTGAACTTTTCTCAAAGGGACTTAAAGTTACGAACAAACAATAAATATTTATAAAACGATGCTTCCTGAAAAGGTTAAGATTTATTGAATGAATGTGATCTATTATTTCCGATAGACGAAACTTTGGCCTGTACATTTTAGCTGATTGTATTTCTGTTTCAGACTGAAAAAGAAACAATGCCCATTAAGTGTACGGTTTGTCAGCATGAATGTTTGAATGAACACGGACTCAAAATACACTTTTCAATAAAGCACAAGGAGGATCATGCAGGAAAACACAAGATCTGTGATACTGGCAAACAGTATTGTTCTGGAATGACCGAAAATCGTGTGACCAAACCCAGGGAAGTTGATGATGCTAAGCATCGACAAAGACCATCGACTATAGGAGAAAATGATGCAAAACATCGTCAAAGACGATCATTAATAGGAGAAGATCATGAAAGACATCGTCGAAAACCATCAATTTTAGAAAAAAGTGATGATAAACATCGCCGAAGACCACCGACGACAGGTAGGAAAGACGAGCAAACGGACAAAGGTAGTCGGCAACTAAAATCTAGTTGTACAGAAAAACCTAAAACAGACAAAGATGAACAAGATGCCAAATGTTCCGGTTATGGAGAGGCAGGTGGAAGCACAAAAGTGAAACATACCAAGGCATCGCCAATAAAAGGTCGTCCTACATCAAACTGTTCTAGAGATGTGGGTAAAAGCCAGAAAGACAAAAAGCTTGTTAAGAAGGACCAACAAAGACAGCAAACGCCCAAAGTGTATCCTGAACAATTACTTAGAGGAACAAAAGAACAACCAGACACCAGAAGGTTAACTTCAACACCATCATGTAAGTCGAAAATGTTTCTTGAACAAAAATACATGTACATGCTGATTCCATCTGCTATAAATAAGAAATCTAAAATCGGATATTTTGAAGCCGAGTTATTTTTAACATTGTTGCTCTAATAATAAAGTTGAGATTTAAACGTCAGGTAAAGTAAGTAAGTAATCATTTATTATAGTGACATTGTGCATATAAACATTTCAATAAACATTGTAAACAAAATACGTCAGACTGAATTTGCACCCGGCCCATTGGACCTATAAGTCACTTTTTCCATTATTACATTTATATAAATTTACACATGCAGAAGATTCTTTCTATGGTTAAATGCTGTATGGACAAATTTGGCTAATTTTATTTGGTAATTTTGGTTTTAAATTTTAAACAAATAATCATTATCAATACAATCAGGTATTTCAGACTCGTCCTTACCGTGTCCTGCAAGAGATGTAAGCAAGTACATCTCTATGCTTGAAGGAGGCATTAAACGTCGAAAAAAAGACAGCGAGGCAAGAATACCCGGTGTCAATAAGTTCATGGAAAGCTTAACTACAGCTTTTGAAAGGCTTCAAGATGTACCTTTGGATTTGTTCAAATCAGGGTCATACTATGACAAAACTAAGGTAGGTGTGATTTGAAAAAGAAATATGTTTAATTAAATGTAAAGAAATTGTCTTTGAAAAAGATTTTTTGATAAAAGGAATCTGTTGTATGCTCTACTGGAAAGGAAGGGTATAAAGACACACTATATTTACTACAAATGAATGTTTTTTGCATCATGGTACATGTTATTTGTTTTATTTAAATCTATCCTTGCTTTAACAGATTGACTACGACGATGAATTTGATTTTATGGTTTATCCAAGCGCAAAGTTTGAGGCAGTTTTCATAAACTGCCCCCCAGGATATTGTAAGATAAAGAAAGACCAGACAACCAGCAAGGATCTTGATCAGTTGTGTAACAAAGACGGATACCTTTTTCCTGAACTTTTCAAACAAAAAATGTTCAGCATATTTGACACTTGTATCACTAGTCTGGAATTCCGACAAGGAAGGAGAACAGAAAGTAGGTTTCTTGTCCATTGTACTGAAATGTTTGCGAAAGGTACACTGTAATGGAATATTCGCCAAAGGTACACTGTAAAGAATTATTCGCCAAAGGTACACTGTATTGAAATATTTGCGAAAGGTACACTGTATTGAAATATTTGCGAAAGGTACACTGTATTGAAATATTTGCGAAAGGTACACTGTAATGAAATATTTGCGAAAGATACACTGTATTGAAATGCTCGAATAAGTGCACTGTAATGAAATAATTGGGAAGTGTACACTATATAATGAAATACTTTTGAAAGGTTCACTGTAATAAAATGTTCTTGAAAGGCACACTTTCTAATTATAAAATTGATCAACATAAGGATATTAATGAATTAGATAGGAAATTACATGTAAAAATTATTGATTGAAATACGGTGCTTCACGCCGGTATCACTGGTATTAAACGATTTAGAGCTTCTGGATAAATTTGCATGCAGAATTGAATATTTTTGTGAGATTATTAGAATCGTTTTAACAAAGTCATACCGGTATTTGCATAATTACAAATATTTCAGAGCAAAGGAATCAGAAAGACATAGTTTATTCTGTTTTATTGTACATGTTTTAGGAATAGAACGTCAACCGGGAAGCCCGGCTTTTACACTTGAATTTGACCTTGGAGGAGGAAATAAAGTAGATATTGACCTAGTACCTGCTTTAAGGGTAGATACCTGGCCAAGAAACTTCAGAGAAATTCACCCCGATTGGATTAAAAAGGAGTATGCCGAAAGAGCAATGAAATGTTTTCATGTTGTAACAAAGACATATCCAACAGGTAAGCCCCTCATGTGTTTTTTGCAAATTATTCAATTATACTTTATTATATACCCATAAATTTCCTTGTTTTTGTAACTGTTAATTTTACAGAGTTTGATCCGATTTTCCGGATCACCACACTGTGGTTTTCTGAATCCATATCACCACTCTCTGAAACTGATGACGTAGTACGCAGAAACATGACGTTATTTTTCTTGTGCGTTAAAAAGTCCCTTGTTTTTGTGCTTTGTTTTATAGATAAATGTTATAAGATTGATCTCTAAAGTTTTCTTTGCTATATTTTGCTATTTATCAGGGGGGTATATAATAAATTTATCATTATAACAGTAACTTGATCCGAAGAGCTGTATCACGTCTCGTTGACAGGCGCGGACCATCAGATCAAACTCGACGCTTCGCGTCTCGTTAGATCTGATGATCTGCGCCTGTCAACTCGACGTGATACGGCTCTTCGGATCAAGTTACTGTTATGATAATATATATATATATATATATATATATATATATATATATATATATATATATTATTTAGTCGAATACGGCACAAACTTTTAGCATTTTCAGGTCACTAATTGTGTATTGTTTGAGGTGAAATATTTAGAATAAGCCTTTTGAATGAACATTTTAAAGATGAAATTGAACTGACCATCATATCTTTATGTAAGCATTCTGACAGCCAAGACTAACTTTGTCGAGCTTATACAGCTCGGCAAACTTTTTAAGCTCACATGGTTTTTTGCACAAATTAAGGTAACATTGTTTTAATGTAATATTGTGTATCGAGACAACAAAATACATTTTAAAAGTATTTGTTTACATAATTTGTGTTTTTTTTTCATTTACTGAAACATAATTCACACAAATCAATTGGTAGAACTTTGATATATTCATGGCTCAACCATTCTCATTTGAATTTTTGTGGTTTCTTGCCAATTGCAGCTGTCTTTTTATCCGTTCTTTTGAAAGCAATAGCTCTTGGCAGAAACGTAGACATGGGCACAGTACAGCTACTGTAACTTGTATTTGCTGTACATTTTGAATCTTTAGCTCGGGGTGATAATAGTATTTTTCATCTGTTTGACTGCTTTCTATGTTAATAAGTTGGGATTTTTCAGAGTCAACTTCTAAAATCTAGAATCATGAGAGAATCATCCCACTGCAAAATTTTAACTTTCAAACCGTAAATGCAGAAGAATTTTCCTTTCCATACAAGGAATTTACTATTCAAAAAAATAAACAATACTTCATTATCCTACCCTTTAGTGTGATTTCCTTCTGCAATTTTATCCCTTTTCGGCGCTACATTTCGACAAAACCAAGAGGAGTATGGCAAATGAGCAAATATTTTTAAAAAACACTCACCTTGAAGAAGAAAATTTAAAATTTTCAACTGCATGGTATCAAGGAAAGCTCGTTTTATACGATTTGTAAAAAACCTATGGTAGAATCGTATAGTCGAAACATCCTACCATTTATTTATAATTTCCCCTTTAAAACATTCACTTTGGAAACTTAAGATAATAATTTTAAAAGGCATTTATGCTTGACATTATATATGTAATATAACGAAGGGATATGTTATTGTACTGCAGTTCAAAAATGGTATTTTTTATTACAACGATGTGACCTTAATTTGTGCGAAAAACCATGTGAGCGTAAAAAGTTTGTTGAGCTGTACATGTATATTTCAAGGTTTTTCATATTAAACTGGGTCAACAAGATTTAGGACAATAGATTTGTTTCGTACACACATTTTTCTTGATTTCAAAGCATAGCAATTTAATTAATATTTATAATAATCAATTTTAAGAAGTATGCCAACCTCTCGGTAACCAGCAGAGGAATGTATTTACTGTAATAGTATACTACATGTAACTCTACAAATTTTCGAAATTCTAATTCAACATGCCACAAAACCTCTTTTGAGTAAATGGGGTTCAAACTTCACCATTAGAAGAGCAACATTAAATAATCCAGAACCCGAGGGCTTGAAAAGGCAAAATTTAAAATTATAAAGCTTCATAATGATTGTAGTAAATATTTTCATAAATTATGGTCCCAAGGGATAGGGATAAGGAGATCAATAAAAATGATCGAAATATTTATAGGGGCATTTATAGGAATGATTCTTTTTAAAAACAGTTGGCATATATTTAGAATAGTAGTAGCTGGGTGACGATAAGTCACAACTTCATGCACATATGTACAGCTTAGATTCATTGCCCCATTTGATGTTTTTTTTCTTGAATTACCACGAAAATTATTTAAGCTAAGAAAAAAATTAAATAAGAGAGGTGTATGTTGATTAAATATATACTTAATCACATCAGTATCTTTCTCTGTAGATCACCCTAATGCCGATCTTCTATGGAGGGTTTCCTTCTCACACGCCGAGAAAGAACTTATACTTCATGCGAACCAAAAAGACAATGGCTGCCGAAAAGAGATTTTCAAGCTGCTGAAAAAAATAAAAGAAAATATCAAAAATGAAAATCCTACGAAAATCGACAAATTTAGCAGCTATCATCTTAAGATGTTCATGCTTGGGTTTTATGATCGACATCAAGATTTCTCCCAGGAAAATAAGGAACGTTTGTTCAAACAAAGCATTACAGAGCTTATCGGCTGTTTAAGATGCGGAAAAATCAAAAATTATTTCATTCCATGTGACAACGTTTTATTTTTTGTTCCAAACAGTGAAAAAACACTTGTTGCTCACGAATTATCTAAAATACAAGAGAAGTGCTAAACGTAAAATTTCCGTCAATTCCTTATTCTTAAGTGATAATTGGATACATTTAACTTCATACATGTATGTTATAAAACCCTTTGAAAAATTACACACTTTGATAAATCAAAGAAGGTTTAATATGGAACCGAGGAAACGATGATTCATGAAACACGTTTGAAAAAAAAATTGTGCATGGTTTGATCAATTTTACAATTTTATTTTACAATGAAATGGAAATATAAGTAATCACTGTATAGTTTGTTGGGTTTGCCAGGGGCATCAACATAGTTTGAAACGCGGGATAATTTATGCATAACAGGCCTCGACAGTGATTCTCATATCTATCATATTATAAATCTTTACATCAATATAAAAAAGGGTACTGAAAGAAGTTGGAAGCCACCCTATGACCCCCACCACACAAACACATACCGCCCACCCCACGAAATGAGATTTAGGGGTTTAAAAGACCCCCCCCCCCCCTTATTTTGCATGTCGATTTTATTCAAGCTAATTGATTTTTTTTCTTTGGCTGTCCCTTCAAAAAATATACAACACTGAGACTAACAGACAGACAGACTTTCAGACGAATGATATTTAATGTTCCCTCGCTTTTGCAAAAGCGGATGACAATAAACCCAAAAGCTTGAAAATTCGTACATCTTATCACATTGGTAAGTCTGTGACAAACAATTTGTAAAGCGTAAATTGAGGTTTCAACTGAATATATGAAAGCTTTAATTTGATTGGTGCTTCTCAATGATAGAAGGCTACAAAAATTCGGAATGAAATTTGTCGGGGGTCCCATGGCAACTTACTGATTTAGGACTCCTGGCATTGAGAGGATATACACTAGACAAAATTCCTAACGCACCACTTAAAATTCTTCTTTGTGAATTGAACATTTGCCTAATTGATATAAGTATATATAATACACCATATTTTCCAATACAATCGGATTGGCAAATGTCTTGGTGTCAGAACAAAACCCCAAAATGACCTTCTTGCCCGAAAACCAATTTCCCGACATGCACTGCGTGCCCCTTTTTTGCCTGGATATACGCGTTGCTAAAAACCGATGATGGTCTCTGCGTTTACACCAGAAATAGTCTCCCAGTAAAAAATAAAATAATATGCAGCGATTGACTATTATAACGCCCGCTAGTCATCCAATGCATTGGTGCCCATACCCGGTCCACTCAACTTCCGCCCAATTTTGTGGTACGACATTGAAAATGTGGTGTGGTGTTTACTTAATGGATTGGTTATCTAGAGTGAATATTTTTATATTTACTTATCTATTTGCAACATTCTTTGACTAGAGGAATAAATATTGATTTTATTGTTCTAATTTTTTACAAATCTTTCCAAAGGAACCCCATGCAGACACCGTACTGTCTTTTATATCACGCTCTTCTGGGAACAAATGTCCACATGTGTTAAACATATGTTTGGTTTCACATGTGTTCAACACATGTTTTATACATGTAATACATGTTGTGTAAATAAACACATGTAAAATATGTGTTTCATTTATATGTAAAACATATATAATATACATATGTTATACACCTGTGAGATAATATATATGTAAAACACATGTTTTTCACCACACATGTATAACACGTATTATATATATGTAATATATGTGTGCGAAAATACAGATGAATTATACATGTTTAATTTATATAAAATATATGTGTATTTATAAACACATGTTATACACATGTTAAGTTTTATCTCATATGTGTGTGTACATTAATTCAAAAGAATTTGTAAATGTTAGTAAAATTTTACTCATGTAAAGTTTTACTTTGTTTATCCCCTCCCCCTTTCCCTTCTAAAAAAAACTTTCACAATTTTTTTTCTGTAATAATGCATTTATCAGACAAAATTGATAAAGAAAGAATTCATTTGCTTTTCATTTTAAATCTTTTGGGCTTGGCTAACTTCTTGAGTAAAATTAAAATAATTCCGTATTTGTCTCCGGGCCGGTTTTGTCTTTTATCGGATGAAAATGTACGTCATTTTTGACGTCACTGCTGCAGCAGACGTGCTGGGTGTATTGGAAAGGTAAGTGATCTCCAAACAATTTTTAAAAGACTTTTAATTCATATTGTTTAAATATCATTTCATTTTAGTTACAGTTGCGTATGAACTTTCTATATATACAGGTGTCTCATTATATCGCGGTACTAAATTCTTTTGCATAAAAAGTGTAATTTCTAATTTTTGTTTTAACTTACATCAAATGATAATTGTAATTCTAACTTTGGCCTAACTTTTTAGTGTTCAATTATTTTTCAAGCTTGCATCGTTTAATTTGTGGTCTATTTTTAAAACAGGAAGTCTTATTTACCTCCTAAATCGGAGAGTCTCATTGTATCGCGGTATGGAAATACATGGAAACTTGTAAATGATACAGACCTCAATTTTTATTTTTGAATTTACGATGTAACTTTACACGAAAAAGTGAACAATTGTATATACTAAAGACTTTTAAAAGATGAACTTTATTATGATTTTTACGAGATTATAATTCTAATGGTCTAAATATAATTTAAAGAAGACATGAAATCAGAAAAATTCGTTTTATTTTTATTCAAAAGGATGTTCCATATTTCTTAATCACCGAAAAAAAATAATCATTCAAACAACATTCCTAATGTCTATCAACAAAAAGAAAATAGGCTATGTATCCACATTTTTGCGATATACCGCGATACAATGAAACCCGCGATATAACGAGAATTGAGTATACATGTAATACGCTTATCATTGTGACTTGTCATGCATTTCGTAAACCTAACGATAGTGATCTGTAAGTAATTTTGATGAAAAATGTTTCTGACTGAATGTAAGCACGGGCACTGGAAGTTAATGTAAATATATAGTATGTGTATGTATAAAAAAGACCCTTCTTTTTTTTATACATACACATACTATATTATTTATATTAACTTCCAGTGCCCGTGAATGTAAGCGGTTACATGTTAGGCTAAAGAGTAAAGGCATTACAATTTTTTATAATTTGTATACAGGTAAGTAATTTTGGATAAATTTGTTTCTGAATGAACGTAAACATTACATGTTAGGCTATTTTTAAAAGGCATTATTGGTTTTCCTTTTGTGGTTACGTACTTACGGCGCCGCTGGAGGGCCAGATAAAAAAAAATATTTTTATTTGTTCGGACAAATTAGAAAATCGTTCGGACGAATTAGATATTCGTTCGGACGAATTAGTTATTTGTTCGGACGAATTAGATATTCGTTCGGACGAATTAGATATTTGTTCGGACAAATTAGAAATTCGTTCGGACGAATTAGTTATTTGTTCGGACGAATTAGATGTTCGTTCGGACAAATTAGAAATTCGTTCGGACGAATTAGAAATTTGTTCGGGCAGATAAGTTATTTGTTCGGACAAATTAGATATTAGTTCGGACGAATTAGTTATTTGTACGGACAAATTAGAAATTCGTTCGGACAAATTAGTTATATTTGTACGGACGAATTAAAAATTCGTTCGGACGAATTAGTTATTTGTTCGGACAAATTAGAGAAAATGTGAACAACTGTCAGGGCACCGCGATTAATGTGCGATTTGCACCAAGATGATTCATTTTATTTTGATTTTTTGCAAAATAACTTTAATAAACATTATTATCAATAAATATTTTGAAGATAAGTCGTTTTAATGTTGATCTCTTTCTTATAATTTTTATGCACATATTCACTATACCCTGCAATTATTAATCATGACATGTAAATAATTTTTGAAATACATTTCTCATACATATGTCGCCGATATATTGCTAAAATATTGCCGATTCGGCGTAAAACATTCAATCAATCAATCTGGTATTTATGCGGTGTATAAAATGAAAAAAGGGTCCTCATTGAGTTTTTAATTAAATATTCCTGTTCGTGAATTAAGAAAACGTCACAAAAATGAACCTGTTCGTATTAATCTCAGGTTGTTCCTATGACTTGCGAGCCGGTGAATTAAGATGTCAACCGGTCAATCTGGTATATTCCCTAGTCCATTGACTTACAGAGCATAATTATAGCCCCTTCCCCTTATTGGAGAGGTACATGTAGTCGAACACTATTTAATTTCGCTTTCAGCTTTTCTTAATTTTGTTTATACGCTTTTACAGTTGAATACCAGTTCGAATGTTTGGTAGGCCAATGACTCACTAGAAAGGGGAATTATGAAACCAACCCCTTTTATGGAAAAATAAATCATGAATGAATGAATGTCAAAATATTTTCAAGTAACAACCCCCCTCCTCTATTTAAAAACGATCGATTGTCTTAATCATTGAGAAGCTTAACTTGCATTAAATTATGATGTGGTTTTAATTTTTACTGAAATTTCTAGGAACGTACATGTATTCATATATTTTTTAACCCTTTTCCCGGAAAGGGGCGTGTGTTTCATTTGGTCAATATTATACCTGCATGTTTTAATTCATGCGCTTTTCTGATATTTAAATATAAAATAAAATTTATTTAGATACTTAATAATAGTTTTTAACGATCTTAGAAAGAATCCATTAGAGATGGACTAATGAGATTCCCTCTTTTTGTTCCTTTATCACAAAATACTTAAATGTGGGAACAGGGGTATAGTTGCAAAACTACAAATGTTCTAGCTAGTAAGCCCCACCTTAAAAAAATTAAGACCCATCGAATGAGAGGCTTCATATTTTGAGTCCGAAGTTGATTTGATATAATACAATACAGCCACGTAGCAGCGTTTTTGAAAGTGGGGGGGGGGGGGGGGCTGAGAAAAAAATACCTACCTGAAAAGTTGACAAGCAAAAAAAAAAAAAAAGGGACACAGGAAAAGTTGCCCAAAGTTGACAGTCCTATTTCGTTGGGGGGGGGGTACTTTTTCAATGCCAATTTTTTCCCGTACCAATTGCCTGCAGTATGAATAAAACCTTAAGGAGTGGATCTCATCTTTTCAAAGAAGCGGTAACTGACCACTGGCACCCCAGTGTTACCAATTTAACACCAGCAGCAAAAGTTGGTCTAATAGAACCAGATGATGTTTATTTATGACAAATATTATGAGTGTGTCAGGGATGGGAGTGAAAAGAAGTTTGATAAGAAGTAACTGACCCTTTGAATTTACTAGCGGGCTCTCAGATAATATACTTTCAGAATGGCAGACTTTAGGCCTGTAATATATACCGGTATAGAACCATTATTTCCGAATATTTATAATCAACATACCCGACTTTAATGGCACATGTCTAGTTGCAACGTGTGTATGTCATGGTCCAAAGAGCTATTTATATATTAAAAAGGGATGAATCCTACTGAATAGACAAATTGTATATCTCTCTTTACAAGATAGTTTGTGCAAACATCAATTTGTCCGAACAAATTTCTAATTCGTCCGAACGAATATCTAATTCGTCCGAACAAATAACTAATTCGTCCGAACGAATATCTAATTCGTCCGAACAAATAACTAATTCGTCCGAACGAATATCTAATTCGTCCGAATAAATAACTAATTCGTCCGAAGGAATTTCTAATTCGTCCGAACGAATATCTAATTCGTCCGAACAAATAACTAATTCGTCCGAACGAATTTCTAATTTGTCCGAACGAATATCTAATTCGTCCGAACAAATAACTAATTCGTCCGAACGAATTTCCAATTTGTCCGAACGAATATCTAATCCGTCCGAACAAATAACTAATTTGTCCGAACAAATTTCTAATTCGTCCGAACGAATATTTTATTCGTCCGAACAAATAACTAATTCGTCCGAACGAATTTCTAATTTGTCCAAACGAATATCTAATTCGTCCGAACAAATAACTAATTCGTCCGAACGAATTCCTAATTTGTCCGAACAAATAACTTATTTGTCCGAACAAATTTCTAATTCGTCCGAACGAATTTCTAATTTGTCCGAACGGATATCTAATTCGTCCGAACGAATTTCTAATTTGTCCGAACAAATAAAAATATTTTTTTTATCTGGCCCTCCAGCGGCGCCGTACGTACTGATATGAAAGTGAAAGTAGAAACCTTGAAACCATTGTGACTTGAGATGGCTGTCAAGTCGATTCTTTCATCAACTTAATAACAAGTGTTTGTTTTTATGGCCTATAGATGCATGCAGTAACTTGAGTTCAGTGTCACATTGCTGCGTCTAAAAAGCCCAAAGCTGATAAGACTGGCGATTGATCCTCAGGCTGATTTGACAGATGATTGCATCATCACAATATTAAAGGTAAAAATAAATACTTCCAAGAAAAATCAAAGTAAACATCTGTGATGACTCCTTCATGACAAAATATTTCATGTAATTCATTGTAATTATGTTCCCCAAACGAAGTTGGGGAACATATTGTTTTTACTCTGTTTCTTATTATTATTATTATTATTATTCCTGGGAAAATTTTGTCCACGAGTGATCTTGTAAACTACACATCCGACTAAGGTAAAATGTTTTTAGGGTCAGTAGACATGTTATGTAGATTTGCCGAACGAAGGTCATTTTGCGCGCACGTGCTTGCAAGAGCGCGCACGTGCAACACGAGAAATGACCAATATAATGGATATTGCTGTAACTTTTCTTTTTTTTGATAAATTTTTTTGAAACTCATAATATTAGGTTACATTAGTAGTTTAAACAAGATGGCATGGTCAAAATAACAAGATCTCACGCGCATGCACGTGCGCTTCGCTCTGATTGGCTGAAATTAAAGTCTCAATATCTTTCTTCTTTCTTGTCATAATCTTTTGAAATTTTGAACATAGTCCTACATTATGAAGATCTACTGGATGATATATAAAAATTTTCATGAAAGCATGCGCATGTGCGCGTGCTGCAATCTGATTGGCTGAAACTTTAAATGGCTATATCTTCTTTGTTTTTTGACGAAATGCTTTAAAATTTAAAACATAGTCATGCATTAGGATATCCTAAAATATGATATAGAAAAAAAATCATGAAATCACGCGCATGCACGTGTGCTGCAATCTGATTGGCTGAAACTTTATATGGCTATATCTCCTTTGTTTTTTTACGAAATGTTTGGAATTTTAAAATATAATCATTCATTTCGATACCCTTCAATATGATAAAGACAAAAATTAATGAAATCATGCGCATGCATGTGTGCTGCAATCTGATTGGCTGAAACTTCAAATGGCTATAACTCCTTTGTTTTTCAACCAAACAGGATGGGATTTAGAACATAGATAAATATAAAGAACTCCTAAAAGAAGGTGTAGTCATTATGCACGTGCGTGCACGTGAAATGAGTAAAATTAAAAATACACTCAAATGAGTGTATTTTTTAATACTTTTAGATTAAATGCTTTGATATTAAGTATATTAAAATTTTAGATAGTGTAGACAAGATAATATGGTCGTTACGCACATGAACACGCGTGCAATGTCTATTTATAATTATATTTTGTATTTTTCTGGGAAGACTTTGATTAAGTCTAAATTCCATAAAGTTTCTTATTTAATAGAGATTGCAGGGAATATGGAACCAAAAGGGAATTGGGGAGCGTTTGGGGAACATCTGTAACGGTCCCCGTTACAATTAGCACTAGTTTCTTTTTGTTCCTTTATAATTCTACATTTGTTGTTTGCACTACTTCATAAATAATAAGTCCAACTCAATGCTACAAATACATGTATACTTTTATTCTATATTATAATATAAAACAGTTCTAATCCAGTGCACTTTTGAAATATGGAAAGTATGAATAGAATTTGCTGGCTTTAAAAGCTATGAAACTGGTACATGTACTCTAAATGACTTCAGGCGGGAGGGGGGGGGGGGTATTGAATTTTTGAATTTCAGTTAAAAATTAATAATAACAGTGACATCCAACTATCAAGGTACAAGTACATGTACATATGTGTTGATTGTTGAAAGTACATCAGCTAGCTAATCCATTGGATATTTACATCTATTATGTATGTGGTATTCATTACCTGACATTTATTATTTTTTTCCAACACTAGAGAACATAGTTTCTGGTAAAATGTAAGATATTAATTAAGACTATTAAGAACCTACAAACATGTACTCTCTCTTTTTTGTAGTTGTAGTTTTGTAGTTTAATTGAGTTTTAGTTATGCTTAGAAGATATCTACTGCATGAATATTTGTTTTACAGGTTCAATATACAGTCAGCGTCTCATAAGAATAAATCCCAAGATCCAAGACTTGCTTAAAAGCTTAATTAAGGTAACTACACACTGTTAAATAAATTTTGTTATATTCTTCCCAACAACGTTTGGGATATCCTGGAATCACACTGTCTATTTTTGTGCCTGTCTACTTCTCTGTAGTATTTTTTGTCCAAAAATAAAATATTTGTGTCAGAATCTTCTTAATTTTTGGCAATATGAATTAGTAATACTGTTTGAACATTCCAAATTTAATTGTCAAAATCAAAAAAAAAAAATGCTTTTTATGACTTTATTATGAAGCATATCTTCCAACAGTGTAATCATCTTGCAAATTACATCATAGGATTCCACAAAACACCAAGTATAGCATATATAACATTAGTTTTATCTCTTATCATATCTCTGTTGGTGAATTGGGCATACATTTGTTTGCTGAACTTTAATATTACTTGTAGAATTGATTTTGTAATTTAAGAATTGTTTATTTTTACTTTTGAAATTTTTGTAGAGACCATTCTGTGCCACAAAGAAATTGTTCAGGAAAGGGAGAAATGGTGGATTTGCATTTTGGGGGGTACAGTTCAAAGAGAATTCAAAATGGTCAAGCTCATGGAAGATCAGAGGGAGGACAACTGAAGAAAACTGAAAGATACAGAAGGAAAAAGAACAAGAAAATATATGAAATAATTATGAAATTGGGAGGATGTACACAATCTTGTCTGCATTTGACCTGTAAAGATTTAATTCCCATTCTTATTTGTATGCTGTAATATCAAATAACTTGATTTTTCATAAATTTACAATAGAGAATACATGACAAATGTTATATGTGATATTTCAATTTTGCTTTGGTCACTTTCATGTCAAATCATATAAATTATAAAAAAGTACATGGACTAATTATGTTATTCATTTGTACATGTATGCATGTTTAACTATTTAATCATTTTGTGGAAATCTTATAATTGTACTCAACTTAGAATATGTAAAATATATGTATCGACAAATGCTACTGACTTGTTTGTATACTTTCCTGTTTAGAAAGTACACTGAAAAATAAGTTATTTCTCTTGATGAAAATAATTTATCAAAAAAGCTGTGTAAGCATTTTAAGATATTAATTTTCAAATATTTAACCCATGAAGATAGATCATTGGAATGTAATGGATTTTCATCTAAAGCAGAAATATCTGATTTTTAAATGTGTACAAGAATGTGTTTTTCCTTGTGATAAATATTGAAAGAGAACACATGTAACTATTTCATATGACTTACATATGCTCATATGCTGCCCTTTTCATATGATTCACATATGTGGACAGACATGAAAAAAGTATAAAAATGATAATAAGTACAACAGTAATATTATACACGTATAATTCACATATAAAGTATGACATGTATAAAACACATGTTTAACACATGTTTCATATGTATAAATATACAATGTGTTTATTTTTACACATGTTAAACACATGTGAAACATATGTTTAACATGTGTAAAAATAAACACCCTATACATGTGTGCTCCTTTTATGTGTTTTACATGTGTAAAAAATATATGTTAAACACATGTTTAACATATGTTCAACACATGTAGACATTTTTCCTGTGTACGGTATATTTATTTTTCTGATTTCTAATTAGTACAAACATAAAGAACAAAAATGCAAAGAAAAAAATTGAAATTATCTCTCCAAATTATCACGTTTTTCACGTTTTCAATGAAATGGTCACGCTTCAGTTAACATTGTAGTTATTTATCAATTAAGACATTGAAATGCTTTATTTGTTGATTATTTATCATACATTAATAATTTATCAAATACATCATAAACAAATTTGGAAAAGTAAAATATTACTTTCATTTGATGGTGCGTTAGCAATTTGTATAGGAGTGGAAACACCTCAATATAATATCTCTTTTAATCTAAGATGTATGCGTCCTTAATTGGTATTTTATTTGATTTATTTGTAAAGGTCTCTATATCGGTTGTGCTTAGTGCTGCAACGTGAAAGTTGACACTGAAGTCGAGGAGTGAAATATAAAGATGTTAGATTTTTGAATTCTTAAAGGTTAATGTCAGATTGTTATTATTCTTTATTCTTAACTTGCTTTTAAAATTACCTGTTACGTTTTAAAAATCAATAACCTTAAAAAGATATTCAGATGTTAGATTGACCTATTTAATGTAAAAAAAATGTGAATGCGAGATTTTTGTCTTACAAAATGTATAACTACGCCGCCAACAGTACTGCTTTTAGTACACAATTATCAGCAGCAATACAAATTTTTTAACTATCACACACATGCACCGGTATATTTACTAAAATCGTTGTTGATTAATTCATTAAATTGAAGTTATTATCATTCAAATGTTTGTTGTATTTTCACTTTTTAAATAGCACTATTCGTAGACAGCGGAAGGATTAATACGTTAATATCGGACATTTTTGTTAGTTCCAGTTATTCAGAATGATTTATGTGGATTGAATTCGAACCTTTTATTTTCAGGTAGGATTCTTTGACGGTGTATTAATTTTAATTGTGTTCAAAATTTAAATATATTTTGATTATCTTGAATTTATTTTTATGAAAGACTAGTGTAACAATAGATATTTGTTTACAATGCACTTCACACTCATTATATTTTGTGATAATAAAAATTCACGCTCTCGACCCTTCATGGAATTTCACTATCCCATATTAATTCTATTAATTAATCATAAACATGGAAGAACATACTTGGCAGAAAGATTTTTATGGTTAACTTATAAGAATAGTGTAAAATAAAACTACAAGGTTTCTTCCTTATTATTATTATTGAGTTGTGATTCTATTGAATCTAATTATAACATTTGACCCTCGTATAATTTTTCATAATTTCTATCATATCTAGGTCATGTATAACGAGGCGTAAGGTATGGACCCCCGTTACAGTGCTCAGAATGTTTTGCTATGTGACCTATGCGAATTGTATGCATTACAGAGTCACTGTCAAACATGTAAAATTAATCTGTGCATGAAGTGTGTTGAAATCCATCTCTCCAGTTCATCACTAGATCACGAAGTTGTGCCGTACGTAGGAAGAAATTTGCATTTTCACTACAGAAAATGTCAAGGACATCCAGATAATCAATGTGAATACCGCTGCCAGGAATGTGATATTCCTGTCTGCTTTGTATGTATATCCAATAGTAACCACCAAGGACACAAAATAGTAGAAATCTTAGAAAACAGCAGCATCAAAATACTAGACCTTGAAAAAGAATTCGAAGAACTAGAGAAGCAAATTTATCCCAAATATGAAGAAATTGCTTCAGATATAAAGCTTGACAGAGCACACTTGGAAACACATTACGCGAAACTTACTTTAGCGGTTGACAAACAGGGAGAAAATTTGCAAAGAGAAATAACAACAATTGTTAATAAACGAAAATGTGACATTGACGATATGAAAAGCAAACACATTGCAACATTGATAAAGCAGGAAGATGAAACAATGCGCATTAGCTCTGAGCTTAGGCAGATCATTTCTGATCTGAAAAAAGTAATAGAATCCAATGATGGCTCTTTAGCATCTGTATACAAATCAAGAAATGCAGAATTCCGTAGATTTCCTCCTAAGGTTGAAATTTCAGCGCCGATTTTCTCGCCTCGCCAGATTCATAAAGAACAGGTCACTAGAATATTAGGCCCTCTCTCAGACTTATCCATAACAATAGACGAAAACGGCTACACTTTGAAAACACAGGAATCTGACTCCTCTCTGCCACACAAACCTTTGCTAGATGAACCAAAGCTCTTGAAGACCATAAATACTGAACACGCACTTCTTTTTCGTGTTACATGTTTCAGTGATGAGGAAATCTGGACAGGTGGGAGTCACGGCATGAAACTTTACACACCTAATGGCAAAATACTGAAGACAATCACAACAAAATCTGGTTTCTGGCCTTTTGACATAGCAGTGACAAAGAATGGAGAATTGGTTTATACTGATCCTGATTTAAGAACGGTGAACGTTGTGAAGAAAAAACACATACAGGAATTAATCCAACTAAAGGGATGGGTGCCTCGGCATGTCTGTAGTACACTTGCTGGAGACCTCCTGGTAACTATGTTCCATGAAAAAAATAAACAATCAAAAGTCGTTCGTTACTCCGGCCCAGCAAAGAAACAAACTATTCAGTTTGATGAGAAAGGTAAGCTTCTGTATTCATCTGAAGGTACCAGTTACAAATATATAGCTGAAAATAAGAACCTTGATATCTGTGTGGCAGATAATGGAGCTGATGCAGTGGTGGTGGTCAACCAGGCTGGAAAACTCAGATTTAGGTACACCAGGAGTTCGTTCAAACCACGAGGAATTACGACAGACAGCCAGAGTAGGATTCTGGTATCATCAGATGAAAGACATGGTCGCGTCCTTATCATAGATCAAGACGGACATTTTCTCCATATAATTAAGAACATTGATTTAATGTATGCAATGTGTTTAAGTGTTGACACTCAAGATATACTCTATGTGCCAGAACATGATAGTGCAAAAATCAGAAAAATAAAGTATACATAAAAAAAATTCAACAGGAAAAGAATAGGTTTTATACCTTATTTGGTTATGAGGGTTAAAAAACTGACATTCATTGCGATGTTTAATGGCAATTGCTGTTAAATATATATTAAAGAAAATGTTGCTTGACAATATTAAATGTATCGATTTAAAATTTATCTAAAAGTGTATCTAGATTTTTTTTTGTCTCATAAAAATTATTACTACATGTATTTGCTTTATACTTTATTTAGAATTCTAATAGTTTCTAAAGATTACATTGTACTAGTACTCGTATAGTCTGTTTTCAATAAAATTATGTGAACAATGGTAAAAATGATGCCATTATCAGCAAAATTTGTTTTTGTCAAACTTTAAAGTCATGTTTATATTTCTTTCATTGAATTATACAAACGGGCCCCAAGTCTACAATATAAGGTTAATACCCTAACAAAAAAATTACAATAATTAACTATAGTATAGTAGAGTAAACACGTGATTCCTCTGATACCTAAATTTACTAATATGAAGCTTTATACTTTCGAACTTTATTTGAAGATTTAGAACATTAATATTTATCAAATTACAAACCACGTGATATTTTTTTTGGAAGAAAAAACATGTGAATATACTAGAAATAACTCTTTTTAATATCAGGAAATTACTTATAGGAATAAAGAAAATCAATAAAATATATCTTTCATATAAAAGTACTTTATTTACTAAAAAGTGAACACTTTAATTTACTATGGTTAAATGTTATACTAGTAGTAAACTATTGTACATTTTTTAAAATAATTATATGCAAGTCAATCAAAAGCTTATTAAAGCCTGTATTTTAATTGACTTGAAATAAAGCTGTTTAATAACTATTTACTATCATACAATTTTTTTCTGTTTGAATTATATTTTTAAACCTTTTTAAATCGGGGAGCATGGTTAACAACTATAAACAATCAAAATAAAAAAAAAACACTTTAATTATAAAACAAGAATATCAAGTCAGTCTCGTTGAAATTCACCATTTCGTCAATTCTATGGTCCATATAACATTCATCAGTAAATAAAGTCTATCATTAAGTCGAATTTTGACATTTTCAAACAAATAGTATGGCTATTATTTTCAGATTATTCGTGTATAAATTTTACCCGATCACGAAAAGGAACATTCAAGGGTTTGACCGATGGAAGAGGGTATGATTACTCCTCCATAGCGCATGATCCCGCCTCTGGTGAACTTCTAGATGTCCGTGTCTGCTCTGCTCCTGATTTGTACTGTTCAGTGGACTTTTGAACATGATTACTATTGGTCATCTTCATACTAGAAACCGTTCACGGTAGTTCAGTCGGTAGAGCGCTCACTCCGTGATCGGGAGATCGTGTCTCGTCCGCGACTGTCTGACCTAAGTCGATAAAAAGTGGATAGCAATTTTCCTTCGCCATGCACTCGGCACCTGAAATGAGAGTTACGGATCCTTCGGATGAGACCTAGCCTTAGAAACTAAGGTCCTATGTCACGATAAAGATCCCTCACTACTCAATGGCCCCGAGTGCCCAGTAAAGGTCAAAATTTGAAGCCCTTTACCGGTTTATGGTGACGTCTCTACATAAGTGGAAAATTCTCGAATGGGACATATGACATACAATCAATCCATTACTAGAATTTCATTTGCAAGGGATGTTGTGTTCATTAGGAAACCAGTACCGTATGGTGATTCAGACTCACTTTAATTCTTGGGAATATTAAAAATATTTGTTATATTTTCTCAATATTAAGGGAGTTTCAAGTATATGCGTATTTTTTATCTCATCCGAGCTGAAAGCTCTTGTGAGCTATTCTGATCACAATCTGTCTGTAGTCCGTCTTTTTACCTGTAAAACTTTGTACATTTTCGACTTCTCCAGATCCACTGAACCAATTTCAACCAAACTTGCCACACCGTATCCTTGGGTGGAGGGGATTCATCTTCCCTTGGACACTGTCTCTGACCGTAACATTTTACTTGAGTATAAAAAAATAACCCTTGACATACTTTTCAACAGTTAGTCCCATCGATTTCATATTTCTTTTTTTAGCGGTTTCATATTTCAATTATATTCCCTGAGACGAGATTTTTCTTTGAGTCATAAACATAAATTTATCTCTTGATTTTGACCTTGGAGTTAGATCCGGACTGAGGTTCTATAAATGTTATATTCAATCATTACATTGTATTTCCTGAAATCCTTATTGAAATCCCGCGCAAGTGTGCCATACAGTAAAATCAAAACTTACAACACGACACTACTAATGCAACTGAATTTATTTGCATCATTGTGCATGTAGCGTGTTTTGTGTAAGATCTTTCCATGCTTCAACAGATTGACTATGACGGTGAATTTGATTTTATGGTTTTTCCAAGCGCAAAGTTTGAGGCAGTTTTCAGAAACTGCCCCCGGGGTATTGTAGGACAAAGAAAGGCCGGACAACCGGTTACGACCTGGATTCTTTGTGTGACAAAGATGGATACCTTGTTCCTAAACTTTTCAAACAAAAAAAATGTTCAGCATCTTTGAAACTAAAGTCCTGCATTATTAGTACCTAATTCCGACATGGACAAAGAACAAAAAATAGGCGCTCCCCCCGCGGTTTCTTTCTTTCTTTCTTTTTTTGCTAAAAATTTGTTTATGACAAGAATTTATCTTAATCCAATTTAGTACATAAATTGATAACATCTTAGATGGACCAATTCGTTATTTTTTTCTTTAATTACATGAAAATTATATATAAGATAAGAAAAATAATGAACAGTTTTGTGTATTAAATATATATGTACTTAATCACATCAGTATCTTTCTTTGTAGATTACCCTGATGCCGATCTTCTATGGACACGCCGAGAAAGAACTTATACTTCATGTCAACCAAAAACACAATTGCTGCCGAAAAGAGATTTTCAAGTTGCTGAAGAAAATCAAGGAAAATATTAAAAAGGAAAATCCAACAAAAATTGACAAATATTTGAGCTATCATCTAAAGATGTTTATGCATGGATTTTATGATCGACATAAAGATTTCTCCCAGGAAAATAAGGAACGTTTGTTCAAACAAAGTATTACAGAGCTTATCGGCTGTTTATGAGACGGAAAAATCGAAACTCATTTTATTTCAAGTGACAGTGTTGCTCACAAATTATGTAAAATACAAGAGAAGTGCTAAATGTAAAATTTCTGTCAATTTCTTTTTTTAAGTGATAATTGGATAAATTTAACCTCATATATGTACATGTATGTTATAAAGCCCTTTGAAAAAACAATAGACCCATGGGCCTTATAGGTCACCTGAGCATCATGCAACAACTTTCAAATGATTGAAGTTGGTTCAGGTTTTAAGCTAGATGCTATGGCATTCACAATTTTAAAAGAAGCACCATTGCTAATCAAAACTATACACTTAGCAATTGGTTACTTTGTTTACTTAATACCCTTAGGCAGGGTAGGGGAAAATGCTTTCAGCTAATCAGTAATATTCAGCAACAATCAAAAGTACCCCTACCACACATGAACTCCTGACCCTAGGTCTACACATTGCACAATTTTGAAAAGGTACACTTGCTTATCAAAAATGTTTGATTAATACCAAAGAGCATATCAAAAATGTTTGATTAATACCAAAGAGCAGATTTCAAACAATTCATTTTCAGTATATAATAGAGCTACACCTCCCCCCCCCCACCCGTCTCTTTGGTATTCCTGACCCAGGGCTCCTTGAAAATCACAATACTGGAAGAAGAAACTTTGCACATCATGACTTGAAAGGTAGTTCATCTCCTTATTACCCTGGAGCAGAGAAAAAGATTTTCATAGATGTAATGTATTTTCACTATATAATCATTATAGAGCCCCGTCCTAACACCAGAATCCCTGACCCTGGGGTCATAAAACTCACAACTCTTGCTCATCACAATTATGTACTTAGTTTATTCAGACCTAGGAGCAGAGAAGAAGAAAATTTTCAAAGAATTAATGCATTTTCACTATATAATCAATAGAGTCCCACCCTAACACCAGAACCCCTGACCCTGGTGCCATAAAATTCATAATTTTGGAGGAGGCACTCTTGCTCATCATAGCTATGAACTTATTTAGTTCATTTAATGCCCAGGAGCAGAAAAAATGATTTTGAAAGTAATAATGCATTTTTACTATATAATCATTATAGAGCACAGCCCTATATAACACTGAAACCCCTGACCCTGGGGCCATGAATTTCACAATGTTGGTATAGGCACTCTTGCCCATTATAACTACACTGTAGATGTACTTGGTAAGTTTATTTAATGTCCAGGAGCAGAGAAGATTTTCAAAGACATAATGCATTTTCACTTTATAATTAATCTATATAGCCCCGCCCTAGCACTAGAACCCCTGACCCTGGGGCCATGAATTTCAAAATTTTGATAGAGGACTCAATGCTGATTACAATCATACCAACAGTCTGACTGCTTGATGTCCAGGAGTAAAGAAGAATTTTAAAGGTTGTACTAATTATAGTGATTTTGGTCCCAACCCCTAGGCCCCAGGGGACAGGGACCATGAAAATCGCAATTTTTGTTCCCCTTTGCCCAGAGATGTAATATGCCAAAAATTAGTTGAAACTGATTAAGCGGTTTCAGAGAAGAAGCTGAAAATGTTTAAATGTTAACGCACGACGAACGACGACGGACAAATATTGATACATGTAGCAATTAAAAATGAAGGAGTATTAAATTTTGTACCAAGTAAATGCACTTTGAAAATGTAAATTCTTTCAAAAGTTTCATGCGATTTATGAATAAAATTTGAAGAAAGAAATGTGCATGCAAAGAATTAAGATTTTCTCCCTCCCTCCCTCTCTTTCTCTGTGAGAGGGAGGGTGTGTGTGCATGATTTTTTTCCTAGTTTTTCGTTAAAAAGAAAAGAGGTTTCAAAATCATTGTATTAAAAGAATTAAAAGTTATTGCAAAATCTTTCTTAAAAAATTATTCAGAGTAAAAAATTCGAAATACAAATGTTACATATATGTTATATAATGTTACATAATGGTATAAACTGTCAATGAGCAATGAGTGGCTTATTACTGTAGACGGTCTTATGCATACATCTGATTGAGTACTGCAACAGGCGATATTTCATCAGAGTTAAGGTACATTGATACTCTGATAAGAGAGATAACTATTAATGACATATTATTCCTTTATAAATTTGCCAAGCTGAAATGTTTTTGTCCAATAATGCCTTGCAAGCCATGCTATAATTGTTTGTATTTTACTAAGCATAAACACTTCCTTTGGGAAATCACAAGAGTTAAAGATACATTATATATGAGTGAGCAGAGGGTTTATATATGAATCTTAATATTCTTCATGAGAAGTGGTCTATAACTGCACCTGCCATATTTGACATTTAAGTTGGAAAAAAAGTTTTCATATTGAGTGACCATTTTTCTGTACCCCACATTCAATTCACACAGGAGTCACATGTTCAGCACCATATTGGGCCACTCCAATTTTTTTTCTACATTTAGCGTCCACATGCACCTTAAGTTATTAACATCCCATTTGAGAAAAAAACAACAAAATCAGGAGACCCAAATTCGATTATTTTTGTTAACAAGAGGCCCATGGGCCACATCGCTCACCAGAGTAACGTTGGTGATGCAGTTCTTTACCAGATTTGCCCTCTTCTTACATCTAGGAGATTTTTCCACTGGTTCTTGAGAAAAAGATTTTTAAAGATTTTTCCTATAGATTTCTATGTAAAACTTGGATTCCCCATTGAAGCCCCACCCAACCCCCGGTGTCATGATTTTTACAATTTAGAATCTACACCACCCAAGGATGCTTCCACGTAAGTTCAGCTTTTCTGGCCCACTGGTTCTTGAGAAGATTTTTTAATTACCCAATCTATTTTTGTATTTTCTTGATTATCTCCCCTTGGAACGAGACCTGGCCCTTTATTTTAAAAATTTAAATTCCCCTTCACCCAAGGATGCTTTTTATTAAGTTTGGTTAAAATTTGCAAAGTGGTTCTTGAGAAGATATTGAAAATGTGACAAGATAACAGACGGACGGACAGACAGACAGACAGACGGACAGCTAGACAGACGACGGAGAATGGGTGATCAGAAAAGATCACTTGAGTTTTCAGCTCATGTGAGCTAAAAACTGTGAATCCTGTCAATTTCTTTAAAAATTGTGTACAATTTACGTCATAGTAAGTGTATTTAAAGCAATTTAAACCTTGATTTTGCTAAAATATAGTTCTAGGGGTGGACCAGATCAATGAAATCAAATCCTACAGTAGAACGACATCAAGTTTGTGGGTTTTATTTTAAGTTTGTATGCTTTTTGAAAATAGGTATCCTGGTTTTTGAAAGATGGCTGGATGCTAAACATAGAAAAAAAACTTGAAAAGGCCTTACTGCAACCAAATTAAACAATGTGTTGGTTAAAATCTAAAGAAAAATTACATGTGAACATGCCCATTATTGCATCCAATATAACACTCACACAGTAAATCAAACATGAAAATTGAATTGAAAAAAAAATATGGAGTATGTGGTTCATTTATCACATCCAACATAACATATAACATGCATGTACTCATTAAATCATGCATTAAAACAAAAACAACTAATCATTTACATATGGAGTGGTGAATTGTCACATCCTGACCACCTTAACACTCATATAGTAAATTAAACAAAAATATTTGAAATCAAATAAATATTTACACATGGAGCAGCCAATTGCCACATCCAACATAACACTCACATAGTAAATCAAACATGGAATTGGAAAAAAAATATATTTACACATGGAGCGGCCAATTGATGCATCTAACATAACACACAAATAGAAAATTAAACACAAAAATTGGTAATGAACATTTTTTTTATATATGAAGCAGTCAATTTTCACATCCAACATACACATGTAACACTCACATTGTAAATTAAACACAAAAATTCAAATACATATTATTTACATATTTACATATGGACCACAGGCTTTTGGATCGCTTAAAAAAATTTGTGTGTGTAAAAAAAAATAAAGGTACTGAACTCTTACACTGGGTACCTAATTTCGCTAATAAAATATTTTTTATTCTAATGCTCTAAAATTCTACTTTCTATTTAAATCTATTCATAGATAAACATTCTTCAATTCTACCAAAGCTCATTCCGTTCCGTATATTTATTGAGATATTCTGAAATCAATTGCAAAAATGACCTACTTTCTGTTACACATAGCTTGGGCCCCTGGTCATTCACGTGTAAACAGACGGTGTTTGAAGTGCGGCGAAGAGTTGCATAGTATTTGCAAAATCTTTCAACAATTTAAAGTTGATTTCTTACGCCAGATTGTAATTAAGTCCGTAATAATATTCAAAAAATTATTTGAAAACGTCTACATCAACAACTACCGCCATGTTGATTATGAAAGTAAATGAAGCCATGAGAACGAATTTTTCCCGGAATGCATTATATACCTTTCGATTTTCAAAACAATAAGACCGCTAAAATGTTGTTTGTGACATAACACTTACACCATATGATCAAATTAAAGAAAATCCTTGTAAAGCTCGAATGCGAATGAGCAAATATTCATTGAGTTTAGAATAAATTCCGGGGAAAATTTGTCCCGTCGTTCCTGCTTTACAATTAGTGAGGGCCCAACTGATGTCGACAAAAAAAATAAGGTCAATTTGGGAATTGATTTCAGCATATCTCGAGAAGTATAATGAATTACGGAATGAACTTTGGAAGTAATGGAGATTTTTTATATATGAATAGATATGGATAGAAAGTAAAATTATAAAGCATTTGTTTTAAAAGAATTTTATTGGCGATATACCTTTATTTTTTTTTTTCAACACCTCAATTTTTTTTTCTAAGCGATCTAAAGGCCTGTGATATGGACTAACCAACTGCAGCATCCAATATAACACTCAAATTGTAAATTAAACACAAATATTGACAAAGAATTATTTACATATGGAGCGGCCAATTTCCGCATCCAACATAACACTAACATTATAAATTAAACACAAAAATTGAAAAAAAATTATTTACATATGGAGCGGCCAATTTCCACATCCAACATAACACGCAAATTGTGAATCAAACACAAAAATTCATAAAAATAAATATTTACATATTTACATAAGGACTAGCCAACTGCAGCATCAAACATTACATACACAGTGTGTAAATTAAACCCAAAAATTGAGGAAAAAAATTATTTACATATGGAGCAGTCAATTTCTGCATTCAGCATAACACTAACATTTTAATTATAAATTAAACATTAAAATTGAATAAAAAAATATTTACATATGGAGCAGCCAATTTCTGCATCCGAGTATCCGACATAACACACAGTAAATCAAACATCAATTTTTTAAAATTACATATGGAGTGGCCCATTACCACAAAGAATTCACACAGTAAATCAAACTTGAAAATTGAATGCAAAAAAATTATTTACATATTGAGCATCCCATTGCCCCATCAACAAAATAATAACACATTGTGAATAACGCATTGTAAATCAAACATGAAAATTGGAGAAATATATTATTTACATATATAACGAAATAAAAAGTGTAAAGGACACCTGCTCCAAACAATAAATGTTCCTCAATCTTCATTCTTCAAGTTTGTGATACAACAACAGCGTTCCTGTGCATAATTGGTTGAGAGTCGAAGCCAAGTACGGGACAAAATTTTCAGCTCTGAACCTGCAAGTTTTTTTTTTTTTCAGAAAGGGTTGATATCCCCAATTTTTTCCTGTACGTGATTAGGACAACATGTCATCCCAGCTGGGATAATGATTTCATTAAAAATAAATATGTCATACCTTATAGGAACAACAATAAGCTTTTGGTCCAGGTCTCTTACAGATAAAGAAGAAAAGTGACCTCTTTGATGAGCTGGGAACAGTATGTATCATGGTAAATACATGAATTTGCCACAGGCAAAACATTTGTCGCTGTCAGCAGAAGCAAGGTCAGGTATACATATGTAATAATTAAATCAGTACAATAAGTCACACATATTCACCTCAATGTTAGTTGCAAATCAGGAGTACAAGTAACATGGAATGTTGTATCAATTGTTTGCCAACACAAGTAACACTGTGGCTTGAAGGTTGATTCTGGTAGTGACTTTTCAAGTTGCCTATTTGGAGCTGTCCACCTCCAATGGTACCAGAACCTGTCTGATCTCCAAATAAGGTGTCCTTAAATTAGGAAGAACCACCACAAAATTTTCTTCCAAACTGAGGAAGTCTTTTGTATTAAGGATAACAAAACACTTCTCTTTGATTGCAGTCACTAGGAAATGCAAGACTGATCTTATGGTTGAATGTAGTGTACCCAATCAAAAGGAAAGCAGGTCGGACACTGCCAGGTCACAATGAATACAGGAAGAAGGCAAAATTTTTTCTCAATGCTGTTATGCTGAATTATTAATAGCAATTAAGTTAAAAATCCTCTGCCAACACAAATTCTGTAGTCATCATGTATCTATAGGTTTTGTCATTTTGTTGCTACTGGAGATTAATGAACATTCAGAACACAATACATGGATTGAACATGATTCATAGTTTATGTTATGACTAAAACATTAGTTCATCTTCCATGATGCGGCTTGTTTCGATGTTGATGCGATTGGCTTTTTCATCATTTTGCATTACAAAGAGGATGTAATCATTGCTTAATTCTTCCAGCAAATCATTAATGTTGTTGCCCTTTAATGGTACTGCAGTGCCATCTTTGTTTTGATGAATACTCATTTTCTGAAGAGTTCTGTTCATGGTTAAAAATTTTCTTAATCCATAAATCGTAATTTTCGGACATGCTTGGAAAGACAGACTAATTAAACCCCTCTTTGCTAGAGCAACCAAAGAATTATTTGTCAATTGATAGATGCCTTTCAATATCAATGCATTTAGTAAAGTTAAATATTTAGACACAGCAAGAATGCTCTTGTCTGTTAACTTGCAGTTAAAAGCAAGATCAAGGCCTCTTATTTCTGGACAGAATTGACAAATCTTCAGGATATCCGAATCAGAGATGCTGCTACAGTTAGAAAGTTCAAGTGTCTGAATCCAGGAGTGGTCTGAGGAGGAATGGAAAGGGAGGGGTGGATCCCAGACCTTTACGGCAGAGTCATTTTGTTGGTTTTCTGTTGCGCTTTGTTTAATATCGGCATCAGTAATCCCATAAATACTTTTGATTTTCTGTTGGCCACTTATAATCTTTGGGCAAATCCTTGTTTCACAGAAAGTGGAACAATTGCATTGAATATCAGTTGCGTTTGTTTCCTCAGATATTTGGTTTAAGGAGCCAACAGGCATTTCAGGAAATCTCTTTTCCTTACATAAAACAATTTCTTTTAATGCATGACAACCACGCATTGGTATCTCCTGTAGCCATGGACAGTTCATCACAACACAGCTGAATCCAAAGCCTGTTATGTGATGACAACCGCTGAGGTCTACAACGTGCAGTCCTTGACAATTATGTGCAAGTTCCATGACACCAAGATCTGTAATGCCTTGACATCCACTGAGATTAACAACTCTCAACTGTGTGCAACCTTGTGCAAGAGCACAGATTCCCTCATCGGTTACAGCTGACACACTGGAGTCGCCAATACTCAGTTCTTGTAAATGCCTGCAGGTTGACAAATAGATCAGTGCTTTGTCATTTATGAATGTGTTTTCCCACCTTCTATAAAAGCATTGGTTTCTACTTTTGTAGAAAATTTCATCTTCTCTAGCTATAAACTTTTTCAGAATAGGACATTGGTCACTGATGATCTGATAAACCTCCTCAGTTATGTTTGTACAGTTCAACAGTGTTAGCTTCTGTAACATCTTACTAGCACAAGCCGATGAAATAATGTTCTTGAAATCTTGTGTTTCCAAATAACAGTTGTCTAACACCAATTCTTCCAGCGAGGCCAGTGCAACATTTATCTTAATTTCTTCTGTGCCTCTCATCTTGTTTCCTAGAATTTTTAACGATTTCAAGTTCGGACATTTTTCGAAGATGGTTCGAATGGTTTGCTCACTTCTTCCACTGAGTGAAATGTTTAAATATGTCAGCTCTGGATGGGCAATAACAATTTTCTGCAGCTCTGCATTCCATCTACGGCTATTGAAAGTAACGATACCTTCCTCCATGTAAAAGTCGGGGAAATCACCTGTTCCCTCGCACTCTATTATTGTTAAACGTTCTAATTTTGGTAATTTTCTTACTGCAGGCATCACCATCTCAGAAGTGTCTAAGTCAAAATATGCGTTTTGGTCACTGGTGACCTCAGTCACAAATGAATATTTTTCCAAAAGTTTCAGGAAATTTGTTAAAGATAAGTCTGAATTGACAAGGTGAATTCCTTTTAAATTCGGGCAGTTTACATCCTCCCTCAAAAACACAAGTGGACCATTGAATCCCCAAGTTGAAGAATCTTCATCATCATCATCGTCATTCTCTAGTAATTGGTTTGGTCCGCTATATAATGTTGCATATTTTTCAATGTTTGAGGCAAGTTTGGAATTATTAGAATATTTTGCCCGAATTCTTAAAAATTCCAAAGCCTCAAGATTTCTTGCTACAAATTTGGCCCGCCCCAGGAAATCTTCCTCCTCTAGACTTTCTGTCACCCATTTAATGGCTCCTATTGTGTTCCATAAACATCTTTTGTTACTAAGATTGCGCCAGCGAGAGCATACTAATTTGATGGAATGTACAATATCGTAAAATGCCAGGTAGGAAAATATCATCAAAAGAACTTCATCAGGTAAATCAGATATTCCGGCTGGCATTTTGGCTGAAAAATAAAAAGGATCATTGTACAGTTTTCTAATAGTTGAATTTTTTTTTTTTTTGGAAAAAAATATGCTAAAGGCTGAATGTTTGTTTTCCCTCTACTGACTCAGGGTAATTTAAATTGGATTGGTTGGTAGCAAATTTTTTTCCCCAGAAGAATTCAATGTAACACACTGACTGTTGATTGGATGAGAAAATTAAGGGATAAAAACTTGTTTACTGGAAATATGGAATCAGGAATGTTTAACAAAAGTTTTTTAATTTTAGTCAGTCCATTCTGGGCCTGTTGGTCTGGAGAGGACACACATACATTTTTTTAGAAGATGGCCTAACTGCAAAACCAAAGTAACCAAAACCAAAGTACCGAGACTTAAGGTATACCTTTACTCAGAAGACTAAAAATTCCACTGAGAAGAACGAAAAACTACCTACTGCACATTATACTACACCTATGATTCTTGTGTTAATTTTCAATTTCAAATAACTAGGTCAATGACCTACTTTTCATGCTAGTGGCCCCTGATTATTTCTCGGAAAATACCCCAATTTTTCACCTTATGACCAATTTTTTCTTCACTTACAAAATATTACAAGCAACAAAACTCTTCAAATAATGAAATAGTATAGCAATGGAACAGGGATGCTTCATAAAAAGAAACGATAAGACTTTGGGCCATAAACTTGATAATTATTTCAGTCTGAATTTCCTCTGTCATATTTATATTTCTTTTTCCATTTTTAATTGAATATTACAAAAATCTGAATGATAAAAACTCCAAATTATTTATAGAATCAAATTCCTTTTGTTGCCCTAATTCTCAAAGTATTAATATTATATGGGGTCAATGATCAAATTATTGAGATATCGTGTCTAGAATGGTTTTTGTTCATATTTTTGAATTTCTTTATTTCATAGCATTTAATTATTTGAAATAATTTATGAGCTTCAACACATAAAATTTGCAAAATGCTGATTAGAAATATATGTCACCTTCACATTGTTATCAATATTGCAAAAAAATTTTGACAAAAATAAAAAAAAATAGAAATTTAGTCTGAATTTCCTCTGCATTACCATACATTGACTTTTTTTCTGTATATTTCCTTAAAATAATAAAATATTAAATTTTCAAATTGATATTGAGTTAAAACTTGGTTGTTTTATCCATTTGGAACAATTTTTGATTTAAAATGATTATCATACTTTATAAAATTTCCTGTCTGACTTCTGAAACCTGAGTAAACATCATCTTTAAATCATCTATAATAATATGGTACAGCGGTACATGTACATGTGTAGCATCTACCCTAGAGTTGTGGAAAAGTCGAGTGTAGGAATCCACTGCAGGACAGAGAACAGTCCTTCTATTTAAACTGTGTATAAACTGAGGAACTGAACATATGACTCAGTTAGCGACTTACTCATCAAAAATGTTATCTTTTTCCCTTAAATACTTCATCGACGAGAGATAGCCTTAGGGCTTTTATATTTGACAGGTGCTTGGTGCATTACCTGGAACAAGATGTGTCTGAGTATGCCATGATTTCTGACCCCTTGACCTTGTCCTTCATGTTTGACCTCATACACCATATAGATAGTTTTCGATTGACCTAAATTTAGCAAGAGTTACTTCCCGTTGGCCACCATACTGGAGGTCCAAATGCTCATTTTCCTTCATTGTTCAACCAATTTCAAATTTTTATATTTGCAATTTTGAATTAGGAATCATTATTTTTCTGAAGTATATAAATTTTTGAATGCCTCCTTTAATTAAAAAAAAATTATCTTATAAAGATTTTCCTCAATATTTCTGCTATATTTTCTTAAACATGGTAAGACAAAGAGGAAAACTCACCATTCGACCTCCAATATGGCGACCAACAGGAGGTAACTTCTGCTAAATTTAGGTCAATCAAAAACTATCTATATTCAAGAAATTCAACTTTTGAAATTACCGGTACTTTTGAATGACATTTGAAAGGGTGCACATGTTCATGTTGTTACAATATGCCATAAATAATGGCATCCCATCCCATTGAATGATAGTTCTGCATTCCTGTTTTGAAAGATTATTTACAAGTTTTATAGTAACTATACATGTACATGTATGTACTATGTGTAAAACAGAAGTGGGTCCTGGGCGAAGCCCTGGTGGAGAGCCAGGGAGAAAAACCCCAGAAGCTCTGGGGTTTTGTGTATTTAAGAGTAAAACCTGGCACAATTATAGTGGTGTTGGTTATTACCGCTATGAACCAAAGTATGACATTATTAATACTGGTCATATCATACTTTGAATGAAGGGGGTCTAGGGCTTCGCCCCCTGAAGCTCTTCGGTTTTTGTGTATTTTAAGGGTAAAACTAGGCACAAAAATATTGGTATTGCTCCAAAGTATGGCATAATTATTATTATTCGTATCATACTTCGAAATTTTAATACTATTAACCATAATGAAATTAAATATTAGTGTCTATCAAAGTAATTTAAAAGTAAAGCTTATTTTGTGTACTTACCAGATTTGTATTGCTGGTATGTCTTTGTTTGTTAACACTGATAAACTATTGCAGACAGGAACACGTGTTTTGCATCCGAAAGTTTCCTGTGTAAAATCAAGCATATAGGGTATCTGTACGATAAGTAAACATTAGCACACTTTAGAAAATGGTGAATACTGTAAATAGACAACAGTGCCACAATATGAGAAAATCCAAAATCAATTTAAATTGCAATATTTGTGAAAATGTAAAGATTCAGTTCACATATCAAGTTACTTATGGCGCGAAGAGAGTGTTACTGAATTCTCGCATCGCGAACCCGATCACAAACAAGTCTCGGTGCCAATCAGAAATTATAATATTTCGTGCGCAGAGTTATTACACAAAATGATACAATTATTTCATTCTCCATCGAAGTTAATATATCATTTAAATTGAAGTGAATTGTGTGTATCTTTTTATGCATTGAACGTTTTAAAAAAACAGAAAAGAAAAATGCCAGGGGTTAATATGTTTTTGGAGGATGAAATCATAGGCACTCCCCATTAATTGTTTAAAAAATATATCTACTATACTATAAACGTTTTGTTTATATTATAGTAGATATATTTTTTAAACAATTAAGATGGGGAGTGCCTATGTTTATAGTATAGTAGATATATTTTTTTAACAATTAAGATGGGCAGTGCCTATGTTTATATAGTATAGATATATTTTTTTTAACAATTAAGATGGGGAGTGCCTATGTTTATAGTATAGTAGATATATTTTTTTAACAATTAAGATGGGGAGTGCCTATGTTTATAGTATAGTAGATATATATTTTTTTAAACAATTAAGATGGGGATTGCCTATGTTTATAGTATAGTAGATATTTATATATTTAACAGTTAAGATGGGGAGTGCCTATGGATGAAACCAGGGACGCATTAGTTTGTCAGAATAATCTAACTGTCACATAGTGTGTCTCGGGACAAGCCTTCACCCGGTTCCGTATAGGGCATTTATCATTTTAACGACGGAACATTCATCTAGGGACATATAATATAGTTTTAGCATTGGCGTCTGAAGCAAATTGAAAGGGTTGAGAGAGTATGGAATGCCATATACAACAGCCAACCGCTTACTGCCAACTGCTGACTGCTTACTGCCAACTGTCAGCTGCTTACTGCCGACTGCCACACATATCTGAGTAAATTTTATATTTGTAGACTATTGATATTTATATGAATTTTCACAAAAAAAGGAAAAAAAGAAGGCACGGATCCAGGACATTTTTTCCAAGGGGGTCACCCTGGTAAAATTGAATTGAATAAAATGACCAATATTTTTTTCTCTTATGTAATATTCAATATATGCGGTTGATAAAGTACATTGTTTATTTTTTTATTTGTTTTCCTATTTGAAATAGGTAATAAAATGACTATTTTCTGCTTTTAATCTTTAAAGAAGCCCCCCCCCCTCCCCCGGAGACAACAAAACCTTTGAAGAGAGAATATTAGTAAAAAAAAAAAGATTTGTCGTTTCGCAGAGAAAGATGTTTTGAAAATAAATTTCCGTTTTCCATTATATTCCATAGTTAAAAATTTCCTCAAATTAAAGATGTATATCTCTGTGTGTTATAATAAATTTTCACATGCATAGATCTTGGAGGGGGGGGGCATTTAAAATTTGTACAGTCATACGTTAAATAAACTAAACGAACTACCGGTATAACTGACCTTGGACCCTCCACTTAGAAAACGCCGATCAAACATTTATATCTCTTTGTTTGTTTGTACAAATAAAATATATTTTACATGCATAGATCTAGAGAGAGGGGTCCGGAACACCCCTCTGAAATTGTAAAGTTATTTAATGCACAAACTAAACCAACTAAAAGTTATATATTTAATGTATAAAATAAATCAACTAAAAGGGACCTTCAGGCACGTAGTATCAGGGGGGGCCCCCACCCCCCACCCCTCCCCAACCGATATAATGTGGAAAAAAATTCGTGTACCCCCCCCCCCCCCCCCCCCCCCACGAAATAGGATTTTCGAGTAAGTTTTTTTTTTTGGGAAGTTGGTATTTTTTTTTTTTTTTTTTTGCTTGAAAAATGTCATACACATGAAGGTATGTGTTAAGTTGGTATGAAAAATGTCATACACATGAAGGTATGACCCTCCCCGGACGAAATAATTTTTCACATTTAGGAAAGGACTTTACGTATTTTTTTCTTGTCAAGAAATTTCTGGGTTGGATTTATTTTTTTTACCAGAGTGACCCTCTTGAAAAAAATATCCTATAGATCAGCGCCTTTTTTTTTATTTACATAAATATCAATATAAAAATAAAATTTATTCAAATATGTGTGGCAGTCGGCAGTAAGCAGCTGACAGTTGGCAGTAAGCAGTCAGCAGTTGGCAGTAAGCAGTTGGCTGTCGTATATGGCATTCCATAAGAGAGAGAGAGAAAATCAAACACACACACACAAAAAAAAAAAAAAAAAAAAAAAAAAAAAAAACTTGACAAGCAAAAATAAAAGGGGGACAATATACACCTTGTCCAAACACGAAAATTCTATTTCGTTACCGCTTTCCTATAGATATAATGAAGTGAGAAAAAAACCTTGAGTTCAAAATTTTGACTCCTCGTCTTTATTTGGATTTATTTATATTTTAGATTTAAATACTTACGCAACCCCAAGAGTGTGTGTTTATAGTTAATTTGGAACTTCAGTTATTTTCAGTGCAAATCCCTTTGTACAATGTTGTATTCTTTGCCTCCCCCCCCCCGGGTTCCGACACCTATGATTAGTAAATATCTATGGGTCCATAGTGTACTGTATATTTTTAGCCCAGCTGAGCGGAAAGCTCAAGTGAACCGTTTTCTGATCACTCAATGTCTGTCTGTCCGTCTGTAAACTTTTCACATTATCAACAGAACTTCTTCTCAAGAACTAATATGGGGCCAAATTTAAACAAACTTAATAAAAGCATTCTTGGATAAAGGGGACTTTCATTTATAAAAATGAAGGGTCAAGCCCCTTTCAAAGGGGGACTAATCAAGAAAAGACGTAAATAGGGTGGGATCATTAAAAATCATTCTTCTCAAGAACCACTAAGCCAGAAAAACTGAAACTTATGTGGAGGCATCCTTAGGTAGGGTAGATTCTAAATTGTTCAAAACATGACCCCCAGGGCTAGAGCGGGGCCATGATGGGGAATCCAAGTTTTATATTGAAATATATCTAGGAAAAATCTTTTACTGGCCGGAAAATCTGAAACTTATTTGGAAGCATTCTGGGATAGATTCTACATTTTCCAAATACGCGTAATAATAGGGCCACATTAGGTAATATAAGGGGGAGAATCTGGCGAAGAACAGCATGGCCAGTGACTCAGGTGACTGCTGTGGCGTATAGGCCTCTTGTATATTAATAAAACAATACAGATTTCATACAGATGTACAATTACATACCATGTTCTGAAAGACATCGGTATTATAACATTTATACATAGGCACCCGACATTACTTATTTTTCTTTTAATAAAAAAAATACTGTAGATGTACTTTTTTCCACGGGGCCATAATTCTGCGGAATCTCAATTTCTGTTTAATCTGCGTGTAGAAAATTACGCGGATTTCCTAGACTGTCACTATATGTCTTACATTTATAAAAAAAATACTAGTATACCCATACCTAATAGTTTATATTTACTAAAAGAAAAATAAGTAACGTCAGGTGCCTGTGAAGAAAAGGTAATCAGAACAAGTACATCTTTAAATTGATAAGGAGATGGTACTCTTTTTCAACTTTATTAAAAATCAACAGTTTGGCCATTTTATGGCAATCAAATATAACAAAAACAAATATTGCTCAATGTAAAAATTGTTTACATCTTTGGTTGCTTTTCATTCATTTATTGAAAAGGAGATTACCCAGCAGTGATTGCACTTATAATTGGTGTTAATTTGATATTATTTCTAAATCTAAGTCTCTCTAGAGTTACATATACTGTAAATATGTATACCTTGAATGATTAATCAACCTTACCCATAGGTTTGACATAGTTCATTATTGCCCTATATTGTAGGGGATTGTCCCAGAAAAACGTCTACTACATGTAGATATTTTCAATATTTTTTGTCTCTGTAAAATCATAACTTTAACAATTGACATGCACCATAATTAACTTTTTAAAAAATATTACACAGAAATTTCACTAAAATATCTTCATAAATAACATTTTTCTCTCTGAGAAAAGGATTAACTTTCATATTCTGAAAAAAAAATTTCAATGAATTTTTAATGTACACTGAACAATGACTTTGGCAGCTATAATCAAAAGTTTATATAATATGTAATACACCCACATCACATTCTGCTCTTGGATATATGATTGGCCCACTGTGAGAATGGAACATCATTTTCTGCCAATTTCTTCAGAAGTCGACTAGGAACCCAATGGATGCTGTAGGCTATAATAAACAAAATGTTCTATATTTAAAATACTGTAAAAATCATTTATTTTAAGGTGTCTATTTTTGGTGATTCAAGAAAAATATTATCATCATTGGTTGTACATGTACAGTACTCGCGATAGTTTAATTAGAATTTTGACTTCTTTGGGATTTTCTAAAACATGAATTTATTTGTCTCTTCATACTATGAAACATTGAAAATTAAACTCCTTGAAGTGAATCAAAAATATGCCTAAAATGTCTTTCCATCATTGGAATTTTAATACATCTATCTTTACTCAACCTTACAAGTACAATGTACATGTAATCATTTTTTTTTTAATTCTTTAGTTTCATTTTTTTTCTTAGCCTCTAAAAATAACCTCATATTTACACTTAAAAATCTTATATCATAAATAGAAAAAGAAATTGGCAAACCTCAGAGTTCAACACTTTAGAGAGCAAATGTTTTTGAAATATTTCTTATGAACTTACGACATGTTTCATGATAGTGGCATATTCTGTCATAAACTCTCTTTAGTCCTATCTGACTGGCATAAAACATCGGTCCACCTCGAAATTTTGGATAACTAAAGCCATAAATCCTGTAAAATGCAAAAATTTTTGACAAATGGAATACTTGCTTAAGAAAATTTCCACAAAAAAAAAATAATGGAGTTTAATAAAGTTTTTGAATTGTTGACCTACACACTTTAACCCTAAATTTTCACAACAGAAGAGAAAAATTCAAAATATGTAAAATTTTTCCATAAGTAAATATAAATATTTATTCTTGATCACTTTCCCCAATTCTTCTTTCCATGAGTATTGAAGAATCACTTTCACCAATTCTGTTTAATTGAATTCATTTTGTTTGGAACTCACCATGAGATATCAATTTCTTCTGGAGTGTTACATATTCCCTCTTCTAAAATCCTAAATCCCTCATTGATACACGAATAGAATTGCCTCTCAAAAATTTCCTGCCAAAAAGCATATAGCTTATCAAGTGAGTTTAATACTTAATTTTTGACAAGAATTTTGTTTTTATGAGAGATAGTCTCCAAAATCTGTAAATAAACTCTTAACCAATACTTGTTCACAATTAAGATTTTAGTACAGTAAAACTTGGTTAGTACGAACATAAAAGTCATAAATATTGTAAATTTATGGATATAGCGAAGTTATCCTGGATCCCCAGCTATATAAATTTAACAAATTTCTTATAGGGATATAACGAATTACGGATATAGTGAAAAAATTTCATAGATCAAAGTGATTTTGTTATAACCAATAAGTTTTACTGTATCTACAGTCAATCCTTGCTATCTGAGATAACCAAGCTACATAAAATTACAGGAAGAGAAAGAGTTGAACTGTAATATCTGTCCCACATTTTCCAAGTTTTGGAGATGCACAGTAGTCCAACTGTATACATGGATGTACAGATACTGTAAATGTATTACATTCAGCGAATACAATATTTGGCGCAAATTGACTTCTGTAAAAGTTAACGTAGATTTGAATTAGCGCATTTCTGTAAAAGACATTTAGCTTTGCACTTGAATTAGTGGAAGTTTTTTTGCCACCAAAACGCTAAAATGAAGACACACCCAAATAAAGTACAATTCTCAGTTAACCTTGGATTTTCAGTAAGGCGTGGTATTCTCAACATTACATAATCAGCATCTGAAATTTACACAGCCTTTCATTCACTTTTGAAATATACATGGAATAGAAATATGGGCCAATGTCAACAAGTGTAGCAATGATCCAATAACAGCGTTTCATACGGCAAAGAGGTGGGGCTTAAGTCATCTCATCGTTGTCAACAACAATTTAAAGTTGCTGATGTTATTAATTTCTTAACCAATGAGAATCTATTCGTCATTTGAGAGACATTACCCTTACTGAAAGTACATGTATAAGGATCTCAGAGAACTGTACTAATACATCTGCAGATATATGTTCTACCTGTGGGGTAATCTTCCTCTTTATTATCCCTCTTCTTTGTCTGTAACTGTTTATTATTTCTTCTGTCTCGGAATCAACTGTTGGAATTTTCCCTCCTACTTTTTCATACAAATACCATCCTTTACCTAAAAAATATTAAAGGAAATTACATGTAGGTATAAACTTTTGTGTCCTTAAGCTGTCATGCCATTTTAGATGACTTTTGTCCAAATACACTGTATTTACTTTTTGAAATAATAGTACTTTCCAGAGAATATACATTTATGTGTATCGCTCCCTTGAAAAAAGACCTAGAAATTCATGCCAGCCAAGCTAGCTCTCTTTAAAATTTGGAAAGTCAAGGTCAAGCTTCTCAAGCATGCTAGAGGTTCCCAGCTTTTTCTGTGTGTGTGTGTGCATAGGGATGTTAACCAAGGCTCTCACTTGTAGGATTAAGGTCAAGGATACATCAAAAGCTTGATAGAATCTTCCGTTTTTTCCAGGGGGAAAATCTTATTCATAACATCAAAATAATTGTTTGATTTTTTTTTTTCAAATCTCTCATGTTCATGCTGTACTAACCAGTTTTTCTTCCGTATCTCCCTTTCTCAAAGAAATCATCATTTAGTCCACAATATCTGTTGCCTCCTAGAAATTTGGTCTCCTTAGTGATTGTCGTACCCAGTGCCTTAGCAACCTCCCTGTTGATTCTCCAGCTGATATCAATCCCTGTAGATAACAATAGATAGATATCAGTTAAGAAATTATTTTCCCTTGATTTAAAAAAATATATTCATTCCTGGATTACAATGAGAAAAAAAAAATTGAGACATCCAAGTACTCATGTTATCAGGGGAAAGATTACCAAAAGATATCATTGTTTCAGATATCAAAGTCTAACTGTACACATCTAATACAATATCTTTTTTAAATATCACATAAAGAGAGTAATTGATAATTTGAAATTCTATACATGTAGATGGTTCACCTCACAGATTACATGTATGTATTCATATTTTGAATTGTCTCCTCACCCAGTGGTTTATAAATGTACCTGATAGATCTCGGACTTTGAACGGACCCATTGGCATTCCGAAATCTTCATTCACCTGATCTATCTCCTGTGGACTAGCTCCCTCTTCCACCAAGAATAAAGACTGAAAATTCCAGGCATCAGATTCAGTATTGCATTAGTTTATGTCTGTAATACTACACAAAGTCTTTTTTTTGCCCCTTTTTTGTTCTTGTTATAGTTACCATAGAAACATAGAGTACATAGAAGTTTGATTTTTTTTAATGACAAACCTCAGTGTTAAAGGGACCATTCATTCTGTTGGCCAAGAAACCATGGCAACTCTTCACCAAAACTGGAACCTATTGAATGGAATTATATAATACAAGAATGAAATGATTCAAATCAAGAATATTAACCAATAATCTCAATTACACTGCTTCTAAATGACATCTGCCAGGTGCATATTACTCAGACAAGATTCTAAAATTAAATTTTTGAGCAGGTACATGCATTTTGGAATTCTGTACATGATAGAAGGATATATAAGCCTTACTTTGTTGATCGTTTTCCCCAGCTTCATCACCGTGGCAACAGTGTCAGGTGATGTCTGAGTTCCGTAAATATTTTCCAGTAGCCTCATGTGATATGCCGGAGCAAAGAAATGAGTCCCCACAACTTTATCTGGCCGAGATGTTGCTGTTGATATCTGCAGTATATAATTTCACATTGGAAATTAAATTGCGAAAACTTATCTGTAAAATTGTGAAAACAATATCTTCAACATTACAAAATTTTTTTTGTGGGGTTATATAAAGTTTAAATGCAATTGAAAACATGATTATCTAGTTGACAGAGATGTGAAAAAAGAAATAAATTTAATATTTAACAAACTTATGAAAAATAAATTTTTACATTCAATTTCTTGCAAGATAACATTTTCAATTTCAACTCATTTTAAGGCTATATATATATAAAGTATACATGTACTAGGATATGAAAAAAAAATCTGTCATCAGAAAGTTAAGCACACCAGTTTAATATAATAAGGTCACAATCCATGACAGGTCAAGGTCATTGGGGTTCCATACTTACCCTATTAATGTCTATCGTAGATGTGTTGGTACACAGAATGGCTGAGGGCTTACAAATCTTGTCCAGCTTAGAGAACACGTCTCTCTTTAAATCTAAATTCTCAAACACTGCCTCTATCACCTTTGGATAAAACAAGAGAATTTTCAGTGTATATTTAAATTCATATTGTACAGTTGCTTGTACATCTATGTCACATGTCTACGTTCATGTGAATTTTTCTAATAACATGAAGTGGATATTTTTTTCTTCACTTTATTAATAAGAAGAAAACAGTTTACCAGGTCTACATCCTTGAGGTCACTGTAATTTTTAATTGGCTATTTGCTACACTAGATGACATTCAGCTGAATTTCCATGTGTATTTAAACTTTGAAGGAAAGCTGTGTACATTTCCAGACTAATTATGTTCTCTATCAAAGTTTCACTCCAATTGTTATATGAAACTGTGTATTTTTTTTAATATTTATAAAAGGTATATTTCTTTAATTATTTAAAAAACAGTTTACCAGGTCTACATCCTTGAGGTCACTGTAATTCAGTGTTGGTTTGAAATTCAATGTTTATATACAGTGTAACTCAAACAAGTTCACACTCCCAGACATGATGTTCACTTTCAGTATTCATACATTAAAAGCAAATAATTTTATAAAATAAAAAAATATAAAAAGTATTATAGTAAAAATAGAGTTTGGGAACAACTACTTTTTAATTTATACATACGATGTAACTGTAAAACAAGTTCAGTCTGTTTATGTGCACGTTCATATATATATTAAAAGTAAATACAGAAATATACATTTACATATACATTTACAGCAAATACTATTCATTTACATGCATTTCAAAAAATTACATGTATATATAATATATAAAAAAAACTTCATAATGCAAGCTCTATATAGCTACCACTTTAAAGAAGAGTCACCATTTTAAATCATTATCTGAATCAAAATCATACAGACCTTTTCGTTTTGTTCCAGTAGATATACGGGGAGACCTGCACTCAGTAAACACACAGCTATCCCTGACCCCATCGTCCCCGCCCCGATCACAGCCGTACTCCTCACGGGGAGGGGCTTAGCTGTCTTATAACTACCCCCAGGCATCACCCACTGAAATCAGAAAGGAATATTTACATGTAAATTATGTTTGATTTTTGTGAGAAGATATATAAATATAACCATGAATCTTTATCCTATTATTGTACATGTATTTAAATACATGTATAATGTCAAACTTTATCAAATCCAATACAATATTTGTGATTTTTTTTCTTTTTTTTCATTTTTTCACAATGATATTTTTCATTTTTTGTATTTTTTAAAAAATATAAAACATTATGTCAGCTATAATGTGACATAAAAACATTACCATTTTAAACAAAAAATCCAATCATAAAAAATAACTTGTATATTTTTTTTTTCTTTTAAAAAATATATGGATATAGTTCTTTTCATCTTTTGTTTGTTTATCTTAACTCTGACACTGACAGACGACCTTGACCCAGTAAAATGAAGCTTTTTTTGTTTGTTTGTCTTACCCTGAACACTGCCTAATGACCTTGACCCAGTATATCAGAGCTCTTTAAAAATTTGTTTGTTTATCTTACCCTTGACACTGACAGATGACCTTGACCCAGTATAATAGTCTAGAGCTCTTTTGTTTGTTTGTCTTACCCTTGACACTAAAAGATGACCTTGACCCAGTATAATGGAGCTCTTTTGATGTTGTTTGTCTTACCCTTGACACTGCCCTCTCAGCAAAAAATGCGTACTGTTGGGCCCTGGCCTGCCCGGAGCCTTGTAGCTGTAGGAACAGGTCCCTCTCTAACTTCATCCCCTCCTCATACGGAAGTTCTGCTGAGGCCCTTACAGTCTGTATACAGACCTGATGAACAATAGGAGGAAAAAAAACATTTTAATTGACAATCTTTATATCCAGGGTTTATGTAAATCTCAAAGTACTGGGTATCTTATGAGAACATAGTTTGAAGTAAAAGGATGCTTTCAAAAGTTAAATATTTTACCACTGGGGCTTCATATCCTTTGTATTTTTTCTTGACTTGAGCCATGGCCGCTGCAAAAGACCATTTTCCAATTAAAACAAAGTATATGTATTACATTATGCACTCTACGTGTCGTTTATATTTCTTTGCTGTAACTTTTAAATAGTACACATGGTGCAGACCAAAAAGTCAATGTTTTTAGGATGTACTTTAAATTTCCTCTATTTCTCAAGAGATCTACATTAAATTCACCTGAAGTGAATTCCTCCAGTTTGTCAGCATTAGGAACAACCTTGAACATCAGACATCTGTCCTTTAACGGACGACCTTGAATTGATTGTGCAAACTTTAAAGCTGCCTTCATTAAATCCCCGGTCACAATCTAAAAGTTTCAAACAACTATTACAGTTGAAGTGCCAGTTCACTCAACAACAATCATCCTTTGTATTAATAAAATTCTAATTATTTACTGGGTATAAAATTTTTATCTAAAAGATAAAAATTTATTTTTTCATAAAAAATGAAAAATTCTATAAATTCTAACTTCATCAATGATGCCATACTCTTTGGCCTTTTTAATGGGAACATGGCGACCTGAGGAAATCATATCCATAGCAACTGGTAGACCTGTTAGTCTGGACAATCTTTGGGTTCCCCCTGCCCCTGGTAATAGCCCAAGTGCTACCTCTGGAAATCCCACTCTGCAAGCAATCATAGAAAAATATTATGTAGTTCAGGCTATATGGACCATGGATATCATCCTGGGTAGCTCAGTGGTACAGTGCTGCAGGGGTCCCAGGTTCGATTCCTGACCCATCCATATATTTTTTTTATGCATTTCTCCTTTCCTGCTGTAATTATCAACATCTTTCCAGTGAATTTACTTGACAACATGCAGTTTAAAAGAATCTTGATTTGCAAGACTTAAGCAGACAGAAGATGTGACTGCCAAAAAAATGTTTCTTTAAATTTATAAAGGCAGCCTACACTAAAAGTGAAATAAAGCACTGACCTTGCAGAGGGTACAGCGATACGGTAGTGTGAGAAGAGAGCTATCTCCAGCCCACCCCCGAGGCAGGTGCCATGGATGGCTGCTACCACAGGCTTAGGGGACGCCTCAATCGCCATTCCTACCTCTGTTAACCATGGCTCTGAATTAAAGGAAACAAGAGATGTTTATTAAACACTTACATGCACATGTATGCCCCCCTCCCCCAAATAATTGGAATTTTTCTAAGTCCAAGGGGCATAACTCTGTCAAAAATGGCTTGATTTTGACCTAGCTATAGATATTCATGTGATAAATCTGTAGACTATACCAAATTTCCTTTCAGTATGAGCAATCCTAATGGTTGTGAAGAAAATGAACTTAAACTCTGTTGACTGACAGACCAAGCGACAGACAGTAGGGGGGCATAAAAAGGCTAAACCTTACACATCTATAGAACATACTGTATACTGTAAACCAACTTTTATTCGCGTGCGAGAAATTTAGTGAGGACAATTAACATATTTCTAACGCCACCATCGCAAATATTTATCGCCATGCAAATGATATACATTAAAATCTATGTGCCTATTAACAACAGATCAAAAATAGGCTTGATAGCGAAAATTATTAGTCACGAACTAGTTTATCCCTGGTAAATCGCGAAATAAAGTTGTCGCGAATAAAAGTTGGTTTACAGTATTCTCAGAGAAAACACTGAGTTCTTCAGTCAAACTGCTCTGCCTGAGTCTTGTAAGTAGTGAGGACAATTAACATATTTCTAACAAACTTGAATCATACGATATGAAATGGATATCTTATCTACATGCAAATGATATACATTTGTAGACCATGTCGGTAATACTTGGGTTCATTATTACTTCAAGACACAATCAAGTCACTGGTAGTTTGACTAGTATATTTATTGACGGTAATAATATAAGAAAAACCTGAAATAAAGTCATTATAATTAATAAACATTTACAAATCCTTACTGACTTTACTTTTAAATTACAAATATAATAAGAAATAGGTAAGTGATAAATATATTTACCAGGCACACTATATAAATCAGCTACTGTAGATAGATATGACTATTCCCTTCAAGGGTGTAGCGCGGAGTGTGCGTGAATATTGTTATCCGCGGGAAAGTTAGTAAAAAGTTATTAATAGAAAGAAACTAGTTAAAAGGAAATGGTCAAATACGTCACACCTAACAAACATAAACACTCACACGTGGACATTCACACATGACAACACAAACGTAAACACATAATAGAAATAATTAAAACATTGAAACTGAAACATTTAATTACTTACACTGGTTACACATTTACACTGAAATCTTAGCTCATTTTATTTGTGCAAAGAATGTCTTCAGAAAGATTTATGTCTTTAATTTGATATTTGTGTTATTTATATAAAGTTTACGCTTCATACAGTCATGCAACTTCCCAGATATTACTGTTTCCCTTTTAATTACATTTAATATTGATAATTTTTTATACCTTTACTTGGTTTGCCAAACTCTCGTATGTCGGCACCGGCTGGGAATGTCTGACCTTTACCAATGATGACCACCGATCTGACATTTCTGTCTCTGGATGCTTGCTCTACTCCAGTCTTCAAGCCAAGCCGAACACCATGGCTGTAATTCAAAGGTAACATATACTCAAGTTTTCTATTCTACAGATCAATTAGTTATTTAATCCATTTGTTTAGACATATATGATTAATCTCAATAAGATTCTTTAAGATTTAAAATTCTGGGGGCCATTTTACAAAAGAACTTACGGCGAAGACTGAAAACATAAGATGAATGTAAAATTTTGCAAAATTAATAAATCTCTCGGAAATTGTTTGTGTAAAAATATCTTACCATGTTCCTTTTATAAGGATTAAAATAATTTTCGCTATAATGTGAATTAAAAAGTTATATGGAGAATTAACTTTGGTCTGAAGTCGTAATTAAGTCCTTTTGTATTTAACAGGCCTTTGTACTTATGTCTCTTCCGTTACATGGGTTTAAGATTAGGAAGAGATGTCAGTACAGAATTTTTAGTCTTGACGAACTGTGCTGAGAACTTAGTCATGCTGACTAATTTAACTATTTCAAGCAACATTTAAAAATGATATTTTACAATTGGTGAACGTGATGAGCAGCAATGATTAATCAATTCAATGTATAAGAATTGAAAAAAAAATGCAGATTTATTTGAGGACACGATGAAGAGGAAATATTCATTGAATGCAAGACGTAACAGCAATGCAATACCTATATTTTAATTAACAAAAAGAAATCTTAGATAGGCATAAAATCTATTCATCAGATCCGCCACATCGATCATGCTGTTCATCATATTTTTTTACTTACCTCAGTGCGTTGACAGGTGGATTGTTCACTTCTAAGACAGCCACTGATCCCTGAACGCTGTAATCCACCGACATGTTGGAGTTAGAGGAACTCAAAAAACGTCCTAGATAGCGCTGAAACCCTCGTTGGACTTTCAGCATAGATCTATTTTCTGACCCATAGTTTACATTTAGTTTCGTACTTTTTGAAATAAACATGTGCATATATATTCATAGTTGTTACAATAAACCAATTTGAATTTATAATTTTATATTAAAGCTTAACATTAAAAATGTTCATGTTTTACCATAAATAGAGAGGTTAATCTTCTCTTTTTTACATTAAAAAGTAGTTCGAAACTAATACTAAACCTATAAAATCTGGAAAGTGAAAGTAGGTTTTGTAAACAAATCCGTAACCTACAGGAAAAAGATGAATTAGATTGTATGACGCTGAAAATCCCCAGCAACTGGCGTGATTGTTGTGAAATTTTCAGTCGCAATCAACCTCTTATGGAACCTCATGCCCAGTTTGCCGTAGAAGTCACGGACTTCAGTTCTCAATACGGGAGTGAGACGTCGATATCTTACACTGCTTCTAACCTAGCGGGGAGATGTAACATCTACCCGGGTTATGGAGATTTTACACAAGCCTGTGTCTTTGTGAGTATTGAAGATCTTAGGATAGAAAAAAAAACCTATTTCAAAGAAAAATAATATGATGTAATCCCCTTTTTCAGTAATTGAAGATTATCTGAAAAATGAAATAAGATGCTTAGAAATATAATAAAGGGTTTTCAGCATGCATTCATTTTGATAAGTTTGATTTTCATCACAACAGAGAACATATGGACCTTGGTGGAAATATGCCCCATCTGGAAGGAGGAAGTTTAAGCGAACACCACCAAACTTTGTCAGTCAGGATTATATTGGTAAATACAATAGCATTAAATACAGTCAGAGAAACATATAATGCAATTTTATTTAAAATACATATTAGTTTTTTTTTAACTTTTAGTTTCTGTACATTTGGGATAGGGGTGTACAGCACATTTTTTTGTGATGTGTGGGATTTCTAATGTATGGCACTGTAGTCTTTGGGCATTCCTCCCAACTTTTTAAGAACATGTTAATGCATGTATAATGTTCATAGAGTACACATATTACAGATTTTTATACATTTTCCGTAAATTATAATTGTATAAATTTTCATGATCTAGGCCCATGCAGAAAAAGAAAGTATAAAGCTACAAACCTACATTGTACCCTATCTTTTTTCATAGCTTCATTGCATTTTAATTACAAGAAAGTATTTTTCATAAACATTTTACATCATCAGAGGCCACAATGGAGTTATCCTATGATGTTGAATTTGGTTTTCATGCATGTAGGATGCAGAAACTTCACTGATCATTACATCTTTTTACAGAGTTGGAGTTTGAATATGAAGTATTTCCCACAAAAATTGATATTTATGAGACGTACAACCCAGGAACTATTGTCAGAATCCTAGCATGTGATTCCTCAGGTACTGATGTGGACAAAGGAATGGCTAGGTAACATGTTATAAACTTGTCAGACGAGATCTTAATCATGTTAATTTGAAACACTTTTTCTAAGGGAGACAGATGAGTGTGCAAATGTCATGGCTTGTGAAAGTTATGTATGCCTTTCAGATGCTTAAAAATCATATTCAGTTTGTGATATTGCATGTTTTTAGTCTTGGATTTAAGTTCTTATTATCTAAATCTATGAAATTTTAATAAGCAAATATTTTCTGTAGATAATTTCGTGGCAAAAATTATTTTATAATTATAAAAGCGTACACTGTGGTATTCTTATGTCGAGCCCAAGCAAAAAATCCTAGGCAGGATTTTTTTAGACCAACAAATTATCCACTGCCTTACATGACTTATGACAAAGGATAATATGCCACATGGCTCCAAGTCAATTGACAAAAAATGGAAATGTCTAAATTAACTCAAATTTTTGCATGCACTTAATCTGCACTGATACATGTACCATAATGGAATACTACTATTATCAAAAATAGAAAGTTTTAATTTAATATGGAGGACAATCGATCTTTAATTTGGGTAGGGGAACCAAGTTCACAGACAATTCCCATAGAATGTTGGCCCTGCCCCACACTTTTAAGCCCTTGAAATAAGTGAGCACATTTAGAGGGTACATTTTTCTCCTTTTGAAGGTCACTGTATCTTATCAAAATCTACCTATACATGAAAGGAAAAAATTGTACCTGATTGTGCTCATGTTATGTTTAAATAATTATAAAATCTGTTTTATGTTCTAGGTGGAAAGTGTTATGGGAAGGAAATCCTGAGAGAGCACCAGCTAATGCTCGTGTCTTCTCACCACCAATCCGGGAAATCAACTTCCCAACCAAGTGAGATTTATATTTAACTTTCCTTAAGGGGGCCAACTGGAGTTTCCATTGTGCAGTATTTTGCGCATCATAGTAAATTGAAGCGTATTTATACTGTTTAAAGAGTTTCTCTATGAGATAATTTTCACACAATAATACCCCAGTCAGCCTGCTTGTTTTGTGATAAGTATAGGGCTGGATATTGGCCAGAGATTTTGTATTGCGATATACTGTGATATTTATAACTATATTGCGATATGTATTGCAATATTTTCAACGTAATCAAAATTCAAGTTTGAATTAAATTTTCTCATTATATTTCAATTTACATGCAGAATGTACAAAACTATGATAAGTAACCAAAGGGGAAAAGAATCAAGTTGATTTAATTAAACATTTAATATGCTGAAGTACACCCATGCAAAAGCTTCTGTCTTGATGTTTTGCTTAATCACAAACCTTTCTGACAACTTAATTTTCTTAATATTAAATTATAGAATTCCTGAGTCAAAACATTTTCCCGATATATTGGTATTAAGAAAACGTATTGCAATACAATATTTTTTGACAATGTATTGCAATATACCGAAATATCGATATTTTGGCTCAGCCCTAGTGATAAGGTTACACGTATATTATAAAATGTCATAATTTAATTCCTTGCCCTAGAAATCTGTGTAACTTGAATTGCAATTCATTTGTTCTTAAATCTGTTTATTACATTTTGGCTTGTGGAAAAATTATTGTGAAAAAAAGAAAATTTTGCATAAATACATGAAGGTAATTTGCAAAATGAAACATCAGTAAGTTGTTTGTGCAATTGATACATCTATAGTTATAGGCAACTGATATAATGGGAATTATTCAGTATTTATATTTTGATTCAAAAAGAGTAAGCTTTAAACATGTATCCCAGAAATTCAGTTTAGAGTGAAATAATAAATTTATGTAAAATTTAAATATAATAATTTCACAAAGTAATCAATCACAAACTTTGTTGAAAAAATAAATTAAACCATGCTAATATTCACAATATTATTCTTGTAGCGTCATCCGAATAGAAGTTTGTCATGATCTGTGTGATTACTACACGGAATTGGATGCTGTCTGTCTCCATGGAGACGATCACCATAGTAACAACATGGGAGTGACCTCCAGGCAAAGGTCAAAAGATATCAGTCAGCTAGAGGAGAGACTCAGTAGCTTCACTCTTAAGGAACAGGTATGTATAGTGACTTGTCACTGTACACTAACTTTTATCAAAGAAATATCTGACTTTTACTTAATCCAAAGTATTTCTTGGTTCAAACCATTTTTTTAATTACATATACAAATACTGTACATTCATGTTCATTAATTGATAAAATTTAAGTTAAATATATAAACATGAAGAGTATTGAATTTTCTTTTCAGAAAAGTACTGCAGTCGAAAATGGCACTTTCAGTATAGAAGAATTGCCAGTAAGAAAAACTGCTTTAATTAAAGTATATCATCCTCAAAATGAAAATCAAATTTAATCAGAAATACATTGTAATAGGTCAAAATAAAAAAAATGTACATTTACAGATAGTCCATTTTAAAAAAATGAATTGATTTTTTTAGGAAGAAGTAATACAGTTAATATTAAGCTACCTCGATATCCCTTCTCTATGCAAAGCCAGCATTACCTCAAAGTAAGTCACATATTGTGATGATAAGTATACTGTATGTATTCAACAAAAAAACAATATTACACTAAAAAAAAAGTCAAAGTAAGTGACATAGAAAAAAGTATGATACACTATATCAAGTCACTCTTAAATGTTGCACAATGGGTGATTGATTATTGTTCACCATAATCATAAACATAATATATCACAAATTCTATATTTCAACTTTTTTCCAGATTTTTCCATAAGCATTGTTATGATTCCCTTCAATACAAGGAGCTAGATTTACAGCCACACTGGACAGAAGTATGTATAGTAATCTAATACAACTATTGTATCACAAGTGCTCTGATTGGTTTTATTTCCTATATGGAGAACTGGAATCAGATTAAAAAAATGTATTAATGTAATCAAAATGAATATAATCAAATGCAAACTTTATTGTAAAATTCAAGAACACATCAGGATTTGAGAACTTATTTGTTAAATACATGTACATGTACATGTATATATACATGTATATGGACTTTGAGAAAGAAGTTTTTATATGGTATATAAAAGCATCATATAAATTTGGACATGGTGTGACAACTGATTACAGTAAAACTCGTTTAGTACGAACACGGATATAGCGAATTCACGGATATAGCGAAGTTTATCTGGGTCCCCGGCAAAATTCTCAACAATTAAATCTTTGTAAATTTTATAGTTATAACGAACTCTGATATAACGAATTTACGGATATAGCGAACTGATTTTGAGTCCCGTTGAGGTTAAATATAATGAAATTTACATCTTTTATAACGAACTTTCAAAGATTAAAAAAAGAAGGATAAATTGAACTTACTTTATTTCCTTGTAGCATTTGTATATAAAACTCAATTCATAAGAAAACCTTAGTTATGGAAGATATGTCTTGTAATATTTGCTTCACTAACATAGTTGGTAGTAATACTTGAAGAAAAACATGCATAGTGCGAATTCGCTATAATGGTTATACGAATTCGTTATACGGATATAACGAATTACGGATATAGCGAATTAAATTCACAGGTCCCCAGGACTTCGCTATAACCGAGTTTTACTGTAATTACACTGATTAATTGCATTGGTCCTAATACAGGGCCATTTTATGCATAAAGTGAACCTAGTTCTTCATTTTTCAGGTGAATAACTTTGCTATAGACAGTTTATTGACAAGGTGCCACTTCCTCCAGCATTTAAACATATCATGGTGTGGAGGAAATCAGATGTGTATATCTCCAGGGACTTTCTCAAGGTAGGCTTTTCACAGAAGGTGGAAGTTGCAGTTTTAAAATTGTCTAAGCCATCATTCCATTTGAGTTTCAGTAAAAATTATATTTTTTTTTATGAATTTAAGATTCTTAGAGGCATGTGGCAGGGATCTGCAGACACTCTATATGTCTTCATGTAAATTTGTGAATGGAGAGGTTATAAAGGCTGTGGCAGAAAATTGTCCAAAACTGAAAGGTATAAACTAAAATGAAATGTATACATGTAATGTTTTTCTAAATTTAGCAATAATATTGGATAGCTTCAAACTTTTCTTATTAACTTGAAAATAAAGATAGAGATTGCTTAATTTTCCTAATAAACAAAATTAATTGTACATTTTGTTTTAACCACAGGCCTTTAGATAACTTCAATCTAACTTACAAAAAAAGTTTGTGATGTTAAAAATGTCCAGCTCTAGGTGTAACTTTGGCATTTTTTTTTCAAATACAGATTTAGAAGTAGGGAGTCGTTAAACTCTTTGTGTAATTTTAGCATTATTTTTTCTGTTACAGAGTTAGATGTAGGAAGTTGTCCATCACTAGATGGTCAGTCCATATCACACCTCTCTAAGATCCACACCCTAGAAAGACTAAATCTGTACCGGTTAATGGTAGAGAGGTATAGTCTCATGGAGGTCTTAAGGTAAGTAGAACAGCCAAATAAACTCTGAAATTTCCAAAACGCTGTTGTCAAACAGGACTTCTTAAAAGTTTGTCCTTGTGTAATCAACTTATTTGTCAATAGACAAAAAAATTAGTTAATGCACATGTGTAGAGGGAATGGTGAGTTGTTTTACTTCATATGATTTTCTTTCCTTTTCAGGGTTTCTCCAAATTTAAAACATTTAAATTTAGGAGCAACTAGAATTGGTGAAATGCATATAGATAATGTGATGAAAATATTGGGAAAACATTGCAAGTGAGTATCTTAAATTTTCTTTTCAACAATCATTATCAAAATTTCTGAAATTAATACACATGTAATTTGTTTATTATCTGCTAGATTACACTTGACTATCAATATTTCATATAATATGCAGAAAAGTAATGAGACTACATTGTCTCTATATATTGACTTCTATATATTTTTTTTAGGAATCTGATCTCTCTTGACTTATGGAGAAGTAGGATATCAGAGACTGGACTAGACTATATTGCTGAGAATTGTAAACACATTGAGGAGTTAGATCTAGGCTGGTGGTGAGTGTTTATATAGAGACCGGTTTAGACCATATTGCTCAGAACTTAAAGAGTCGACAGTTAGTTTTGTTCATAACAAGAAAGTTGTAATGAAATATGGAGAAAACTATCAAGCCTCCTGCTCAAAGTCCATCCAATGAATATTGAACAGGAGTACAGAAAACATGGACCTCCAAAAAACATCACAGGTGGGATCAGATGCCATGAAGGAGTGAGCATCCCCTTTCAACTGGTCACACCTGTCCTTTGCTTCTTGTCCTTATCAAGAAAACAGGGAAAATACATAGACAATTCAGCATGCAAATAATAATTTGTATTTCAAACATCAGATTGTTTTTGACAGGTTCATTATATCAACCATAAAACTTGTGAAATGATAACCCCATCAACTTGTTGGTCAATAGTTTGCTTTGTTTTAGAAATTGTTAATACATGTACATATACATAGAGAAGTAACTATAGATTTTGATGACTATTAAAACTTACACAGATGATACATCTAAAAAGGCACACTACTGGACTTTCTCAGGAAACTGGATATGACATAGCTGCAGAACTGTAGCTCTCCGAAAAAAAATATATTGACAGACCAGAGAGCTACAGTGCCACCCATTTAAAAAAACTGTATATTTATTGTGCACAAAAAAGTGGGCTATGTTCTGGATTAATTCTTCCAAATTCTTACATTAATTGCAAAAAAGCTAGATTTCAATAAAGTCCTCACTCCTCTACCAAGTACTGTCATAGTTTACACCTGTACGAAGTGCATTTGACCAAATTATCTTGCAAACCAAAATGGCAGTATAAATAGCAAAATTTTCGATGATCTCGATTTTAGGGCCAGGAGAGCTATTATAAACAATTATAATGAATATTTTGTTGTGGAAACAGTGAAAGAATTATGTAAGGAACACATGGTTAGTAATATTTTGAGATGACAGTTTTAAAATCATGGAGAAATAAATCGAGAAACAGTGCACTTTTTTGTGTGCAATAAATATACAATTTTTTCAATGGGTGGCTCTGTAGCTCTCCGGTCTCTCAATACGAGTATATATTTTTTCGGAGAGCTTCAGTTCTGCAGCTAAATATGACATATATACATATGTTAAGATGCATGACCAGTCTCAAGTTTTGGAACAGTTTCTTCCTAGTATGTTCTCAACTCCCTCTCCTGGACTTAATTTGAATGGGTAGTGCATATAGAGACGCTCACTCTCAGACTTGAATTTGATAAATATTTTCCAGATAAATGATCAGATTTAAAATCTTGGAGGAGGTGTTCTCTCCAAGTGCATCATGCTATTCATGGCTTAGAACAAACTAGCATGGGTGTGCAATACTAAATACGTTTTGGATGCTGGGTCTACGAAACATGCATAGATGATAATCAAAGATATGCATACTACCACAACTGCTTCGATGCTGGATCTGACCTACCTCTTCTGAATGAGTGACCAGAAAAAAAATTTTTAGAGCCAGTTCACTCTTAAATTATTTTACATCTTTTTGTAAACTAAACTTGCATTGGTGATGCTTCTTTTGATATGCAACCAGATTTGATTTGGAAACTTTCTTATATTATCCAGGTGATTAAACTGAAAAGTCTTTTAAGCAAGCAAGTATTTTCTCAATTAAAAAAAAATCATGTGCATATATGTTGCATCTAGGAATGCCAAAACTTTTGTTGAATGTGGGAATTAACATTACTTAAAGATACTTGACATTCATTGAAGTAAGCTTAGTAATCTTTACAAAGAAAAAAGTAGAAAACTTTTTCAGCAAGTTTGGAATTTTATTAAAATATCAATTATCTCTGGTAGATTTGTTAGCATATTTGTTTCTGTTTTTCAGTTCAAATCTGAAGGCAGGGACTTACTGTTTTATTGATCTTGTAAAGAAGTGTCCAAACATAAAGAAGTTATACTTGACTGCCAATAGGTAAGTCCATTTGTCTATTTTACCATTCTTAACGAGGCTGGGGTGTGGCAGCCATTTTCAGACTATTTTTATCTCCTTTAAAAGGAGAGCTCCATATAGAAAATGATCAAATTTTAAAACTAAAATAAATGAATTTTTTCTTTGTGAAATGATAGTAGACAGCTTAATTTACCGTATCTAAAAAAATAAGTTAAATCTGATGGTTAATTTGTGATTAATTTGTTGACCCCCCAGCCTCCTTAAACAATTCTCAATAGAAGTATTGTGTAGAGGGAAATTTTTCACCCCATCTCATTTTTGTTTTTTCATACATAAGTCTAGGAAAAGAACAGGGAATCTGAAGCATTTTATTTTTTAAATATGAACTATTTTTGTCTAACCTTCCTCACTTTGTTACAGGACTATTTCTAATGAGGACCTGTTAGCATTCTGTAAGTACTGCCCTCAGTTGGAGCAGCTAGACATCTTAGGTACTGGCAATGTCGGTCGGGAGAGTGTTTTCAGGTATACAGTTCATTAAGTCTTAATGATACATGTACAAATTCTTATTCATGTCTTATTGAGTGTTTTCAGGTAAAGTTCAATAAGTCTTAATGATACATGTACAAATTCTTATTCAATGTGCTATTGCAAAAATTTAGATATTACTACAGAGAAGCAATTGTTTAATATGGTAAGGATTGATATATTAGAAAATAAGTAATGTTTTTTAAATAAATGTAATTCTTTGACTTCATTAAAAAATGATATTAAAAATGTTATATACAAGACTTCAATGTTTGCAATTAAATTTCATTTCCACTATACTACAAAACCATTATATTAATTCTGTCATATACAAGGGCTATTCAATAAATAATGTCCTTAGTGCTCGGAAAACAACAAAAACGCTTTTCAAGGATTTAGCCTTAATGATTTTACTTAAATATTTTCTTTTAATTGAAACACGTCCGTAAAATTTTTATCCAATTTCTGATTGTTTTTAAAACGCATTTTTGAGTATTGCCCTTCGTATACTGGAATATGGCAGATCTTATGATTTCCTTGACTTTTTTCTTCTTTCTGAATGGTGTTTTTTCAAGTTTGGAAAATGAAACAAGTGAAAGGATGAAAGATCTTGCAAATTTTGTTAATTTGACAAAACATTAACATTTGGTTTTTCCCCAAAACTGCTTTACTCTTCATGGACTGTGGGTTTGGACGCTGTCATGACGAAATTTAAAGTAGTGGATTCCTAATTCTGGGTCCATAATAAACCTTTCAATTTTTTTTGCAAAAAATTGCTTTCTAGACTTCTCCAAATATTGAACTGCCTCCCCGAATAAGAATTTGAAAAAAACAAGACTACTAATATTTAGGAAAATGAGATATAAAACTATTTTTGTGCTTTTGAAATTCGTTGCTGTTTTCAGATCTTGGCAGTTTTTGTCAAGTGCATCTTATTGTAAATTTGTTTTTAGGGTTTAAAGCAATGAAATCGAGTTTCACTATCTGTTTGAAGTTCAGACAAACGTGGATAACTTCAATTTTTGATTTTTTAAAATAATTGTTCAGATATCCTTACACACTGTTGTTTTCACTCATTTTTCAAAAAAATATGGTGACCATTGAGTAGTAAGCCTTTTTACTGTCAAATGTTTCTTTAAAACATTGTAAACTAACCCCAAAATGATGGCTATCAATTTTGCTATGTGTCTTAAATTCAATCAAACATCATCAGTGATTATTTGTTGAATTTTTGCAAACATTACATTGGTTGTTGTAAATATTTCGCAAAGGACGGTACCTATTTTAGATGCCCATTATATCATTTTTGTTGATTGAAATCCACCTGCTCATGTGTCTATAAAACAGACATTAAATGCTGTAAATTTCACGTATTTCATGGAATATTTCTTTGTGATTCTTAACGAGTTTTACAGCAGCTGTAATGAAGCGTTTTATTTCACTAGTTTACTGATTCTTTACCATTCATGAAACTATCTGATGAAAAGTGGTCAAATAAACTGTAATCAATTCATTATAGATTCATTCATGAGAGGAAGTCAAGCTTAATGTCATATGATTTCTACGAGGGGTGATCAAAAAGTTCGCAAACTAATTCTCTATCTACCTAACTACAGTTCTTGACAAGAATGAAATTTGTCACAAATATAGCCCTAAAAATAAAATATGGACATGTGCTTTATGCAGTACAGTCATGTTGAAATGTGCGTCATATTATGACGTCATGATGTTAAAATGACGTCAATATAGAGGCGACTGTGACGAAAATGGATGAGTCAATCGTACTTGAACAAAGAACTATAATAAAATTTTAGGTTAAACTAGGTAAATCCTTCACGGAAATATACGATGATTTACATAAAGTTTATGGGGAATGTGGGCTTTCAAAAGGTACAATAAGTAAGTGGATAAAACGTTTTATTGAGGGAAGGGAGACGGTGAAAGATTATGATAGATCTGGGTGCCCGCTGAACGTAAGTACCGAGATAAACGTGTCTGAGGTTGAACAATATGTAATAAAAGATCGAAGAGTTACGATTAGGGAAATAGCTAATGATCTTAGCATGTCTTATGGAACAGTTCAAGAGATTTTAACGAGTAAGCTTAACATGCGGCGAGTTTGTGCGAGATGGGTCCCTCGCCTCCTTCTGCCAGAGCAAATGAGGGTGAGAGTGAATGCGTGACGGTCCTACGTTAGTAGATATGAAGAAGAACAAAATTATTTCATGAATAGAATCATCAAATGTGATGAAACTTGGGTACATTTCTATGAGCCAGAAAGTAAACAACAAAGTTCAATTTGAAAGCATCCTTCCTCGCCATCACCAATAAAAGCACGCGTAACCAAGTCAGCAGGGAAGGTTATGCTCATAGTTTTCTATGACATCAATGGTATAATTCTAAATCACATGGTACCACCCAAAACTTCATTTACTGGGGACTACTATGCACGGGTTATCAAATCAGATTTGATGAGAGCAGTAAAGAGAAACCCCAGATCTGATAAGATCTGGATTCAATGTACCATCTAACGCACCTACATGTAGCCATAAAAGTCGGGTTGTGATGGACACCATGGAAACACTGGGTATAGAAAACCTAATTCATCCCCCCTATAGCCCAGATTTGGCAATTTGTGACTTCTGGCTATTTCCAGTTTTGAAAGATAACCTACGGGGAGAAAAATATGAGTCCCGGGAAGATCTTTACTGCTGTGAACAAGGTGCTAAGGGTCATGTCATGATTTGGATCACGTGTTTCGCGCATGGGCAGACATGGGAAAAGTGCATAAAAGCTAGAGGGGCCTACTTTGAAAAAGAATAAGCTCAAAATCTCACTTTGAAAAATATTTTAAAAGTTATTCAATTAGTTTGCGAACTTTTTGATCACCCCTCGTACATTGTGTATCATAGAGCTCAGGACATTATTTATAGAACAACCCTCGTAGTTGGTATTTTCTATTTGATGACTGCCTTAGTATAATATATGTACTATAATTCGTAAACTATGCTTTTCAGTGTCCTAACACAATATATTTCTAGACTATCATTCTGCGCTTGTTGATGTGGACGCTGTTACATCATGGTAGCACAGTTTCCAAGACATCAAGCGATAGCTTTCAATCTCTGTAGAGAAATCTTGATTGAATTATAGTCAAACTTTGATATCTCTGTCCCTCACAGTACCTTTCATAAATCATCAAATCACCACAAATTGTTCAGATATCAGGGAAAGAGCAGTACGATTTATTTTTAGAAACTTTGTGCCTGTTGATCATTATCATTTCAACTACCCCTTTTCTTTTAACAATTTGTCAAAAATTAAGGTCAGTTCTCTTGTCTTTTGAACTTTATTGTTTGGTCGCTAATCATGCAATAAACATACTGCCCTGACATCTGAACAAATTGGGATAATATTTCTTTTTAGGATGGTACTGTCGATATTGATATACAAAAGTTTACATGTAGCTGTTTTTGCATTTATTATTAAGATATCTCCTTGTTTCCTGTTTTATAGATTTAGGTATAAACTCAAGAAATTAAGTAATATCATTTGATTTTAATTCTTTTAATTGTATTTTTTTAATTTAATCAAAGAATTTTTTAAGTGATAATGTATACATTTTATAAACTCAAGTATTTTTAGTAAGGATTGCATTAATTTCAATTTGAATTTATTTTAAGAATCAATCCTTTTTTAGTATGAAATGGAACAGATAGTTAGTATTTTAATTTGAGTGATAAACTCAAACAAATAATTTTTTAGCATTATATGTAGTCATAAGAAGTTACTGAAGCATCACATCTGATCACTTAATTTTTTTTTTGTTGATGCTAATTGCTCCATGGCACCTGATCCAACCTCTGATGTTTCAGGGGCCCGTGTTTGCTTTGCTCCAGTATTGTATTGTTTAATGGACTTTTGAGCTTGAATTCTCGCCGGTTTGTTATCTCCATATATCTTATGTTTCAGTATGTGCCTTTCATGTTAATGAAGACAGCTGTGATATCACTTATTTGTTTATATTTGTTTAATATGTTTGTTATATGGCACATTGCTTAAAGATTGGGGGTGGACAATTGTGTGCAATCAGTAGAGTTTCAAAATTTTAAATTAATATGATATGTGTATGATGGCATTTCTGGAATTTTATATTAATGGATTAGTTCATGATGATATATGAATAATAAATATTTATATCAATATAATATCTTTATTAGTTTATATATTTTGAACAAAGAAAAAGTATTCTATTTTTTTTTCTGGTTTTCATTATACTAGTTTATATATTTTCTGATCGAAGAGACAGGTTTCTACTTTTTTTTTGTTTTCATTATACTAGTTTATATTTTCTGAAGGTAGGAACAGGTTTTTACTTTTGGTATTCATTATACTAGTTTATATTTTCTGAAGGAAGGAACAGGTTTTTACTTTTGGTTTTCATTATACTAGTTTACATTTTCTGCATGAAGAAAGAGGTTTCTATTTTTTTGGTTTTCATTATATTAAAAGGTCATACTGGGTAAGTACTGGAAGCCCCAATCTTGCACAGCAGAATTTCAGTTCTATAAAATTCTTCAAAATTACATTAATATTATTTAAAGCTTTAAGACATTCCATTCAATCAACCAATGTGAGTTTGATCTGTCCTACATTTATTGGCTTCCTAAACTGTATAAAAATCCTTACAGACAGAGATTCATATAGTAGGATTTAGTAAATGCTCTATATAGGTCCATATCTGGACGACTTACAAATATATATAGAAAATGCTGTGGAGGAGAAAGTTGAAACATTATGTGCCACAGTATATTCTTGAAGTGGTGTTCTCAAAAACTCCATAGAACTTTCAAAAACTTTTTCAAAGGTCAATAACATCAAAACGCATGATTTTACTACGCATTTTACAACCATTTCTCACAATAAACTGAAATTATGCTTTTTGAAAATAAAGTCCTCCTGATAAAATAAAATATGGACTTTATGATATCATCGCAAACTGCTTCTTCCATAAAAATGGAAGTTAGAAATTTTCAAATATTGTTCTTGGTCATCAACACAGTTGCTTGGTTGATAATCACTGTGATTCTGCACACAAGTACTCTTATATTAAAAGGATGTTGGAGTTCTTCATTGAAAACATGTATGTAGTTTTTGTACATTAGATCTTTCAAAAACCATTTGGAATTCCGGCGGACATTATTTTTTTAAATTCCTTTTTTAAAGTACAATATTTTGTAACTTTCAAAAACTTTTAAGAATAAAATCATTCATACAAAATTAATTTATATGCATTTATGTGATTTATATAGGAAAGAAAGAGAAAATTTACGAAACTTACGAAAACCAACTAATTTTTAAATTACAATTTATGGATCTTTTTCTAGTATTGTAAAAACACATTTTCGTGGGGTCAATTTTTTGGAGGTTTGAGGAAAAAAATATTGGTTTAATTGTCAGGACTTGATTTCATGTTAACAGAATGTTAAGTAGTAATGCATATGAAATATTAAATTTCGTGTTGGTCTTTCCGTTCCTCCAAAACAACGAAAATTAAACCCTTGCGAACAGTACTGATTTCGCGGTAGGAAAAAAATTATTATTGCCCCCGGTCCCCTTTTTGGAATATTAAAAAAAAATTCTTTTAAAAGTTTGATTGCTTAATACATGTACATGTACATGTATTCCTTTTTTATATTTAAAATTTTTTTGTTCTTGGAAAAGCATTCAAATTTTTATTCTGTTTGATACTTAACTCTTTCTAAAAAAAATATTTACATTTTCGAATTAAAAATGGGAGCATAAAATTAATAATTACTTTACATTTTCTGTTAAAAGAACATGATGTATGCTTTGGTTTATTACAAATCCGGTGATGGATAATTATAAATTACATAAGGCATTCTTATCCAATAACATAAAGTTAGAAATTCGGTAAATGGGGAGTTATACTACTTATTCTTCATCCATAAACATTAAGTCCCACGTCAGCACAACCTTTAGCATAATTTTTCATGAAAATTAAACAAAAACATCTTATTAAGGCCATCTTTACATGTAAAAAATTGTTTGGTTGTCCTCTCCCAACGAACTGTCAAAAAATGACCCGACTCATATTTGTTTTACATTCCAGGACACAACATTTTTTTCTCCTTTTTAAATTCCTCTTATCTCGTCAAGAATATGTTGAAATTTTCTGGGGAAAAAGATTTTGACACCTACCTACCGACCCTATAATTTTACCCTGAGTCAGGGGCATATCGATACTGTTATAACTTTATCAAATACATATTTTTTTTTCTGGAAAAAAAAAACAACATGCACAATAATAATGAAAACACCAAAAACGTACAATTTCTAAATGGCATTTTTGCAACGAATAACTTCACAGGCTTGATACAAGTAGAAGTTGGCAAACATTTAAAATATTATTTATTGACAGTAAATTACTGTAACTTTTAATCAAAACCGTGCCTAATTTCAAGATTTTACTTATAGAAAATATTCAAGCTATATGAAATGACATTTCAAGTTCACAAATCATAAAGAAAAAAATTGCATGAAATAACCGGCAAATTTTTTATTGTTGTTAAATACTTTTATTACAAATACTATATTACTATTAATCTTGTTTATTTATTTGTGTGTGTGTGTGTGTGTGTGTGAGGGTGTGTGTGTGTGTGTGTGTGTGTGTGTGTGTGATAATATAATAAGATTTTTTTCTAGCTAACATCATTGCAATATTTTAGAATATGTATTTTTAATTTTTAGTTATAAGGTTTTTTTCAAATGCAATACATTATATTTTTACTTTCATTGATGAATCACATTTGGACGACTCTTCAGCCTTTTGGGGGGCAGATTTTTTTGAAACAGGATAAAATTTTTTTAAAAATCTCACAAAAATAAAGCAAAAAAATATTGGAAAATATAATGTAGACACTTTCTGAGTTGTCCAAACTTACACAGTTGACATTCTGGTAAGAAATATATACTTACGTTGTGTATACATGCATGAAAAAATATTATATTGAACTATTTCTGGTAGAATCATCTCTCTTTGTTCCAAAGCATCACTGATAGTGAGCATTTACACATTAAGGTTATATAAAAATTATATTATCCATAGACGTTGAGACTGTCCATTTCCTTCTTACAGTAGTCCTTGTAATTGTTTACAACCAGAATCCTTATACTTAATCTGTTTGTTACTGTCAAAATACGTGAGATACTAAAATGTTTGTCATATTTGACAGTTTATGAACTGTGCATGTATACAATTCATTAAATGTTCTATATCTTTCGTAGAAGATACCTGTATTGAGCATTGTCAACCGTCCATTGAAGCAATGCAATTTGGGAGCAGAGCAAGTGGGGTCCTCTTAACATAAGAGGTTGGATCAGATGCCATGGATAAGCAAGAATCCCCTGCAGACCGGTCACACCCGGCGCCGTATACTCAATGTCATGATCGGGAAATCCGTCGTAACTTCAGTGTCATGTGTATAAAATGGCCTAACAATTAGTAGGA